AAGAAACAAATAATAACATAGACACGTAAAATTGATTTTGAGAATTTTGGTTGATATTCGCCAGTATCAGTGGCCTGGATCTGATAAATTTCATGATTATCCAGACCCTTAATCAACTGGCAAAGCTTTATTTTTTTTAACTTGTTTAAAATTTTGTAAAAAAAGAGGAGAGTTTTGGTTGATATTCATATGATTTGAGTATTTGCGATCAATGATGCTCTTTGCATACGACCCATCCAGAACTTGTCGTCTGTATCATCGACCATATATATGGTCTTACTCAAGAAATTATTAAATTCTTAGCAAAAAAAATAAAAATTATTAAATGTTGAGATTTGTGTTTGGTCTTGATATGATTTAGATCACAAGTATATATAACAAATAGCAATCTGGTCGGTTGTTTTTATAATGATAGATAGAAATCGTCGATTCACATATATGGAATTATCTCCCGTCATTTTTAACAATTGTCCAAATTCTTATTAATATACTTTTGCTTTTTTTTTTTCTTTTCTCAAAGAAAGAAAACACATTAACATGCGATGGGTTTCACGTGGTTTTCACGAGTTCGGGCCATAACCCATAACTTCCACATGCGATGCCATGACTTTAACACGTAAAATAAACATTATAGTCTTATGCATTAGTCTCAGGAATTACAAATTTAATGCGAAAGCAGCGAGCCTGTTTCATTACGCCTCTTCATTTATATTTGATGGGCCATAAAAACAAACAAACTTGGGCCATAAACTACAACATAATGCAACATATTAATTGCATGCTTTGTCTTTCCAATTTTATGTTTGAAAATCTATCGATTTGATGCAGTTGGTTGGATCGCAAAGATCTTGAACTTTTTTCCTTAACACACAACCACATCGCCAAGCAGACAAGCTGTGTTTTTTTCCTCTACGAACATTCATCTAGACTTTAACAATGGTTATTATGTCTTCTTTTGGTTTTATCAGTGTAAACTTTTGTAAAACTTTGTTTGGAAATAGTAATATCTGTGTGTTTTTGAAAAGGTAATTGTATTGATAAAATGAAATGAGATACTAAAATTAATATTTGATCTTATACCATCATTATCTTTAATTATCCACATCCTAACTATTATTTGAGAAGCATGTTTACTAAAAAAATTCTATGTATCAACACCTAAAGAAAAGTTAGTGCAAAACAATGTCACATCATAATATGATATGTCAATTTTCCTAAAATAAACGAAATGTTTTGATTGGTTAAATTAAAACTAAATAAATCTTATTTTTAAATAAGAAAAAAGTTTATATTATATGTGAATGAATTCTCATTATATAGCAAGAATTCGAAATTATAAATAAAATAAAAATATATACAAAGAGAAAAATAAATTATAAGTATCCACTTAGCCAACTTTTTTATTATAATATTGTATATATGAATAAAAATAGAAGTAAAAGTAAAAATAAATTTTTACGACTTTGGTTTTATGTAAAAATTTCAGGTTATATTTTTGATTTAAAGAATTTCCAACTCACATTTATTTTCAATGTTCTAATTTAGAGGGGAAAAAGGTTGTTACTTTTTCCTTTAATTATAGAGAAAAAAATAACAATATTTTTTTCTTCTGTAAAATAGAAATAGGTTGGAGAGAAGTCCACTTATATTTTAGAGGAAAAAATAGAAAAATACATTTGAGATTATCTTAATATTAATATATTATTAAAGGTTAAAGATAAATATGAGTCAAAGAAGAGAAAAAAGTAGAATACTTTGATTGATTTTATGTTTTTATTTAAAGTATTTAAAAATATTATCTTACACATATTAATTCTTTCATGCATATATTTTTCCAACATATTAAAATATTATTTCATGAATAAAATTTGTATATGCTGTGATCCATTATATTTTATATTAACAAATATATTAAAGTTAGGAACAGATCAACTCTTAATTTTTAATATAACAATCAAATATTAAATATATTATTTTACACCTAAACATACACATATAAGTTTAGGTCTGATTGATTTAAATGATGATGTTATAGAGAGTTTATGGAAGCAGAGATTGTAAATTATAAAAAAAATTAACGAAGAGATGAGCGGAGAGCTACCAGAGAATTTTATAAAATATAATTTTACAAATTTTATTTTTATTGAGAAACTATATATCATAAAATGCTGAAAATAAATTTGTTTGATTAAATACAAAATGATAGAAATGGTTTTCATGATTGTTGTTAAACGCCAATAACTGTGTCGTGTAAAAACATAACGTTTGCGAAAATAACAGAAAAACTTACGAACACCTAAATATTATAATTCATTTATTTATAACTCATACCTAAATGCATAAATATACTTATTATTATTATTTTTTAAAAAATTTAACCATGCGTTATAAAAATATGTATCACAAAACATATACTTTGTTATTTTTTTATAACATATAAAAGCCATACTTTGATTTTCTTACAAATATGTGTGTAGATATAAATATTAATTATGCAAAAGTCAAACTTTCATGCAAATTTATCGTGTATGCTTTTTGTTAACCTCGATTGCAGACAATTTATATTTAAAAAAAATCTGTATATGTCCTAAAAGCGGTGAGGTGGTTAGTACGCACAAATGTGCGGGCCAACCATCTATCCGCTCTTAGGATAAGTAAATATAGTAAAATTTATTTTAGTTTAATTAGCAATAAATCAAAAAATACTTAAAATATATATATATATATATATATATATATTGCCAAAATTATATTTGTGTAAGAAGAAAAAGAAGGTATAGTATAGATAATATTAAAAACATATTATAAAAATTTAATTATTATTTAGTATAACTTTTATCTTTACAATTATTTGTTACTGTAAACGCTAGAAAAAAAAATTAAAAGACATAAAACGATAGTAAATATTTGTATGGTTGTTGTTGAACACTAAAACTGTATATGTATAAAAACATAACGTTTACATAATGTATAAAAAAAATAATCAATTCTTAAACATTACAGCTAATTATGTCTATACATGCACATGCGTGCATGCCAAAAATAAAATTAAATAAATAATACAGATTTTAATGTTTTCTCATTTATTTAGTTATCATTTTTACATTTTTTTATCTAAGAAAATATGTTAAAAAAATTTTATCTTCATTTTTTTGAAATCTATAACATTTTATATTTAATTTATCATTTTTATATTAAATATTTATACTTTTAATATTAATATATAATTAATCATATACAAATGAAGCATTTTTAATACTATACTAATAATAATTGAACATATCAAATATTTTATAACTTGTACACGATGGATGCCGATCACCTAATAATCAGTTTAAACACCATTTGACTATTTTTTCAGTGGAAATTTTATATTGGCCAATTAGTTGTTAAGATATAAACTTGACTATTTTTTTAGATGTGGAAATTTTATATTATAAGCAACTCTCTAATTATGACATTTTGAATTTTTTTTGCATGGTAGTAAAATATGAATTAAATAAAAAAAAGTATATGTCCACACCCATGACACATTTTTCAATCCACTGAATCAGTAATTCAAGTGGCTTACGTGCATGATTTTCATCACTAGGTCCCTTTTTTCCTAAATCACGATTAATAATATAAGAACCAGTTACATAAAGTACTAAGATACATACACTATAGGATAAGAACTTTTCCACGCATCTTAAAAAATTTGGTCATCGTTGGAAGTACATGTTTTGGAGTTTTTGAAACTTTCAACTACATACATATTTGTATATATAACCATATAATAAGATTGATATATGAATGTAGCCACACTTTTTATTTTTTGGCAGCATGTATTGCAACACTAAGAGTGCTTATGTTGGGACAGACTGTTATTTACTAGTACTATCTAGTTAATTAATATGAAACAGGCGAATAATTGCATAATTTGTCATTTTGCTCTCTGAAGAGAATGTTTGGAACATCCAAATGACTTGTCTGTCATAGACTAATACTCTTCGAAAACGTCATTAATATACTATTCCATTTGCCCATATACAAGTGGATAAACGAAAACTAACAAAATATTATTATATAAATGCCAAGTCTAGTCTATCTTCAAGCCTTTTAGGACTGAGCGGATTGTTTGATCGACAACATATCTTTCTTCTTGTTTTAGCTATTACATATTTCCGATTATATAATAGACTTATAGACTTAATAAACTAAGTTCCTTTTTCAAGAAAAGGTTTTGCATTTGAAAAATATAAGAGTTTTGCATTTGAAAAATATAAGAGTTTTGCACTTCAAATCAACATTATAACAGTGGAATCAGAGAACTTTGGTGGAATATAAGAAAAGAAAAAGTAATTCAAATTAGGCGTGTCTTGTAGATTCAAATATTATACAATATGGAAAATTACACACGACAAGTTCTAGTTTGAAGATATATTACTTTCTCAATTCAATGAATAGGCAACGACTGTGCCAAACTCATAAGGGAACAGAATTTTCGTATGACATCATAAATTTGATTTTGTGAGGAAACAAGAAACAGACTAGTGACTAAGGAGAGAGAGAGGTCATGCCTTTGAGAAGTTGGAAGTTGCACACATTCATTTGTTTGTCGAAATGTTTGGTACTATTATCCTTGTAATTCCATAAACATTGATTGTAGATTAGCCCTAATGGAAAATAATTTACCCTAACGAATGTCGGGGAATGCTAATTAAACAAAAAAAAAAAATTGAAAAAGAAGAGTAGAAATCTGCAATATATATACAATATGTATAGATGAACACACAATCAATGAATCTAACCACATCTATAGATCCGACTATATATGTACGTGCCAAGAACCCAAAAGCACCATTAAATATTTCATTTTTTTCAATGTGTGTATATAATAACACAAATCACTAAACTACACATATTTCATGGTCTTCTGTAGATATTATCTGATTAATGTCATTGAGTAGATACGACATAAACGTAACACATGCGTACCCATACGACGGCCATACCCACATAGCAACCATACGGCCATACAAGTTCTTATTAAAGAAATTAACAATCACAAAAATTCGTCTATCCAGATGCGACTATAGTACGTTAGGATCTATTTTAACATCGTCGAATTCAAACTAAAGCTATATATCAATAAATTTATACAAAATATATTGATCGTCATTCTCATCCCATATACTTACCCTAGGCTTGTATTACCCCCACATATATAAAATATTGATGTACGTTTCATCTTAGGAATAATTAATTAACAACATTGCTTTGAATCAGAATAAACAACAGAGTTTATCATGTCCTCCCAACGTATGATGCTTTGATCTGCGGAAGTACTTGTTGCTCCCGAAAACAAGTCCATGGCTTCGGTCTGGAAGTTTCCGAACCACTGATGATTGATATTTGTGTTAAGCAATGGAGTGTTTGTGTTGGTGCTCAAGATCGAGTTCATGGAGAAACCTTCTCCTGATCCTAAGTGGTTATCATTAGGATCTAACAAAAGTTGAGAGAAGGAGAGATGATCAAAAGCGTTTGTTCTCTCGGGTTGCTGATCTTCGATCTTGACCATGTTCTTGATGATCACTGGCTTAACATCTTCTTGGTCACAAAACGAGTTGGTTTGATTCATGAAAAGATCTGGTAATTGGTCATCGTTATCATGATGAGGAAGCTGCTGAAGTGGCCATGTGAACATTGTTTGGTCTTGTCTCATCATGAAAGTGGTTTGGATCTGTTGTTGTTGTTGTTGCTGTTGTTGTCTCTTCATCATCACCATCATCTCTTGTTGCTCCATACAGGCTTCTTGAAGCTCCTTGCGTTGTTTAATAATAAGCTTCTTCTTGAGTCTCGTGTTCCAATAGTTCTTTATGTCGTTGTCTGTTCGTCCAGGCAATTGAGCAGCAATTATAGACCACCTATATTAAATTCAGACATCATATAACCTAAAATTTATTCTCCACATGATATGTTGATGATTTACATGAATAAATGTATATGTATGATGAAAAAGTACGTACCTGCTACCAATAGTAAGATAAAGGTTACAAATAATGTTTTCTTCTTCCTCTGAGAAGCCACCATGTTTGATGTTTGGTCTTAGATAATTAAGCCACCTCAGCCTACAACTCTTCCCACATCTCTTCAAACCTGAATCCATCTCTCAACCAAGAACAATATTAAAAAAAAAGGCCTCTTTAATTATCAATTCTTCTTAGAGATAGAGCTAGAGAGATCAGAAAGAATATCATAATGGTATATCATTGTTTGCGCTTCAAATAACAAAAGTACATAACTCTTTCATAGATTTTGGAAGTTATTTTGAGTTTTGATCTAGAACACTCCGGTATATAATGATATAAATATATGAATATAAAGAGGAGTAATTGTTAATACCAATCTTGTGAGGCAAAGCGATCCAGTTTCCTCCAGTGCCACTCGTTTCGATGTATGATTTGAGCTTTGCATCTTCCTCTGGAGACCAAGGTCCTTTCTTCACGTTCGCCTTGTCACAACACGGTGCTCTTCCCATTCTTCTTCTCCTAGTGAAGTCTCTTTTTGCTTTTCTTGTTCTTAATCTTGATAGCTTGGTCTTGTTCTTGAAATCTGGTTCTATTATGTGTATGTTTGATCAAGATTATTTATGTTGGTGGGAATGATGGTGTGGATATGTGTGTGATTATAGGGGAAATGTTATGTGAAAGCAGAAAAGAGAAAAAGGAGACTATATAATAGCTGGAGGAGATAGTATTATCTCATGCGATGGAATGGAAGATGCTAAAAAAGTCTTTGAAAGAAAATATGTCAAAAAGTAGGATTATAAAAAAAACCCCAAAAATTAAAAAGTAACTTTTTGGAAATTAAAAAAATATATATTATAAGAACACGACAAAATAGTATACAATAGTGGAATTAAGAATTGGCAGAAAAGATAAGGAGGGTCTATTGTACTGTACGCAAGTCTTTAAAAGAAATTTATCTAGTTTCTTCCAAACGATGTATTGAGTATCTTATAGAATTTATAATCATGAAATGTGTAAAATATTTTGCAGCAACGAGGAGTTCCATAATCTTATAGGCCCCGTAATGTATTTCGCATTGATATATATTGAATATTTTGTGTTGGATTTTCAACTATAAAATGTATACATCTTTGCAGCTGAAAATGAAAGTATATGTACCAAAAGTAGATTGAAAATACTGTATATATAATAAGAGGTTGCATCCCAAAAAAAAAGAAAAAGAAAAAAGAATCTAAGATATAAAAGTAAAAATTCGTTATGGTAGGTGAGCAAAATTTGCCAAACTGAAGAAATTTTACCCCGGATCCGGTAAACTAATTAATCCAGTATAAAATAATTAGAAAAAACTTGATGAAAACAAAAAAAAATAATAAGAAAATAAAGAAACGAGTGATTGATCGATCATAGATGGCTTTATAGCTTTTATTCGATATATCTATGTCATGAACGCTCCCCGACATATATAATAAGGAAAACAAATTTGTATTCTTAATAATTTTCCTCTGAATTTGTAAATTCTTTATAAATGGAACTTATTTGGGTAAGTAAGTAAGTAGTAAAAATAAGAGTACGTTGCGACGCTTCTAGATGAACAAAAAAAGGTTGACTCTGAGTTGAGATTGGAAATAAAGGTTTTCAAAAGTCAAAGCACTTGGAGAAATAAAGTCATGATCGATTCTAATTATTGAGTTTTTTTCACACTGTTTATATGTATTCTTTATACGAAAAGTAAGTAAAGTTTTGAACTTTTGAAGCTCAGGGTTAAACAAATGAAAATGATTTTTGTTCAGATTTCAACACCATTGGTAGGAATTGGTCTTGTAGCGTAGGCCACCTCTTTTTATTATAACAAACTCATAAAAGCTAATACTTATTGAAAATCATGAGTGATATTTTTATGACGAGCTATATACAACGTAGCCAAGTAAGAATATTGCATACAATTATACAAATATAGTTGTGATGTGTATTGGTCGAAAAGAAGAGAAACTTTCATTAGACACGCTACAGTGATTATAGGTTTTAAATTATTGATGAATAAAAGAAATTTAAAAGGATAAATGGAAGAGTTTTGGATATTTTGTGTAGACATTTCTTTGTCTCTTCAAATGATTCAGTCTTTTTGCTACTTTTTTATATTAGGACCCATTGAGTCTTTTGGAAGCATCCTAAAGGTGAAAAAGTTTGTTTCCATGAAAAACACACTTCTTATCTCTTTTTTTTCTTTCTCTTTTTAAAAAGAAAAAAAATGAATTTATAGACTTCAAGTCATTCAAATTGGCCTCACTAAGTTCAGTATGTTATTATTTCGTAATCATGAGATAATCATGACATCCAAATAGTCGTGTTTTAAGGTATTTTTCTTAACGTTCTCATTCTCGATACACCATTTCTCTCGTTCTCGAAATTTTCTCCTTCTTTCAATAAAGTGATGATGTCATAAAGACGTACGATAATTCAGACAAACCATTGGACGTGAAATATTCAATTCAGAAACAAATATGTAAACATGGTGTCTACTGATCTTGAACCAGCTTACAAGTAGGATGATCTCAACTTTTAGACCGACCATTATTCTAGACAATCAAACTTTTTATAGTTTCAGAAATCAGGATCCTGTTTATAAAATGACAAACAAAACCAAACAACCGATTTGATAAATGCATTTGCCTTCGCTTAACTCAGATTCACAGTCCAGTTCATGTTGTCTTCACTCAGACCCATCTGCAAGCTTGTCAAAACGGTGTAGAGTTTCTCCGAGACTGGTCCAAAGCTACCTTCTCCGTAAGATACTCTGCTTGTGCATTGAGAAAGTCAGAAAAAACTCTTGTGACATACAAAAATTAACTTTGCTGGTTGTTTCTTGTTTACATGAAAATAGAAAATGAAAGGTTTCTTTACCTTTTGTCTTTGTAAGTAATGCTTCCAACGGGAGAGACAACAACAGCGGTTCCTGTGCAGAAAACCTCGTCTGCTTCCAGTAACTCGTCCACAGTCACATTCCGTTCCTCCACCTGCATAAATACAACATAAGCATGCTCTGTGATCACTAGCTAATATTGGTAAACTATGATCCACTTTTAGAGATGTGAGTATAGTTGAGAATTTTACCTGAAGCCCTTGGGTTCGAGCCACGTCGATTATACTTTTCCTTGTAATTCCGGGTAAGATGGTTCCTTTTATTTCAGGAGTAGAGATCACATTGTCCTGGCAAAGAGAGTTTAGTAAGCAACAAACTTTGGTCAAAAGGTTTCTTCTCATATAAGAGAATGAGTAGCTTGAGATGTTTGCAAATGTCCCCCAAGACAAGACAGTGCCAGAGTCTTAATCCTATAGAATCTATATGGTGGCACCATTGGATTCCGAAAGACTGGATCTTTTTTTTTATACCTTTATAATGAAGATATTGCAGGAGGAGACCTCCTCAAGAAATCTTTTGTAAACGCAATCAAGGTACAAAACATCGGAATATCCTTTAGCTTTTGCAATCGACTGTGCTTTTAATACCTATATTATAAGTTATATTGTGTGAGTACATAAGCCGATTCAAAGAACTCCAATATATGTATACACACGAAATCAGATTTACTTACTGCAGCATAGTTGCCAATGGTTTTAACACCTCCGGTACCACCAGGTGTTGCACGGTGAAACTCATTTTCCACAATCAAATTGATTGGTGCCACACCTTCCTGACACCATTATACACTAAATCATATCATCATTTAAGGAAGAAGAGACAAAACGTATCGAAGATACTTGGATAATGGTGAGAGACCTTGAAGTAGTTCCCAACAGGAGAAACATAGACAAGGAAAGTGTATTCTGGTGCAGGCGCAAGACCAAGAACAGCTCCAGTTCCCATTAGCAACGGTCTAATGTATAAGGAACCTTTACCTGGAGGTGGAATCTGAAACCAAAGACATAAACTCAGAACCTCAAACAAAAGATTTTGAACTTCTTGCACATATCCGAAAATGAAGCTGTGCCATTCGTAATTACCCAACGTTTGTTTGCTAGTACAGTTGCTTTCACAGCTTCGACAAACTGCTCAATGGTTGGAGCAGGCATACACATCCTCTCGGCACCATTTCTCATACGGGTTGCATTCTCCTCGGGACGAAAGAGGAGGATGTTCTTACCGTCTTGCTTTCTGTACGCTTTCATCCCTTCGAACAATCCCTACAAACAAAAGGGCAGCAACAGAAACACATACACTAATAAGACTCATATAGTCCTAAATTCCAATCACTCACACAACGCATTGCTTGACTGACATCTCTCATCATCATCAATTGCAGAAAAAATAAGAGGATTTTTCCATGCAAAAGAAATAAGTGAGATTCGGCTGATGGCATAAATCCTCACTAGATGTAATTAACATAGCAAAGAAGAGAGTCAAGAGACTAAACTCATCGGCAGATTGTGTTTCAGTGTCAAGAATCTGATAGATCTCTCCATACTTTCAAAAATGAGTCTTGATTAGCATAGACGAAGCTTCTTTCATATAACTCATTACAGTAAAGAAACAGGATTTTGAGAAACTAGGAAACAAAGTCAACGGCAGATTACATTTCGGTGTCAAGAATCTGACAAAAGTTCTCCATACTATCAGATCCTTACCTAAAGATTACAATAAAGGACAGGACTTCGAGAAAGCAAGCATACAAAATCGGACAGCACTAGCAGATTGCGTTTCAGTGTCAAGAATCTGCTAAAATCCTTACATACTATCGAATCCATCACCTTAATAACCCCACACACACAAAAAAAGGACATCTTTTGATTCATAATCTAAGCTTGGTTTGATCACCAAAACTCAATTACAGAAAAAAGACATGACCTTTGAAGAAAAGTAGGAGACAAAACCTGTCCATAGTTGAGTACACCAGCAGATGGGCTGACTTCAATGTTCCCAAAACGTTGCAATTCACCATTTGAGAATTCTCCATCAAGGTCACACTTCATCACGTACATGTAATCAGTCTGCTTAAGCCCGAATCCGATGTTGTCCCAATCTATGTCGGCTAATTCAGTCATATCCGTACTATTCCACATATAAAAACCAATTTTCATCAGTAACAATTCAAATACCCAAAAAAAAAAAAAAAAAAAAAAAATTTGATTCTGATTCCTAACGAACCTGGAAGAAGAATTGGATAAAACAGCGTTGCATCGAGTAAGGGAGATTCCGCCATTGATGAAGCTGGAAGATACAGAGGACGAAGAAGAATGCTGAAGCTGAGAATGTAATCGGAGAAAAATGATTCAGATAAAACAGGAAACAATTACAGTAAGAGAAATCGAGTGAAACAGTGGGAAAGAGAGAGTTGACCTTGATGGAGGAAGACGACGGCGATAAGTTCCGAGTAGAGGAGAATGAGTGGAGGCGCGTGGTGAAGGCGCGTGAAGGACAGAGAAACTGGTTTTGATTAAGGCTCGGGGAAATTGTTGCTCTCTCCATTTTTGTCTGAAAAATGTGTAGTGTTTGCTTCTTCTTCTTCTTTCGGTGTCTGTATGGGTGACGGAGGAAGCCCTCTGCGTTTTTCCTTTAAGCTTTCTTTTGCCCTACTTTCAATCTTTTAATGTTTTCTTATCAAATTAAATGTACAATAAATTTGGTTATTTAAGATTTCGGAATACATATCAAACCATAAGAAACATTACTTTGTATCAATTTTATCTAATTTAATTCATTCATTTTCTTTTCATTTATTCTAATTTTAATTTCATTCATTCGGCTTTTTAATCATTCGATTATTTTCGTTTAGCTGACATATTTATTAATTAGACTTCTTGGTTCATATTTGGAGTTAGATTAGAAGATAAGGCCATAATATCTTGTACTACAACAATAGAGATTAGTGAGGCATGAGATATCTTGTGAAAATGCTAGTTGGCTATTGAGTTGACTAACCATTTACGTAATTACGTTAAGAAGAAAATAACTATAAAACAAAGACCAAAACTGTGGTTACAAAAAAAAAAAGACCAAAACTGTTTTCTATTTTTTGTTTGACAAGACGGAAAATCTTATAAAAAGGAAAAGAGAGAAAATGATTTTTTTTTTAAAAAGACCGAAAATGTCTATTCACCAACTACTTAAGTAGCTCTTAAAATACAACGTGTCTTTCATGCGTTTGTGTTGTATCCTCTTATAGAATATGAAATGGGCCTAGGCCATTACTAAATTGGATCGAGCCTGAAACTGGGCTCCAATAAAGGTTTCCCGAATTCCTAATAGCATAGCTCGGTATCGTACAGTAGGATTTGCGACAGCCGTGGCCCATAAATTGATAAATGGGCCTGCTTAATTTTATGATTGGATTGATAAAGCGTGGCTAAGAAACTGATGAAACGTGGGGGTAAGCTTCAATAGTCAAATGTGTGTAAATTCAAATTGTGATACACAAACTTATTTGGTTGGCTTATTTATCAAGAATGACTTGTGGATTATTATTGTTTTTTTCTCTTCATATTGACTACTTTCTGAAGCTATACAAATACGCAAAAGGGTGTGACATAACTGTAAATATTGGTAAAACAAACCAATGAAGAAGGCAGAAGAAAGAAACAAACGTGCAAATTGCAAAAACAAAACAAAAGGTACATACATATCTCAAGTCATAATAATTCCATGGCCGATCCAATATCTCTTCTTCTACACCTTATTTGTGGATGGGGTTGTGATGAACCTCCGTTTAAGTAGATGGGGTTGTAATGGACCTCCACGCCCGAAAGCTCAATTAAAATAGCTATGCTGGAATATCGAGACGGCTATGAATCATGGAAGATCTCAATAGTATATGAAATTTTGAATGATGTATAACGATTAGTATTTTCAATCTGACATACATCTGCAGTTGCATGCACCGTAATGCGAACGCCCCACTTGGCATTCTTAGACATGTTAGTACTTAGTTACATACCTCAGAGAAAGTTCATTGGGACGTATCTTTTGTAGGATTGTAGACTTGTAGAGAAAATTTGAGCTGTTTTCATATTAATTTGTTGTCTAACTTGTTTATGAAAAATTGAAATTTTCAAGAGTTTAATCGTCAGCCAAAGAACGGAATTGGCAATTTCCATCTCCTGGAATCTTGGCCTACAACAATCTTTCCCACTCTAATCTATCCCCAAGTACTTAATCTTAGAGTTAGGCATTCTTTAATTAATTAGGTTTTATGTGAAGACAATGATCAAATTCATTTGCTTCTTTGAATAGATTAGGGTTAGAAGATCTATTTATAAATGTCAAATTTAAAATTCTAATTTTACCCACCAAAAAAAAAAAAAAAATTTAAGAATCTAGATATTTGAAAAAATTAAACTGAATATTCAAACAAATATTCTTTTTATTCTTTCTCATCTCAATACTCATGGGTATGGAAGAAAATTCTGGATATCAAGGAAAGTAACAACACCAATAACTAAAAGGATTTGATTTCGATGGGTCAAAATCAAAGTTGTGGTTGTATGGCTTATATTAAATGAGAGAGAGAGATGTCATAAATGGTTCATAAAAATTAGATTTTTGCTTGAAGACAAGGGAAGAGAGTTGAAAAAAAATCTTAGGACCATTTGATTCATTAAAGACACTACTACACATACATTGGTAATTAGGTGGTTGGCCAGCACATATGTGCGGATATAATTTTTTGATATACATAATTAATTGTAATATTTAAATATTGATTAGTTTTTTAAAACATTGGCATGTTTGTATATATATTGTTTTAATATTTTACAAACTTCTTTCTGAAACCAATGTATTTTAAAACTTTTTATTTTTATAATGCTTGTAATAATATATAATCACAAATATAAAAGTTATGTTAAATAATAATTAAATTCTTATAATATTTTTTGAATATTTCTATAATATGTTTTATTTCTCCTTACACAATCTACAATATGCTTTTTGCGTCTTACATAATATGAATTTGCAAATACATATATAATATATTTTAAGTATATATTTTTCTTGATTTATTGCAATTTAAACTGAAATAGCTTTTATCATTTTTATTTATTTATAAGAGCGGATAGATGCATGTGCGGGCATACCAACCACTTCACTACACTTAGAATAGATAAAGAGTTTTTAAGAAATATAAATTGTATAATAATTAAAATAAAAATTAGACTGTAATCAATCTTAACAAAATACATGCACGAAAAAGTTCGCATGTGACTTCAACTAATGTACAATTAATATTTATGTCTGTACGCATATTTGTAAAAAAATTAAAATATGGATCTTACGTGTTAAAAAAATTTTAAGTGACTTTGTAAAACAAAGGGCGAGAGATTTATTTTTATTTCTTATTCATATTGTTTCATCTTATTATAATTTATTCTTTCGTTGTTCAGTTATTTTTTAATTAATTTATGATCTCAAAATTTTATTTTTATTTAAAATATGATAAGAGATAAGATGGTAACATAAGTTATGTACATTTTAGAAAACAACAATAAAAAGATGATAAAAGTTATAGAAAAATATATGGTCCTATTAATATTATAAAATAATAATTAGTATATACTTTATTCATTTAGTAAATATTGGTTTGAAAAGAAAATTATTTAAAATTACGTTTTTAAAACAAAAATTCAATAAAAGTTAATTATTTTTATGATTTTAACATTTTATTCTATAAATTATTTTTATCATGATTGTATTTTATTAAAAATAATTTTATTTAATAATTTTTTTATTTAAAACTTGTTTAGATGTTATTAATATATTTTATAAATTAATAACTTTCCGAAATAAAAATATATCATACTTATAATATTATTAATAAATAGAATTTTTACTGTTCTATTGGATAATTTAATATTATTTTTTGTTTTGATACGAAATTATAATATATATATATATATATTGTTGAAAAAATCGTAATTATATTTTATGAAATTATAAATATATGTAAAAAATTGTAATTATAATAGTTTTTATTTTCTGTTAATTTAAATTTGTTAATTTTAGTGTTATAAATATAATTTAGTTTATTTATGTTTTAATTTCATAATTTCTGTAATTTTAATTCAACCAATCAAAATATTTCGTTTATTTTAAGAAATTTGACATGTCACATTTATATGTCATCAATTAAAAGCACTAACTTTGGCTGTAATGTTGACAAGTCAGCTATTTTCAATAATGTTACTTCTCAAATAATATTTAGTAGATTATTTGGAGAAATTGTGAGTGAGCTTTCACTTTCTCCCTTCTCACCATAACTGATCTTCAGTCCCACACACACATACATTCATACTCTATAGTTTCCCCCCTCCCCCCCTCTCTGTCTCTTTTCACATGGAATGTCTTTTTGTGCCGCAACGAGCTACCACAATCAGATACAGTCCAAAAGAGTAAAGCAAAGGTGAGAAAGTATGGTTATTTTGATGGTATATGTAACAAATAATAAGCAAGGACAGCTATATTATTTTTTTCTATAAAAGAATATAAAGTTCCAAATTCAACACATTTCCATCAAAATCACCATTAAAGTGTTTACTTGGACCAGTCAGTTTTAATCATGTTCGTAACCGCATGTATGTATGCATATTGTTCTCGAAATTCAAGTTTTCTTGAAATTAACTTTTACTTTATGAAATCGAACCTTAATGTACGTATTCAAAATTCCTTTGCAAAGGATAAAATAAAATTACCGAGGCAAGAAAACAACGGTAAGAAATAAAACAACGTTATCGAATCATAGACTGAAGGCTAACACCAAATCTCATTTCAACTTAAACCGAGACGTCTCCAACTGAAAGGACAAATTTGCCCCTCGATTACCGCCGCTTGCCGGTAAATCTAATTCCCAATCGCCGACAAGTCTAACTACTGAGGAGATCCGGCGGACTTCCTGAATCCGGCGACGATTCACTAAACGCTGGAGCTTTCTCCGTCACGTCTGATTCCGCCGCCTGCTGCTTCGAAAGAGGGATCTTTGGGATCTCGGTGAGGATCTGAACAACTTCCCGCATCGTCGGCCGCTCCACCGCCTGTTCTTCAACGCAGAGCATCGCAACGTAGAAGACGTGTGTTACTTCGTGGACGGGCACTGAAGATAATCTAAGGTCGATTACTTTGAGCACACATTCTTTGTTTGAATCCGTCATGCGTCGAACCCACTGAACGATATCAACGCCGTCGCCGAATTCTCCGACGGGTTTCCTTCCGGTGATGAGTTCCAGAAGAACAACACCGAAGCTGTACACATCGCTCTTCTCATCTACCTTCAACGTATACGCGTATTCTGCCATTAACAAGTAAAAACAAACAGTTCAGAGACTTTGACACCCACCAAGTGTTTGATTAAATTCTAAATTACAAAAAAAAAAAAAAAATAACGTGAGTTAAGGAAGTACCTGGAGCAATGTAGCCGTATGATCCGGCAATTGCAGACATACATTCAGAAGTTCCGGAATCTTGTAAGAACTTGGCGAGACCAAAGTCGGCGACGTGAGCTTCGAAGTTTGAATCGAGGAGGATGTTGTTTGATTTGACATCTCTGTGAACGATCAACGGGGAACAATCATGGTGGAGATAGCAAAGACCCTTGGCTGCTTCAAGGGCGATCTTGTAACGTGTGTCCCAATGTAAATGACCTCCTTTCTTCCCATGAAGAACCTCTCCAAGGCTACCATTAGGCATGTACTCATACACAAGGAGATTTGTTTCGTGGTTAGAGCAAAACCCGAGCAGCCTGACAATGTGCCTGTGTCTGATCCTCCCTAAAGTCTGAATCTCCGCGTTGAACCCGTGGTCATGGGAAGATCCATGAGACATTGTAGCCAATCTCTTGACCGCGACTAGTTCACCACTAGGCATCACGCCTTTGTAGACAATCCCGGCACCGCCTTTACCGATGATGTTGTCTTCTTTAAGAGAGACCAAGACATCGTCACAGGTGAAGTCTAGTCTCTGGAAAGCAGTCAATCTCCAGGCCTTGAAGTCACTAGCGTTTCTCAAGGACCTAGCTTTGACTATGGCAGCTATAGCAAACACCATGGAACAAAAGAGCAACCCGAGGACGAGTAACAGTTTCGTAGTAGCGGATAAAGGTTTAACACGAGGCTGGTGAGTTCCTTTGCCTTTGCAAGGACCCAAATACGGACCACAGAGTTCAGAATTACCCAAGAACGATGTGTAGTTGAAGTAACTGAACTGTCCGGTGCTGGGAACTAAACCGGAGAGATTGTTGTAAGAGAAATCAACGGATGTCAGACTCTGCATTGACGCTATCGTCACAGGGATCGAACCAACGAGATGGTTCCTCGAGATATTCAAGTAGTTCAAGATCCTCATGCTTGTGATTTCGTTAGGGATCTCACCAGAAAGCTCGTTACGACTCAGATCAACGAACGTTAGCAACTTACAGCGACTGATCTCCGGTGCGATCCGACCCGATAACAGATTGTGGCTCAGGTCCATCTTGGATAGCTGCTGAAGCCTCCCAATCTCCGACGGAATCGGACCAGCGAACTTGTTACCATCTAGGAGTAGTTTCTGGACGCCGGAGAAGTTTCCGATGGCCGGCGGTAGTGGACCAGAGAGCTGGTTGTTTGATAGACTGATCTGTCCGAGGTCTAAAGAGACTCCTCCGCTTATTGGTAACTCTCCGGTGAGGTAATTGTCTTGGAGCTCCACTTGAGATAATTTGGGTAACCCGAAAAGCCCCTTTGGAATCGACCCGTTGAGGAAGTTCTCGCCCATTCGGATCCGGGTCAGAGCCTCGCATTTGCCGAGCGAATCAGGGATTGAACCAAAGAGGAAGTTGCCGAGAGTGATCAATGTCATTAACCTGTTGCCGGAGCACATATTCGGCGGCAGAGTCCCGGTGAGTTTGTTGGAGGAGAGATCGAGGATCACTAATCTACCGTTTTCCCCCAATTTCTGAGGGATGCTGCCGGTGAAATTGTTCTCCCACAGCTGCAACACCTCGAGCTCCGGCAAGTCACCGATAAACTCAGGTATGGCACCGTACAGTTTGTTCCTGAAGAGATTCAAAAGCGTTAAGTTCTTCAGCTGTTCGAAACTCGCCGGAATCTCGCCGGTGAACATATTGTTAGACAAATCCATTGATTTCAAGCTCGAAATCAACCCCAGCTCCGGAGTTAATGGACCTGCGAACGCGTTTACTTGGAGGAACAACGTATCGAGCTTCTGGAGCCTCCCAATCTCCGGCGGAATCTTTCCTGTCAAACCGCAGTTAGCGGCGTCGAATCGGACGAGCTCCGATAGATTTCCAATCTCCGGTGGAAGACCATCTTCGAAAGCGTTGTAATATCCGATATAGAGCTCCCGGAGGCTCGTTAGGTTTCCGATCTCCGGAGGGATCTTCCCGATTAGCTCGTTGCCGGAAACTGCTAGGTACTCGAGAACAGGCCAGCTTCCGTACACCGCCGGGATACGGCCAGCGAAGTAGTTCCCACCAAGGTGAAGATGGCGGAGCTGTGTGAGGTTGGTGATGGAGACCGGCAAATCTCCGGTCAAATTGTTGTTGTACAAATCGAGGACCTCGAGATTGACCAATCCAGCGGAGAGTTCATCGGGATACGAACCGTTGAAGACATTATTGGAGAGATTAAGATGACGGAGCTCAGAGAGATTGGCTATCTCCGGTGGAATAGGACCCGAGATTTGGTTAGCAGCGACCGATAGATTCTGCAACAGAGGTAAATGAGCTACGTCGGAGGAGAGAGTCCCCGAGAGGTCAAGGCCGGAGAGGTCGAGGGAGGTCACGTGCCGGCGAGAGACGTCGCACGTGACGCCGGTCCATAGACAGAAGCTCGTCGAAAGCTTCCATGATGTGAGAGGTGAGTGTTTGTCATTTCTGCCGCCGGCAAGGGAAGATTTGAGTGAGAGAAGAGCATGAAACTCGGAGATTGGTTGACCGGCGGTGAAGGAATGAGAAATGTGGAGGAGAAATAGAAGGAGAAGAAGAATCTTCATGGCTCTATTTTTTTCTCCTTCTGTGTAAGTTAGGTTTTGGTTTAAAAAGGGTGATAGTGTGGTGAGGGTAAGTGAGGAAGATGATGAAAATGGCGTGTTTGATATTTATTTTGTATATTGCAAATTATTTCACTTTTATTTCTTTTGGAGTTTACTTGTTTAATTTCATTCGAAAATGTAACTGGAGGGAGATATTTAGAAACTTTCTGATTTCGAGAAAAAGTAGAAACCACAATTTGCACACAAACTCTCTTGGAGATAACCATATATTAATTTTAAAAATACTTCGACTATGTTAGAAAACAAAACAACAGCTTGAAAATCCTTTTAAGTAATTTATCTATTTAGATAAATATGCATGCAATATCGTTAATAAAACATATAACTAGGGAAAACAGAAGGTTCATTAATTTCCTTTTGGAGTCTTGTTGTTTCTAATTCTGAATGTTTTGAAACGTGATGTTACCAAGTCTTGACAAAAATCTTCTAGTTTATATTCTTTAATTTTTAGTACGTCACATATGGACATAGTAATACACATAATATATTATGGACATAATAAATTAATACACAGTATGGGCATAGTAATACACAAAATATATATTTTGGGGTCAAATACACATAATAATATATGATGGACATAATAAAGCGAGACATAAATTCATTTATACTAAATATGTAGAAGGGGCCAAAGATAAAAGCCATAACTAATATTATTAATGATGATGAACGGTCCTGATGTTATAGTTTAAAGGAAAATTATGGATCCCACCAGGATTCACACAAACTTACCGATTTATCGAGGGACCCGCTTTTTCTCAACAAGATAAAAAAATATCATTTAAATGTTGAACTTTCAAATTTCAGCTATTCTAAGCATCACCTTTTGTGTGATTTATTTAAATATCAAACTTTTTGGTCATTGATGTTAAAATCATAAACTTATATTGACTTAGTCATTTTAAGCACGACGTTAATATCACTAACAAATTGACTAAACACTGTTTGGTCAACATCAGTTAATAAATTCAATATAATATCTAATATGGCCAATCAATATAAATTTATAATTTAAAAGATAATCGATATAGAATTTTATGATTTAAACTGTTCACGCAAAATTTAATGCTTATAATGGCCGAAATTTAAAAGTTTGGCATTTAAATGACATTTTTTTACTAAACGGTAACTTTTATTTCTAATTGAAAAAATATCTCAAACTTAAGATTATACAATATAAAAGATTAAGAATCTTAAGGTTTTTGAACTTTGTAATTAGCAATAAAACTGATAAAAAAGCAGCTTAAACTTAACCTATTGAGGTTCTTTGAGATAACACATGATTCACTTTACAATGTGATTTTATAAACAAAACCCAAATAGTTCAAGATGGTAAGATTACAATAGTTCTCTCCCACAACTTGAAACTCGAATCTTTCAGTAAAATTGTGATCATGAGCGATAAATGATCATTGTTTTATAGATTTTCTATTTACTAAATGCAAATTAAATTAATTTCTTATTATGATAACGCTAACGAGGTAGAACAAATATTTTTGTGTTTGGCATCTTTGAAAAAGAAAAAAAAAATATATATGAAACGTACCCACTACACAAAGCAAATCTTTTTTTATAGTTCAGTTATATAAATAACTAAATATGAAACTTATCGTAATAATAGAGACATTAGTCGCATGCAATTAGTTGATAGTCTTTCTTAATTTATGGATTGCACTCAACTAGTCATTTATTTATCACAATCTGTCGTAAGATTTGCATTATTAAAAACTCTTTAGATGTGGTTAAAGTGATTTTTTTTTAAGTTAAACTCAACCTTTTCATTTTTTGTTGTTTTGGTGTAATATAAATTTAATTTACATTTAAATATATTTTTAATTAGTTTGGATTTACTTGGTTTTGTAGTTATGTAAACTGGTTAAAATTGAAGTTCAGTTAGTAGAAAGAAGAGGAAAATGCCATTTAAATGCCAAATTTTTAAATTTCGGCCATTATAAGCTTAAATTTTGCGTGGACAGTTTAAATCACAAATTTTTATATCGATTATCTTTTAAATCACAAATTTATGTTGACCAGCTATATTAGGCATGACATTGAATTCACTAACTGACGTTGACCAAACAGCGTTTAGTCAATCTGTTAGTGATGTTAACGTCGTGCCTAAAATAGTTAAGTCAACATAAGTTAGTGATTTTAACATCGGTCAAAGAAAAGTTTGTTATTTAAATGAATCACACAAAAGATGATGCTTAGAATGACTGAAATTTGAAAGTTTGGTATTTAAATAACATTTTTCCCCATATATATAGCTAGACCTAAACAAAACTTAAGATTAAGTGACCAAAACACCCCTTTCAATGGCACCGTAATTACATCTCTACCCTTAGGACCACAACAAGGCCCAACGCATGACAACAAACAGAGAGACCGGTCTCTGTTATTAGGGAATAGCCGAATAGAGATGAAGACAATGACGCGAATAACCCTGAGATGTCTGCACGGCAACAATTAAGAGCCTCGAGAGATGGGTAGGGACAGGATCGTAATTTTTAGTGTGTAAGGTAGTCAGCAAAAACAGTGTGCATCATTTTCATCTTTTGCCAGTTACCCACACCGTTCGCTGATCAACAATTATGATTTGTGCAATGAATAAATTTGTCGTTTTCGATCTATTTTTTATTTATTTTCACAAGTTAGTTTCAGTATTTTTTTTATCTCGTATTAATTGGAATCTAATCGCAAAAATATAGAGCCGAAATATGGATTATGGTAATATAAAAAATAATCAGGAGGAAATTTCTTAGCCAGTGGCCCAGAGATTAGACAAAATATACTGTATTAGCCACTGGACTGAAATAAGTCGTACTCATATTGGGTGAACTTTGTTGTCTTCTTATGGACCCGGACCAATATAATAGTTTTTTTTTCATATGCAACGCACTTCTTCCTTGCACGTAATAATAAAATAAAATTACTGAAAAAATACAAATACTAAAAAACATTTGTAAATATTTCTTCGAATGATGAGAATTGGCAAGCACGTGTGTGGAAAGATATACTTTTGGATGGGTGTGTGTGTTTGGAGATCCGCTTGTTGAAGCTTGATTTCGTATTTGGTACCAAATCTGAAATATTAATTTGACAGAAAGATTATGATGATAAGCACTACACCAAATAAAGTGTAAAACCTAACCATTTTTTATGACATAAAAACATCAACCTAAACATAGTTCTGTAATAAATTAATCACAACTATCTAAAAAACAGTCTCTTTATCTTCTCTCTCTCTCTCTCTCTCTAGCCTATAACAAAACACTGGATATAAGAGAAAGGGAGGAGATGATTAAAACCCAAATGCTTCAAACATGTCACACTATGGTTTGTTCTCCTGTTCCATGTCGAGTGTAACGTTCGATTATGACCCATCCACTATCCTCCTCTATGACCGATCCACTATAACAATCTTTTACTTACCTTATAAACATATCTCAAGAGATAAAGCTATAATACTTTGATGTTTGTCTGTTTTGGGAGAGACACAAACAATGACTCGGTCTTTAGGAATTGCTGCTTCTGTTGCTTTCTGCTGAATCATGTAAACCGAAAGACACGCTGTAAAAGCAGCCCACTGGTGTAGCAAAAAGACATCTTTTTGTTTTTAAGTTTTGAAATTGATTTAAGAGAATGATGGGTTCAAATTTTCAGGTGGTCCAATTCAAAATTTGAAGAAAAAACCAAAGACTTTACAATAAAATTGATAAAAAAAATAATGAAAATGGGACAGGACACAGGAACAAGGGACCATAAGCTTCATCATCATGGCCCAACCAACTACCATACATAATCGACATATAGTCATATATATGTACTTTGACCATAAGGTTCATGCGCAATATGATTCGTATGAACATTCACAACCTTAAAAAACTTCAAAACCAATAGTATCTTACAAAAAGAAACTTACAATACATCGAATTGAAAAGGGAAAAACGGTTAGGAAGATTTGAGCTCAATCTCTCAAGTCCCTTTGCACCTGCAGGATTCAAAGAGTTTCTCTTTGCCTTTAGATCTACCTAAATAGTTCCGAGTCACACAACTGTTTCATTTTCCCTACACCTGACTAAAAAATGGGATCTTGACATAATGAAGCTAGAATCAACCTCACATGACTCAGCTATGAGAATAAGCAATGGCTGGTTACGGCATGAAGAGGAATGGATTTGGAAGAGAGAGTCATGTGTTTCATTCTTTCTTCTGTCTCCAAATTCTTATAGACTTGTCGAGTGAGCTTGATGCGATCAAGTTCTCTGTCGGGTGGCAAGCCACGCTCATCACAGTCTCAGTGTGACCCTCAAGTTTCTGAAGCAATTTCCTCGAGTTCAGCTCCCACATGTATACACATTTATCCTCGGATCCACTCACGATTCTCTTTCCACTTGTGACGGAGAACCCAGACGAAACGGAGTACTCTGAGTTCGTGTGGCCAGTGTATGTTTTGAGGAATTTAGCCGAAGAAATGTTCCACAGCCTCTGCAAAAAAAAAAAAAAAAATTGAGTTTTGTGGAGAGTTCAGTGCACTAATAAACGAATCATGAGAATTCACATCTTCTCCAATACCCTATAGATGCAAAACCAATCAAACACCAAAAGGTTCATCTTCCAAGCTACAACTCTCTAAGATACCACCATTCAAAGCTCTGGAATCTTGATCCATAACAGAACTATACTAAAACGATCAAAACTCTCGAATGTTGCAGACTTTAGTTCTGGATGGTTCCTCCTACCTCAAATTTTCTCTCAACACACATTCTAGAATCTAAGTTAGCACATTCTATCTACCAAGATCTTTATCATTTCCTCGGAAAAGAACTATAGCAAACATCAACTCTCTAGATGAGTTCAGCAAGATTTCACAATGAGCGTTACAGCAGCATCTGGTGAAATGGTAATGGAAGGAGAAGCAGAAGAACTCACCAGCGTGTTATCGAGTGTGGCAACGAGGATGAACTTGCCGTTGGGAGAGAACCTGACGAAGGAAACAGGAGGATTCTCTTCGTCCATCAGAGTTTTCACGCAATGTCCAGTCCCTGAATCCCAAATGCGGCACAACCCATCGTAGCTACTCGAGACGATGAGAGAGCCGTCGCGATTGAAATCCACGGCGGTGACGGGATCGGAATGCGCGGGAAGAACTTTCAGGCACTTTCCAGTTTTCACATCCCAGATCCGAACAGTCTCGTCATATGAACCAGAGACAATCATGTTTGATTGGGGATTGAAGTTGACGCAGAAGGCGTAGTTAGTGTGCCCGTTAAGCGTCTTGATCAGCGAGCCGGTTTCAACGTCCCACAGCTTCAGGGTTTTGTCATCGGAAGCTGAGACGATAAACCTCGAGTCTGAAGAGAAGGCGACATCGGAGATGCCGCACTCGTGGCCGGTGAACACTCGTAAGGGCTCGGCGATTGAATCTCCGTCGACATTGATAGAGTAAGTGCGGATGGTCTTGTCGGCGGAGGCGGAAGCGAGGAGGCGGCCATCGGAAGAGAATTTCACGGAGGAAACGGCGCGGTCGTGGGATGTTAGGGTTTGGGAGTGCACGTAGGGGATGAAAGATGATGATGCTGGAACTTCCTCTGCCATAGGTAAGAGAAACGAATGTATCTTTTGTTGGAAATTGAATCGAAGTTACGAAATTTCTCTGGATTGAATTTGGCTGCTTTAGGGTTTTGGAAAAGGGGCTCTTGTGTCCAAGGAGAGAGACGATCAGTGTGCTTCAAACAAAAATAGTGGGGTTTATTTTGAAAGTAATAATACTATTGGTGTATCTTTCGAGTTTCTGTAAATTAGACTAATCTCACGAACGGCTCACGTGCTCACTGTTCTGAATGTTTGGTTTTGTATAAAAACAAATAAAAGGTGATTTTGTATAAAGTTTTCGAATCAAAACAACTACACTATAAGCGATTTTGTAATTGATGTACCGAAAGATTCTTCGGTGAGAAATAAATTTCAAGTTGAGTTGAAAGAACATGCATACTAAATTATGGGTTAAATAAACTAGGTGTGAGTACCCATACTTATATGTGGGTAGTAGTAATGCATTTAAATTAAGAAGATATATTCGTCATAGAAGATTAAATTTGTTGATAATGTGCAAGATGGGCCAGAAGATAACACAAAAGTTACATGATTTTGAAAGGTTTTACTTTAACAGTCATACAAAAATATTAGATGACCCTAATTTGTTTTTAGCCTAGAAAAATCACTAATTATGTGTAAGCTTAGTGGCTAATGGTTGTATGTAAATATTATTAGAATAGGAAATCAAATATTCCTTTTATGTATTTTAGTTAACTATTATCCTTTCTTCTTATCCTCTTGTCTTGATCGAACTCATACGAGTCATGAGGTGGAGCTAGCCTAATGAGCTACACGATTACCTAAAATACATAAAATTAGGAATATATGATTTCCACGTTCTAATAAATACCACCGTAATCAGTTAACTTTTACCAAACAACAAAAAAATTTTGTTTTGTCACAACAACGAAAATATCTTTTATGAAATTATTACATATACAAAAAAAATTTAAACGTCAAGTCAGAAAAATATCGTATATCATATGGTATTAGATGGCACGTCGTGTACAGCGTTTGCAACTTCGTCAAATTAATCTGTTAATAAAAATCAATTTGCCACAAAAATCCAAATTTATAAGCTTTTCGACTAAATATTAGTATTATTATAACTTTATGAATATGTATACAAATCTTAACAATAAATTCGGGTCCCACACTCACTCTCTTACATGTACAGTTCGAGATCTCTACCGCTCAGATACAAAATCAACGACTCCGATGACATTACCACATCTAATACAAAATGCACCGTAATGCATGTGATCCGTACTCGATATCCCTCTCGCACGATCTTTATTTTTTTTTTCCTTCTTCTGATTAGTTGTTAGAAAAGAAAAAATATTTAATTTTTTTTTTTCGTTTTGTGATGTTTCAGAAAATCGCTCAAGCATTTATTGATTTTTTTAATTTCCAGCTTAAATCTATTCATAAATTTTTGAACGGTGAATTTATACAGAGAGAAATGTTGAAACCATTAAACCTTTTGAATTCTACCCTTTAAGCTCAGCTGAATTTTTCTTCGCCTCACTCAGTTTTTTTTTTTTAATTCCGCATATTTGTAGCAGTCAGTTTCTGTTTGTCTTTTGATCGTTGAAGCTCTGTTTGTTTTCCGAGAAAATCTGCATTATATTCCGGGAAAATTCGACCTCGCATTGGGTTTTTTTTTTCTCGCTCTAAGCTTACGAAATGCCGAGCATTAGAGCTCCAGCTGCGAAGAAGACCACCACACTCACGGTTAGCTCTCCTTTGAAATTTCCCGGTTTATCCACTCTGAATTTTCTTGATCGCTTATTGAATTCTCCATGTTTTCCCGGTAGGTCGCTGTGAAATGTAGACCGTTAATGGAGAAAGAACGAGGAAGAGACATTGTTCGAGTGAATAACTCTAAGGTCTGTTCAGATTTTTTTTTTGGGGGGGTTTTCTTCAACTTCCCAGTTTTCGATTTTGAAAATTTTCGCCCTAATTGTGTGTTTTCGATTTCAGGAAGTGATTGTGTTGGACCCTGACTTATCTAAAGATTACCTTGACCGAATTCAGAATCGCACCAAAGAGAAGAAATATTGCTTTGATCATGCATTTGGCCCCGAGAGCACGAACAAGGTTCCGTCTCTCTGGAGATTTGTGATTTCGTAGGATCTATGGTTTTTGTTTATTCCGTTGAGAAATTTTTCTGGAAACGTTTAGGTTTCTCAGTAAGTGACTGTGCTTGTGGGATATTTGACTTGTGGTTAAAGGTTTGTGATTTTTGGATACATGTGTTGGTTTTGCAGAATGTGTATAAGAGTATGTCGCCTGTGATCTCTGGGGTTGTTCATGGACTCAACGCTACAGTGTTTGCCTATGGTTCCACTGGAAGGTATGCATTTGACATTAAACTGGCTTCATGAGAGAATCTAAGGATAGTGATGCATTGTGGCCTCTTTTTTTTTTGTAGTGGCAAAACGTATACAATGGTTGGAACTAGGAGTGATCCTGGATTGATGGTTCTCAGCCTGAATACCGTTTTTGATATGATTAAGTGTGACAAGAGCTCTGATGAGTTTGAAGTGACTTGCTCATATCTTGAAGTCTACAATGAAGTAAGGGTCGGTCTGATTAGAATTGATTATTGTTTGTTTTTTTTGTGTGTGCTTACACTTATAATTATTACTATTTTTGTCACAATGTAACCCAGGTTATCTACGATTTGCTTGAAAAATCCTCTGGTCATTTGGAGCTCAGAGAGGATCCAGAGCAGGGGATAGTAGTTGCAGGTCTACGATCAATCAAGGTCCATACTTTTTCTTGCTTTTTAGATGTATTGCAAAACCTGATTTTCAGATATCGTCTAGGAGTTTTCAATATGATACCATTGGTTCCCATCATGGTGGTGTGTCATATTTATTAGCGAATGGAATGGAAACCCTTTACAGAATTAATGTTGTATGGCTTACATTAAAGTTCTTCTTTTGCCTCCCAGTTTTGTTAATCTAAGTATTTCTATTAGAGAGTTTTGTTGATGAAGAGGAAGACCACAACTTATATCTCCTTTCTTGGCTACTAATATGTTTTCCAATACTTTTGAGGAAAACTGTTTTGATTGTGTCATCATAGAAAACATTTACTATTTTTTCAACATTCGCAACTTGGGACCTTAATCAAAGAGTTTCTTTTGTAGGTCTATTCCGCAGATCGGATTCTTGAGCTTCTGAACTTGGGGAACAGTAGACGAAAAACTGAGAGCACGGAGATGAATGGAACATCATCAAGGTGAGTGATGCTTTCGAGGCCTATCTTTCGCTACATCTCACAGCAATGCAGTGGCTAATTATTAGCTATATGGATTTGCTTGTTAAAAATTACCAGGTCCCATGCAGTTCTGGAGATTGCAGTAAAAAGAAGGCAAAAGAATCAAAATCAAGTCATGAGAGGGAAACTCGCCCTTGTAGATCTTGCTGGCAGTGAAAGAGCAGCCGAGACGAACAATGGAGGTCAAAAGCTGAGGGATGGAGCCAATATTAATCGCTCACTCCTCGCACTTGCAAATTGCATTAACGCTTTGGGGAAGCAACACAAAAAGGGTCTTGCGTATGTTCCATACAGAAACAGGTATGTGTCAGATATGTGATCTTTCCATCTTTAAGTGGTCTTCTTCTTTCTTTACTGAGACAATACGCGTGTAATTTCAGCAAACTTACGCGGATTCTTAAAGATGGTCTGAGTGGGAACTCCCAGACAGTGATGGTTGCAACTATATCACCTGCTGATAGTCAGTATCATCACACTGTGAACACACTGAAATATGCTGATCGAGCAAAAGAGATTAAGACACACATTCAGGTGACGATAATCTTCCTCTGAATAATTCTAGTCCACGAGATTGTTAATTGGTCTAGAAGTACTTACTAATTCTCTTTTCATGTACTTCAGAAAAATATTGGTACCATAGACGCCCATATGTCAGACTACCAACGAATGATCGACAATCTTCAAGTAAGTTCATTACTTTTATCCACGTTTGTTAAAAAAAGGAATGTAGTAGCAGTATATAACTCAGAGCTTTGGTTTCACAGAGCGAGGTTTCTCAGCTGAAGAAGCAACTAGCAGAAAAAGAGTCGCAGCTAAGCATCAAACCTTTCGAAAGAGGCATTGAACGTGAGCTTTCGTGGTTGGATGGTTTAAGCCACCAAATCAGTGAAAATGTTCAGGAACGCATAAACTTACAGAAGGCATTATTTGAGCTTGAGGAAACTAACCTCAGAAACCGCACTGAACTTCAGCATCTCGATGATGCCATTGCGAAACAGGTTGGGTGATAAAGCTTATCTTAATCCGTGGGTCATCATCATATATTGCATTAATGTAACCGCTTCTCTGTTTTATAGGCGACCGAGAAAGAAGTAGTCGAAGCTCTAAGTAGCAGACGGCAAGTAATACTTGATAATATCCGCGACAATGATGAAGCCGGCGTTAACTACCAGCGAGTAAACCCTTTTTTTAATCATATATGATATATGTCAACTCTGATATGAATCTTTTCCATCGTTAGTCATAGACTTCATATCTTTGTTTTTACAGGAAATAGAAGAAAATGAAAAGCATCGTTGCAAACTACAGGATATGCTCAATGAAGCAATAAATAACAACGGAAACAAAACTTATCTTCATATTCTCAATCAGTATAAGCTCTTGGTGAGTAGAATAAAACAAAGCAATGTCATATTTTCTTGACCCTGAGGTTCTTACATTACTGATTCACATTTTTATGTATCTAGGGGATGGGCAATACCGAACTACAGTTCGAAATGGCGATGAGGGACCAAATCATTTACAACCAAAGGGAAGCTCAGAGAAACCTATGGAACTTGCTCATGGGTTTAGGAGTTGAAGAGAAACAAGTGCTCGACCTCGCTGCGAAACAAGGGATCACAATCGAAGACTGGAGTATGGCGACGTATCCGGGACTTCCTTACAGAAAACAGACACCGAGTTTCATACCAACAAACATCCCTTTCGTGGGGCACGCATATTCTCAATCCTCATGCACTTTCCAGAGCTATAATCAAGACTCTTCTTCTTCAAAAGGACAACAATGGGGTCCGACTCCTACTCTATGCAGAGAGGAACATCACAGCTCTTTCTACTACATGGGACACGAGCCACCTTCATTTGTCAATCTTAGGAAAAGCCACGATGGTTGGGTTGGTGGTGGCAGACCAGCTCCACGGATCGACACAGGAGGCAGTCATCGTCGAGTCTCTTATCCACAAACTGTAAACAGTTCTTCTCCACGGATGGGTCCTAAGTTTTACCAGACTCCTCAAAGGGTACGTATCAAAACAATCCCATTTCTTCAGATGATACGGTTAATCTCAACTATGCAAAAATGTTATTATCCAGGAAATGTTGGTCAACACACCGAGTCCATACGGTAGCCCACGAGCTGGCGTCACCAACACCCCGACCGTGCAACCTTTCTATGGAAGTCCTCGAGCTGTCGCCGTGAGAAACGGTTCATACAACAGCCCACGCGCCGCCGCCACTTTAGTAGCGACATCCAATGGTGCAAGAAACCAACAACGGGTGTACGGAACAAGCCCGCTTTCAGGAGACAAAGGAGCCAAGAACTCGTCGTACGGACAGACCAGCCACACAAAGGTGTACAGAGGAGGAGGAGGAGGAGGCAGTAAAGGTCACAATAAAGGAAACAAAACTCAACGCCAACACCAATGACAGACCACAGTTCGATTTTTCAAGTCAGTTTCTGTCTGAGGCCCAGTTTTTGAAACGCCTCAGTCTCACTCTCTCACACGACTCGTTTTGTTTTGGTTTGTACAGAAATTTCCACGGTATCTTTTCTTTTTCTGTGACTTGATTGATGTGTGTATATATATATGGGGAAAAAAATATAATAAAGAAAGCCAAATTTTCCGTTTTATCAATTTTTTTTTAATTAATTGAACGGTTTACCAAATCATTTTTGTTCTATTCAAAAATTGAAAAATTATACAACATTTTCATTGCAAATCTATTCATGATTCTTTGTGTTTAGATAGAGTGACGAGTTATAACCAATTGTGTTTATTTTTGTAATTAGCAATTGAAGAATTATATATATCACTATATAAAATGTATACGACAAGGATAAAATCCCTAACGGCTATATTAATTGGAGTCTAAGGAAATTATCAGATCTTTTAATGATCCGATCACATTAAGATTCTCCCAAAAAGGAAATCAAACCTAGGCAGTAGCAACAACAACAAACATTTATATATACCCAACCCTAAGCCTTCGTCCGCTTCACTATTCATTGTTTCACTATCACACGCTAGTCCCAAAAGGAAATCAAACCTAGGCAACAACAATCCTAAACCTTTCGTCCGCTTCACTTTTGATTATTTCACACGCTAGTCCCAAATTTCTCTTCGACAATGGAGTCTTCTCCATCTTCTTCTTCGACAAGTAAGAACGCCAAATTGTCTGTGAGAAGCAAACCCAGTTTCAAGAAATCGGCTTTCTCTGCCGCAAAGAAAATCACGAACTTGGCCATGAGAGAACAGACGATTCTCAAGAAAGCCTCCGAGCTTTCGACTCTGTGCGAGATCGAAGCGTGCGTAATCCATTACAGCCGCGACGGAGAACTCGTCAACACATGGCCCGAGGATCTGTCAAAGGTGCGAGATGTAGCCGAGAGGTTTAGCAGATTAAGCGATAAAGAAAAGCTCAAGAAAAGCTCCAACCTTTCGCAATTCCTAACCAAGAAGATGAACGATGAGAAGAAGAGATCTCTCGAGGGTAAAGACGACAACAAATTCGAACAGAAAGCCTTGGAGATTGAAGCTACTTTGGAAAATCATCAACGGATATTACAAGACAGGGTTCGTCTGCTTCTTAACCCTAAGGATCATCAGACCGGGCCAAATTCGTTGAATCAAGATCCGAGCAGCAATTTCTCAATTCCTCCTGCTGATTTAACCACGTCTTGCTCGTCGAATCAAGATCCGAGCAGCAACGTCTCAGTTCCTCCTGCTGATTTAACCACGTCTTGTTCGTTGAATCAAGATCCGGGCAACTTCTCAATTCCTGCTGATGTAACCACGTCTTGCTCGTTGAATCAACATCCGAGCAACTTCTCAATTCCTGCTGATGTAACCTCGCTGAATCAATATCCGAGCAACTTCTCACTTTTTTTGTATAACCATGACGATGGTACTTTCACTCAACTGCCCAAATCTGCTCCTTCAAGCTTTGAACAACCTCCGATTCCGTACTATAATCAAGACTCGAGTTACTTGGACTTGTTACTTGCGGAGGAAGACATGAGAAGCTGCAACAACTCTGTTCGTCAACCATCTTTCGGGTTCCCAACAATGTTGATCTCTTAGATCTTGCTCCAACAACTGGTTGATGTTTTGACTGAGTCAACAATTTTTATTTTCTTTGTATTCGCTCCTATTAACTACTAATTTTGTAAGTGTCCGTTGCTTTTTCCATAAGCTTAAAATGTTAAATATGAGACTTTATATCCAAATCTTGGCTCTATTTCTTGTCTTTTACTTTTTTCCAGTTTATATACTACAAACCAAGAGGAGATAAAAATGTTTGTATGTTTTAAAGTGTTTCTGCTGCTCTCACGGGTAATTTTAGATAGAAAAAGAAGGGTTTCAAAGTGTTGAGATGATTATAAGATTCTATATTAATTGCATTTGAGAGACTAGCGCTTCTTAATTTATATATAAACATTCGTAGAAGAAGTGGTAATGGATTCAATAGCTTTTGATTTAGTAGTTAATGAGGCTTGAAATATATATGAAGCTCAGGTGTTTGACTATATGTCTGAATGAGTCTTATTTGCAATGTGGGTTTTGTTATTTTCAGTCACTCTTGTTGCTTTTATTAGCTCCCTTTTATAAACTCAAGAAAATAGAAATGCTTTGGGAAGTATTTCATTCCAAATTCTACTGATTTCTTGTTATGAAGATAGTTTTTCATATCTTCTTCGATTCTTGGAGATATGAAGAAAATCTACACTTAGGCTCACCTTGTGTCTGCTGTGTTGGTTTGTAGCTGGTCTGTTCGAATAGCTCAGGGATTTTGTACTGTTATGGTCTCTTTTTTCTAGTTGGAATGGGAGTAAACAATTTTTAATCTGTCTTTTTGAGATGATTGAAAGAGACAAAGATTTTTTTAATCAATGTTTATTGCAGACGATGATACCTTTCAAGTACCAACAGTTCATAGAAAACCTTAAAGATCTGGTTGAGTCAGGTGAAGTACTCATGGCTCGAGTCAATGATGCTGTTGAAAGAATACTCAGAGTGAAGTGTGTAGCTGGTCTCTTTGAACATCCTCTCACGGACCGATCTTTGTTGCCTACTGTTGGTTGCAAGGTGAGCTCTCTTGTACTGAATACCATTGAACCGGAGTGGTAAAGAACCGGTTTTATACTCTGTTTTCACGTCTTCAGGAACATAGAGATTTGGCGCGTGAAGCGGTTAGAAAGTCGTTGGTTCTTCTGGAATTGGTCACAAGGGTGAGCATGGCATCTGTCATGGTTTCTTCTTCAGATTTTGTGTTTAATCATTTTCCAGAGACGCATTGATCAAGTTGTAGCAAAACACATGTTTTCTCTGCATGTCGTCTACTTAAAAAAGAGTTGTATGAAAATGATTCTGCAGGCAGAGATTGCAACTGCCTTTATGCAAGGAGAGGATTTACTTGGTGAATATTATATATTCTTGAGCAGAAACGTACTCTGGAGTCAATGTAGTTGAACCGCTGAAAATTCTCTTCCAAAGATTGTGGTATAGTATCATCTTCTTGTCTCAATAAGCTATGGAATAAAGAGAACCGAAACCAACATAATCGTCCAGGTATGTTGATAACAAAATCAAGAAATTAAACAGATAATCTTTTCCCGATGGTGTTTAGATATGTTCTGCACATATAGGAAAGCTCTTTGAGAAAGAGAGATGCTCGTCAAAGAAAGTCTTGTCTTATTCTTTGTTTCACTTGTAATTTTTATGGTTGTGGTTGTCCTTCTTGGATGCATCCCTCCCTTCTTATGGTACTTAAAAATCTCAACTATCACTTATCTATAGTGTTGGTAAGTAAAGATTGTATCTAACTTTTCATACTTCCTCTGTCTCGCAGGGTCCTATTGATCCTTGTGTCTGTCTCACGGTTTTATAACATCTCAAGGAGTAGCAAGGTTGAGAGAATCTTGCTCAGGAAGTATTACCAATTTGATGGCTGTTATAATGTTCTTGCCTGCTCTAGTTTTATAGGAAGTATTACCATTTGATTGGTAGTTTTTTTGCTTAGCACGCACTTAACAATAACTTCAAAAAGCTCTTGTCTCTTCCAAAAATGTGAATGCCTTAAACACGCATGGACAAACATGGAGTGTTAAGATGGAGCAAGACAGCAAGTGAGCATATTTCTAGCTTACACGGCGCAGCTAGACAACGCCTTTATACCTCTCCTAGTCCATAATTTTCGCCACCGTGAGAAGCCATATTCACCATGTGATCTTGAGGTGTTCCATTGTTGTAATAAGTTTGATGGAACTAGTATAAACCATTAGACTATGATCGTTCTGCAACCTGATCGGTCGATAATGTTAAACATTTGGTTACCTGTCTTTTGTTGACTTAATGTTTGATGTGTGCTCGATACTTTATATTCGGGGTTGGATTGTCATTTCAGAAAGAGATATTAAATCTTTCTGAAACGGAAGGAGGAGTATTAATCAAGCCTTTAAAAAAAAAACCATTTTTGTTCCGACAAGGCGTCAACGATCGGTAACTTCACATGAGACTAGACCACAATAGAAAAGAAAAAAAAAACGGTAAGTTAAACGACGTCACTTTGGTTAAACAGTTGGTCAAAAGCTAAAGCCCTTATAAGTCGAAATCTCGACCTCGTCTTTTCTCCGCCGGAATCATCCTTCTCCGGCATCACCTCAGCTTCCTCCGAGATTCGCCGGCGTCGTCTGACACCATTCAGCACGTCTCTCTTCGTCTCCTTTAAAAATAGAACTCTGGTTTGTGATTTCTCTCTCTCTCTCTCTCGATTGGTTCTCAAAAGCTTGCTGTCGATTAGTTCAGTAAAGTTTTACTTCCGATTAACTAATTGATTATTTCAATAGTTCAAGAGTCGATATTTAAGGACCGGCAAGTGTAAATGCTCACTTAAAATTCAATAGTTTCTCTGTTTAAATTTTTTTTTCCTCAAAGTTTGAAAGAGATATAATTTGCGTATGCAAATTCTTGTCTCTGAAATTTAAAATTCTGGTTTTCGAAACTACATGACACAGAGATGGAAGCCAGAAGCGATCTGAAGTACAAAATTTACGAGATTTTCAAAGAGTTTATGACTGGGTTAGTTTTTGTTTTGCTTGATTCTCTTAAAGATGTGTGCTTTCAAGTTTGGTCAATTTAAGTGTCCCTCTGAATGTTGGTCACCGCGAATGATGATAGGATCACAAAGCTTGAGGAACTAGATAATGCTGCAAATAGCTTTCTTAAACGGTTTCAGCAAGGACTCAGTATGTTGCTTTCTATTATTATATCTTCACTGTGGACTGAAAATTTTCAATTTATTGTATAACATCTGCGTCTTATGAAAATGATAATCTTCAGGCTTTCTCCAACGCCCTCCTATGGTTACTTCATCCAAGTTGATCGAGAACATTATGAAGAACAATGAAACAAGACGGCTTAAATCATATATAGAATCAGGCTGTATTAACATCGATGATGCTGCACAAAGCACAAAAGCTTGTAAGTTACTACTGATCCAACCCTTCTGATTTAACTCATAAAAGTTTGTCTATTTACGTGAAAGTTTCATGTTTTAGAAACACTCTTAAGTTACTTATCAACTCTTTTGATTTAACTCTCAAAAAGTTTGTCTATTTACGTGAAAGTTTCATGTTTTAGAAACACTCTTGAGCAGCAGTATTTCGTTTCTGCTCTTTTTTTTTTCTCTTGTTCTCATTATCTACTTGGTCTTCCGTTTTCATACCTGCAAATGAAGTGCATACATCTTTATCAGGACTTTCTGATCACCTAATCAAAGGTAATGTATTACAATTTACTTGTTTTGCAATTGGTTGATGTTTCATGTCACCATATTTTCTGTTTCTGTAAGCAATTATGCTTTTTTAATCTTTAAGATGTGAAAAATTGCAGCTCAAAGCTTGTTAACTGAGCTGGAGCGTCTCACCGATGAAGCAGCTCTTGCAATTGAGACTGCCACAAATTTTTCTACACAGCTAGATAAAGAATCATGTGATGAGTTACAACGAGTAACGTGTGATGATGAGGTACGATCTCAGCAGAAATTGTTTCTCGAGTAAACTAACTTGTATCTCTGAAAATGGTTTCGGAGAAGAGTGATGTTGTTTGGATGTGTTTGGTTTCAGGAGAAGGCGACTGTTACTTTCCCTGAAGCACCTGAAGTTACAGAGTACGCTACAGTTATTGCAGTAGTTTACAGTATGGTGAAGCAGAACTATGCGATGCAGGTGTGTGAGATTTTGAGCCATTTAAGATACTACTCTTCGTGTTTGATCTCTAAAACTTGACTTATTGAAGAGAAATGGATACCGATTTGCAGGAAAAGATGGTGAGATCGCTTAGTTTGAAGTCATCATCTGCTGAGCTAGAGACTTACACTATGATGTGGTCATTGCGTCCTTTTGTAGAAGAAGATGTTATGAACAGAGCATGGAAATGGATTTACTAATACAATTTCTCTTCCAGTTTCAGTTTTGACTGATTATTAGTTTGTTTCCATTAGTTAGTTGATCATTATTCATTGACACACAAAACAAATGTATTTTTAATCATTCTTTTATTTCATATATGATATGACCCATCAACAACTATAATGGGCCTAGTTTGGCCCATTTACTAACATAAGCTTTCATCAAGCAAGGAAATTAGAAAAATGTTCAGAAATCAGAAGCAAATTCGTGAGCAGATCTTGCGGCGTCTTCGGATTTTTCGTGGCTGCGTCTGACGTTGCCACGAAGAAGACGAAGATGGATTACCAGAACAAGCTTGTCCTTGCTCCCATGGTTCGTGTGGTAAGCTCAAAGAATGAAACTGGTTTTACTCGTTTTTTTGCTTCTTGTTCTCGCTTCGGATTTGCTCTTTGATGCTTGCTTATTCATGGAGATGTTTTGTTGTTTAGGGAACGCTCTCTTTCAGGATGTTGGCGGCGGAGTACGGCGCCGATATTACATACGGCGAAGAGATTATCGATCATAAGCTTGTTAAATGCGAGCGCCGAGTTAATGGTAAACTCTTGGGTGTTCCTGTTCATTGTGAATTCGAATTGATTCAGTTTAGTATCTTCACTAGATTGTACTTGAATCTGCTTAGTCTTACTGTTTGAATAGAAAGATGAGTGAGATTCAACTAACTGTGCTTATTCGTTTAGAACTAAGCAAAGATGAAACTCGAATCAATATGGGTTTTGATAGACATTGATAGATATAGATTATTTGGTGTGTTCTCCAGCTTATCTTCATGAATCATATATAGGCTCTGGCTATTGTGGTTCTTCCTGATTCTTCGAATTCTTATTGTAGTTGTCCCTCTACAGTTGCTGCCGGAACAACTGAGTTTGTGGAGAAAGGGTCAGAGAATGTCGTCTTTAGCACATGTGATGAAGAAAGAAGTAGAGTTGTTTTTCAGATGGGGACTTCTGATGCTGTTAGGGCTCTAAAAGCTGCTGAAATTGTGTAAGTTTCGTCATATTCTCTGTACTGAAGTTGAAAAAGGGTCAACCTTCTATGTGTTATAAATTGAGTTTTTGTGATTGTTTCGTGATTTTAGGTGCAATGATGTTGCAGCTGTTGATATTAATATGGGTTGCCCCAAGGCTTTCTCTATTCAAGGAGGAATGGGTGCTGCTCTGTTGAGTAAACCTGAGCTAATCCATGATGTATGGCTCTGTGAATTCTTTTGCATTTTTATGCGTTTGTGTCTTAGTGGTTGATATTAGTTTTTTCCAGTCATGTGAATATCTTCTCAATTCCAGATATTGGCAACGCTTAAGAGGAACTTAGACGTACCGGTGACTTGCAAGATTCGACTATTAAACTCACCAGCAGAAACTGTTGAGTTGGCAAGGAGAATCGAGAAACTTGGTGTACCAGCTCTTGCTGTACATGGGAGGTTAATATTCATCACTGTTTGTGACTTACTTCTCGCACTCCCCTTGAAGCTTCTTTTATGGAAGTTTGTAATTTGGTTTCTCCTTTTTATAAAATTAAGGAAAATTGCAGACAGGCCGAGAGATCCTGCTAAATGGGACGAGATAGCAGATGTGGTCGCGGCTTTATCCATCCCCGTTATTGCGAATGGAGATGTTTTGGAGTACGATGATTTTACTCGCATTAAAACTGCAACAGGTACACATGAATAGACACTTATTGATGTGCTAATGATTATACTCGATTCACCTTTGAGTTATATATTAACCCTTTGATGTTGTTCGTTGCAAAGGCGCTGCATCAGTGATGGTTGCAAGAGGAGCTATGTGGAATGCTTCAATTTTCTCTCCAAAAGGAAAGTCACACTGGGAAGATGTGAAAAAGAAATACCTTCGAAAGGTAATCAAAATATAAATCCCATAAGAGAGTACAAGATAAATTTTCCTGGACAGAATTTGATTTGCAGATTGTGCAGAGCATCTTGTGGAATAACGATGTTAAGAGCACTAAATACACGATCAAGGAGATGATAGCTCATCATTCTTGTCTTGAGCTACCCGAAGGCAAGTCTATCAACAAAGCAGACACTTTGGAAGATCTAGCGTAAGTTAACTTCTTACTAAAACTTGCTTTTATACTAATAACGCAAACTCTATATTGTATAGTCTACTAAAGACGTGGCTCGAGTCTCAGACCAATTTGGTTCTGATTAAAGTCTAATGTTGTTTGTTTGTCGGGTGATTGATGTTTCAGGCAGCTTTACGAGTTGGAAGATTACTATTGGACAGTGAAGAACATTCGTCCCTTTGACACTTGATAATATGCAATACGTTTTGTGATACTGAAACAAAGGTCACACTTTCAATTTTCTTTCCAATCTTCTTGTAATCTAATATTTTAAATTTTATACATAAGAGGGATCATATTGTTTTTAGTCAAACGAGAGTCAATTTCTCCATTCGATATTTCTCTAGATCTACCATTTTGTTCCTTCACATGGTTTTTTTGTAGCCAAACTTGACCTAACTTGCATTGTACGTGAGAACTTTGGTACACTTGCGAAATCAATAATATATGTTAGTATAGAAATCAAATTATACTCTCACTTTTTATTTATTATTAGAATTCGAAATCCAGATGAAAACAATTGCCATGCAAAATACAACCGATCAGATTAATTGTGTTCCGTCTAAAATTGCAAAGGTCTTATGGAGTTTGTTAACAAGATACTCTCCATAGACTACTCTGTTGGAATCTTGAGATATTTCATTTCCTGGGTACTTGTCTTTGAAGATATCCAATGGCTTCACCTCTGCGTCGAAGTTACCCTGTTGGAACAAAGATACAATAAAAGATTCAAAATCCGAATGGCACAAAACACTCAAATTAAGACTGTTACAAGTTTATTACCTCGTAGAACAATGCAACACATACACGGTATCGAGGAGAGTTATTGATCACTCTATGAATCCTTGATTCATATACTCCGTTTGAAAGTATCTGTATATTTGATTCCCAAGATTAATTAACTTTTCAAGAATTGTCGAAACGAAAAAGAAAAAACAAAAAAGAACCTTTAACATGTCACCGATGTTGCAGATTAATGATCCAGGGATTGGAGTAGCTGATACCCACTCACCGGCAAAGTTTTTGACCTATTTAATGAATAGAAAGACTTGAGAAGAACACATAACATTTCTATACAGACACGAAATTAGATAATACTATATAAACCTGAAGAGCAGTTACATCGTCATCTTGATTTATAAGCGTCAATAAGCCTGCAAAAGTTACCGTGTTTCACACTTTTGAGAAGAGAAAAAAAAAACTATGAAGATATATACATCATTGCATCTTAGTATACACTAGAGTTCTTACCATAGTCAGTGTGAGCTCCACTGAAATTTTGTAAGTGAAAAAACAAGAGTTTGAGTTATTGCTACTCAGGCTGATAATAAAGTGTGAATAAAAGAAGAAGTAAAAGTCGTCGTAGTAAGAAAAATATAATTACCATCCGATATCATTTTCTTGGTTTACACCTGGATAACCAACAATGCGCAATACCCAAAAAGGGTCTCCAGCAATTTTCCCCTCAAACTCATAAGGTGATCCACCAAGAGCTAAGGAGATTCCCCTCAAGATATTTCTTGAAAGATCTTCAAACCATGAAATGAAAATTACAGAACTAAGAATCGATCTGAGTTGAAAGTAAAACACATAGAAAGAAACAGAAATAGGGTAAGAACACTCACCTGTGCAGAGCTTAATATACTCCTCCATCAACTCTTTGTACCCTAGAGGATTCTCTGGCCTTCAAAGAACACACCACACACACACACAAATATAACAAAGACAACAATAATCAGCAGAAGACAAAGTGTGTTCTATATAACTTAACGTTTTAAAAATGTTATTTCACTATTTTACCATATCCAATATTCATCAAGTATTCAATAAAACAAATATTCTGTTATTAAAATGCTTCCGTTAACCTATCATTTGCATAATTATGTTCAGTTAATTAAAATGTTTCCGCTCTATTCTATCATTTCACTAACAAAATTCAAACTCGTACCATTGGTTTGGCCCTTCGAAGACCTTTCCAAGTTCCCCATACTTTCCGTGTGTAAATTCTACGTAACACTATCATAAGAGAGAAAAAAAAACATTTTAGCAGAATAACGACTTGAAAAATATCGATTAAGCCATAATGACTAGGAGTCTATATAGGACGTTGGACACACACACACACACACACTTTGACACTTACATCAATGGCTTCATGCAAATCTTGTTTACCATTCGTAAGGTTCAGTCCCATGCTCTGATATCCTCTGTGAAACTCAACACCCATTTTGGTTATACAACAAAAAATGTTTTGTATTTAATTCGAATAGCATTTCAAGTAATTCTTTAAGAAGTTTAAGGTTGTCTTTTTTCCCCCAAGGTACCTTATCAATTAATATTAGTAGGATATCTGGAACATAACATTTCTACATAAAAAGGTGAACATTCGGTTTGGTTTGAGTTCCAATAAATTTTCAATAGAAAAGTAACTTTGTTAACGTTAATACGTAATACTACTACACTTTACAAGATCTATCTTTTAATAAAGTAAATATTGTTTCTTTCGTTATGGACAAAATAGTACCTATATATATCATATAACTAATCGTGAAACACGTGCTGGATCATATTTTCAGATCTAGCTAGGTAACAAACCTGTATCCAGCTTCTGGAGTAATCTTAATCTTGAGTTTCTCGTCATATGGAAGCTCGAAGAATTGATGCGTTACCTCTTTCACCTTCCTTACAAGACTCTCCGATATTCCATGACCAATCTGCTCCACCACACTCACCGATCCAAATCAGACCACATCATATTTTTTTATAAAACCACAAAAAAATAAGGGTGAACTCAAATTTTTTTGTTACCACGTAGAAGAATCCGGCGTCCCGACAAGCCCGGTCTAGCTTTCGAACAACCTCAGCCACGCCGACATCATCCATCATGTCGGAATCATCACATTTGACTAGTAAAGGACTGATGTCTGCAACAACATTGTCTCATTTTTAGTTTCATTACCAGAATATGAACTCAAAGCCTTGATGAAGAGAGAGTGATATTTGCTTGAAAATAATGAAATTAGGGGTTTTGGCCGTACCGATGATTGGTAAAAGTGATTTGATCTCCGTAGCCATTTCAGGTTCTTAGACAATGACGGCAACTTTCCGCTTTGCTCTAATAAAACTATGTAATGTGTTATATATGATCACAACTGGTTAGGTTATTAATTTTTTAATACCCAAAAATTGTCTCTTAGGATCTTTAGAGGCCAAAAACAGCATGTCCCAGTGGGAATAGAGAAATCCTTGTTCCGTAGTACTCACTCCATTATGATCTATGTACGTACAGACATCTGTGACAATTAATGTATTATTGATAAACTCCAAAACGAGTCAGCTATCACATGTCTTTAACCATAGAAAAAAAGAATCAGATATCACGTGGTTCAATCATTTTGTTAAAATCTGGATGTTTTACTGAATACTATCTGTTTCGTTCAACTACAACCATATCAGTGGAATATATTCTGGAAAAAACAAATACTGTTTTAGTAAAATTTAGGAGATAAAAAAAAAAGAACACGAAATTTCATTAAAGCAAACTGTAATAGTCACTAATTTATCTTATTTATAATTTCTAGTAATATTTGGTATATACTATTTTTTAATATTTTTATATTTGCTGGATAAAATACTGAACAAAGGTCACACTTACATTTTTCTTTCCAATCTTTTTGTAATCTCTTTTTTTTTTTTTTTTTTTTTTTGAAGTTATATATAGAGGGATCCCATTGTTTTACTTTAAACGAGATTCAATTTCTCCATCCTACATTTTCCACCCAGACAGTGTCCAGAAACGAATCTATTAGAAACTGAAAGCGATTTTACTATATCAAACACGTATTCATGCATTCTCTTGATCTACCATTTTATCTCATACATAGATTTTTCGTAACCAAACTTGCCCTAACTTACACTATACGTGAGTGTGAGTCTAGACTTCAACCCTGCGGAGTTTGCAATACAGACAACTTTGGTACATCACCATCTTACTCAAGTGGTCTCAACTTTCACATAAACTTTTTTTTACCAAGAATGTTTTAGTATAAAAATCAAATTATATGTAACTTTTTATTATTATTATTAGAATTCGAAATCCAGATAATACAATTGCCATCCAAAGTTCAACCAATGAATTTAATTGCGTTCCACTAATTTTGCAAAGGTGGTATGGAGTTTGTAAACCAGATGCTCTCCATAGACAACTCTTTTGGAAACAACTCTTTTGGAAACTTGAGATCCTTCATTTCTTGGGTACTTCTCCTTGAAGATATCCAATGGCTCCACCTCGGCGTCGAAGTTAGTCTGTTCGAACAAAGATACAATGAGATTCAAAATCCTGATGAGGAAAATCCTGATGCATAATCTCATTTGGCCACATGGATATGGAGAGAAGGTCTATCTATGGGCTGCACATCCTTCAGAGGATTAGTCTGGACCCTTCCATAGGTCTGGGATATACTTTGAGTTATCAAAAAAAAAAACATGCACATAGAAACAAGTTATAAGTTTATCACCTCGTAGAAGAATCCGACACATACTCGGTATCGAGGAGAGTTATTGATCACTCTATGAAGTGTGGATTCATATACCCCGTTTGAAAGTATCTGCGTATATTTGATATCCAAAGATTATGTTTTCAAGAATTGAAAGAGACTATTAGAGAGAGAGAGAGAGAGAGAGAGAGAGAGAGAGAGAGAGAGAGAGAGAGAGAGAGAGAGAGCAAACAAAACCTTTAACATGTCACCGATGTTGCAAATGAATGATCCAGGGATTGGAACAGCTGATATCCACTCACCGGCCAAGTTTCTCACCTTTCTAAAGAATAAAAGAGATTTAAGAAAAACACATAGCATTTCTTCACATACACAAAATTAGAGAATATACTACTACTAGTAGTACTATTATATTTACCTGAAGAGCTGTTTTATCATCATCTTGATTAATAATCGACAACAAGCCTGCAAATTAAGTTACCCTTTTCACCCTTTTGATAAAAATAATCGATGAAGATATATTCACCTTATAGAGATCAAGCATACTTACCATAGTCAGTGTGAGCTCCACTGTAATTTGTAAGTGAAAAACAAGAGTTTGAGTTAATTTGAAGAAAAAAAGAAAAAGAGAGAGTAAAAGTCGTGGTAGTAAAACAACAGTAAGAAAAATTACCATCCGATATCATTTTCTTGGTTTACACCTGGATAACCAAGAATACGCATAATCCAAAAGGGGTCTCCAACCATTTTCCCCTCAAACTCATAAGGTGATCCACCAAGAGCTAAGGAGATCCCCCTCAAGATGTTTCTTGAAAGATCTTCAAACCATGAAATGAAAATTACAGAACTAAGAATCGATCTGAGTTGAAAGTAAAACACATAAAAGTAAACAGAAAGGGAATACAACAGTACTCACCTATGCAGAGCTTAATATACTCCTCCATCAACTCTTTGTACTCTAGAGGATTCTCTGGCCTTCAAAGAACAGACCACACAAGAAAATATACAAATACAAAGACAGAAATAATCAGAAGAAGACCAATGCTCGTGTATACGATAGATGAATGCCATATTCATTCATTTAATTAAAATTATTTTAACTATTAATTATAAACTTTTCAAAAAAATTTAACTACAAAAAACCGAAATGTGATGAATCTATTAATAGAAAGTTTTTAATGTTTTATAAATATTAGTATTCAACAAAGATTATATTCAGTTATTCTATCGTTTGAGTCTGACTTAGCTCTGTTCAGTTAATTAAAATGTTTCCGCTATTTTAACGATCGACTAATATTTTATTCGTATGGATCTATAATTAGCAAAAGGCACATTTAAAACTCTTACCATTGGTTTGGTCCTTCCAAGACCTTTCCAATTTCCCCATACTTTCCTTGCGTAAACTCTGTGTAACACTGTCGCAGAGAAAGAAAACAAAAACCATATTGTATTATAATTATTAATTGGATAAAAGTCGCTCAAGCCATTGGCTAGGACGTTGGTCACACTTACATCAATGGCTTCATGCAGATCTTGCTTCCCATTAGTAAAGTTTATTCCAAGTCTCTGATATCCTCTGTGAAACCCAACGCCCATAATATAATGACTATCCACAAAAATACTAAATCGAACACCTTTGCATCTCAATAGCATTTCAAGTAATTTTGTAAGAAGTTTTTGGCAAAGTAATTATCAATTAATATTAGTAGGATGTCTTTAATGTTGAGATTAAATCCAAGTTATATATACTTTCTTTCTCAACAAAATAGTACCGATCTAACTAAACGTGAAACACGTGTTGGATCATATATTTCAGATCTAGCTAGGTAACAAACCTGTATCCAGCTGCTGGAGTAATCTTAATCTTGAGTTTCTCCTCATATGGAAGCTCGAAAAATTGATGCGTTACCTCTTTCACCTTCATTACAAGACTCTCCGATATTCCATGACCAATCTGCTCCACCACACTCACCGATCCAAATCAGACCACATCATATTTTTTTATAAAACCACAAAAAAATAAGGGTAAACTCAAATTTTTTTGTTACCACGTAGAAGAATCCGACGTCCCGACAAGCCCGGTCTAGCTTTCGAACAACCTCAGCCACGCCGGCATCCTCCATCATGTCGGGATCATCGCATTTGACTAGTAAAGAACTGATGTCTGCAACAACGTTGTCTCATTTTTGGTATGAGAGAGTGATATTTGCTTGAAAATAATGAATTTGGGAGTTTTGGCCGTACCGATGATTGGTAGAAGTGATTTGAAGTCTGTAGCCATCTCAGATACTTAGACAATGACGGAAACTTTTCGCTTTGGTTTGACATAAAACTATTGTATACGCAATATACGTAACGTGTTATATATAATGATCATAACTAGTTATGTTATTAATTTTTATAACACCGATTTGTCTCTTAGGATCATTAGAGGCCAAAAACAGCATGCCCCATGTGGGATTATCCTTGATCCATGGTACTCCCTCCATTATGATCTATGTACGTACATACATCTGTGACAATTAATATATTATTGATAAACTCCAAAACTAATCAGATATCACATGTATAACCAAATTAAGTAAAAAGAATCAGATATCACGTGGTTCAATCATTTTGTTAAAATTTGGATATTTTACCGAATACTATCTGCTTCGTACAACTTAAAACGTATCAGTAGAACATAATGGAAAAAAATAAATACATTAAGGCAAAGTGTAATATACACTAATTTATCTTTGCAAACACATAATCATTCTTTTGATCTACCATTTTGTTCTAATACATGTAGATTTTTCGTAACCAAACTTGCCCTAACTTACACTCTACGTAAGTTTTTTTTTTTTTTTTTTTGAAAAAACACTCTACGTAAGGTTAGAATATTGAACCATGCCGAGTTTGCAATACCGACAACCTTGGCACACCACCAGATCTTACTCGAGTGGTTTCAACTTTCACATAAATTTTTTTTTTACCACGAATGTTTTAGAATAAAATTTAAATTATACTGTAACTATTTTAAATATTAGAATTCGAAATCCAGATAAAACATTTGAGTCTTGACAGCCAGAGTCCAACCAATGAATTTAATTGCGTTCCACTAATTTTGCAAAGGTGGTCTTGACTTTGTTAACCAGATGCTCTCCATAGACAACTCTTTTGGAAACTTGAGATCTTTCATTTCTTGGGTACTTCTCTTTAAAGATATCCAATGGCTCCACCTCTGCGTCGAAGTTAGTCTGTTGGAAGAAAGATTCAAGATTCAAAATCCGAACGAGGAAACACACAGAGAAACAAAGTAACAAGTTTATTACCTCGTAGAAGAATGCGACACATACACGGTATCGAGGAGAGTTGTTGATCACTCTATGAAGTGTGGATTCATATACTCCGTTTGAAAGTATCTGTGTATTTGATTCTCAACATTATTTTTTCAAGAATTGTCGAAACGAAAGAAAGAGATTATTAGATAGAGAACAAACAAAACCTTTAACATGTCACCGATGTTGCAGATAAATGATCCAGGGATGGGAACAGCTGATATCCAATCGCCGGCCAAGTTTCTCACCTTTTTAATAAATTAAAAAACTTTAGAAAGACACATGCAATTTCTTCACAGACCCAAAATTATAGAATATAACAGTACTATTATATATATAAATATACCTGAAGAGCAGTTTTATCGTCATCTTGATTTATAAGCGTCAATAAGCCTGCAAAAGTTACCGTTTTCACCCTTTTGAGAAAGAAAAAAATAAAGCGATGAAGATTTATTCATCTTATTCATTAAAATTCAAGCATACTTACCATAGTCAGTGTGAGCTCCACTAGAATTTTGTAAGTGAAAATATTGAGTTAATAATACTAATCAAGCTGATAAAGTGAATAAAAGAGAGAGAGTAAAAGTCGTCGTAGTAAAACAACAGTAAGAAAATTTACCATCCGATATCATTTTCTTGGTTTACACCTGGATAACCAATAATACGCATTACCCAAAAAGGGTCTCCGACCATTTTCCCCTCGAACTCATAAGGTGATCCACCAAGAGCTAAGGAGATCCCCCTCAAGATGTTTCTAGAAAGATCTTTAAACCATGAAATGGAAATTACCAAACTAATAATCTCTGAGTTCAAAGTAAAACACATAGAACACTCACCTGTGCAGAGCTTAATATACTCAGTCATCAACTCTTTGTACACTTGGGGATTCTCTGGCCTTCAAAAAACACACCACACAGAAAAAGTATAACAAAGACCGAAATAATCAGAAGAAGACTAAAGCTCATGTGACAAAACATATACACACTATAGCGATGAATGGCATATCTTTTTTCTTTTTCTATATATTTTCATGTTTTCAAAATGATATTTTGTTATGTTTACCATTTATAATATTAATTCATTTAAAATATAAATTTGTTCCGCTATTTATTATGAATTTATACCTACGAAAATTTAAAATATCATGAATTTATTAAATGCAAATTTTTATGTTGTATAAATATTATTCAACAAATATGTATAAAACATAAATCAACAATTTTTGTATATTTCCGTTTATTCTTAGTATCATTTGACTAATCCATTATTTATCTATAATTAACAAAAGCACATTTAAATACCGAAAATCAACCTATTATACCATTGGTTTGGCCCTTCCAAGACATTTCCGATTTCCCCATACTTTCCTTGCCTAAACTCTCTGTAACACTGTCCATATATATACAGTGTAAGAGAAAAAAACCATATTAGTAATATATCTACTTGGATAAAATCGCTCAAGCCATTGGCTAGGTCGTTGGTCACACTTACATCAATGGCTTCATGCAAATCTTGTTTCCCACTTGTAAAGTTTATTCCAATTCTCTGATATCCTCTGTAAAACTCAACAGTACCCATTAATGATCATTCACAATAACACTAAATCCAAAAACACATTTCTTATTAGTTAAAAAACAGAATTTTTTTTAAAAAGATTTTTTATTTAATTCTATGGCATTTCAATTATTTTGTTAAGATGTTTAAGGCCGTTTTTTTATCAATGAACTTATCAATTCATATTAGTAGGATATATCGTTAATTTTGAAACGAACTTTAAGTTATGTTGGTTTTAGATATTTTAAAATAAATTAATTAAAAAGGACACATTGTGTGGTTTGGATTGTTTTTTTGTTGTCTTTCCATTTTACATGAGCCGAACAAAAAAGGTGAACGTTCGGTTTGATTCGAGTGCCAATGTATATTCAATTTGAAAAGTAACTTTATTTTACGTAGTACTACAACTTTAATAAAGTATGTATAGTGCTGTTTCTTTCGTTATAAACAACAAACCTATATCCAGCTGCTGGAGTAATCTTAATCTTGAGTTTCTCGTCATATGGAAGCTCGAAGAATTGATGCGTTACCTCTTTCACCTTCCTTACAAGACTCTCCGATATTCCATGACCAATCTGCTCCACCACACTCACCGATCCAAATCAGACCACAACAGTATTTTATAAAACCACAAAAAATAAGGGTAAACTCATTTTTTTTTTTGTTACCACGTAGAAGAATCCGACGTCCCGACAAGCTCTGTCCAGTTGCCCGACAACCTCCGCCACGCCGGCATCCTCCATCATGTCGGGATCATCACATTTGACTAGTAAAGGACTGATGTCTGCAACAACATATATATATTCTCATTTTTAGTTTCATTGCCAGAATATGAAATTGAAAGCTTTGATGATGATGAGAGCTAGTGATAATGAATTTAAGAGTTTTGTTCTGTACCGATAACTGGTAAAAGTGATTTGAAGTCTGTAGCCATCTCAAATTCTTAAGACAATGACGGAAAGTCAAAACTTTAGTTTAACGTAAAACTATGTATACACAATATATATGATCATGAAATGGTTATACTATTAATTTAAAGTACCCAAAAATTGTCTCTTAGGATCTCTAGAGGCCAAAAAACAGCCTGTCCCAGTGGGAACTTATCACACACATATGACATATGTGACAAACTGACAATGTATTATCAATAAACTCCAAAACGAATTAGATATCACGTGTTTTAAAACATTTTGTTAAAAAAAAAACTGGATATTTACCGAATTTCGTATAGCTAAGAAAATATCAGTAACATACTGACAAAATAATATTAGTAAAATTAGGAGCAAAAAAAACGAAATTTAATTAATATATTATTATTCATTAATTGATCTCGTTTTGTAATTTTAGTATGAAATGTTTTGTATATACTGTTTTTTAACAAATGTATATATATGCTGGATAAAATTGTGATATTCATCAACTAATTCATGTAATTACTATATTCTGCCTAAATATCCATGCGTAGAATTTGCGCACGTCTACGGTATAGACTATTAAAGTATACAGTTAGATGGTAGCTGATAGCTGTTAACGAATAAAAGAATCAAATCAAATTAAATATCACTGTTTAATATCAATAAAATTTGTTCAACAAAAATAAATAAATAAATAACACGTAGTGTAGTTTTTAAAACCAAACTCAGATAAGCGTTTGGATCACGGTTCAATCTGGTCCAACCGAATCAATTTGGGCTCCCAGAATGTAAATATATACATAATTAACCGTATTGGGCCTATAAAATATGTATATTACTAATTCTAGGCCTTTTAAGCTTCGTGGACACAATCAAGCTAAACCTCTCCGTTCCTTCTGATCTGAGAGATTTCTATCTTTCCTCGTCGTCTCCTCCGTGTCCGCACGCATAAAGCCGCATCCACGATTTCTCATCTTCTCTCACACTCACTGGTAATTTAGTTTCGTTTGTTTTCCGCTTCAATCGAAGATCTGTTTTTTCGTTAGATTCCGTCTGGTTTTAGGCTGCGATTCATTTCGTTTAGGGTTTCTTCGCACCGACAGATCTTTCGATTTGAATCTGAACCCATCTCTCTCGATTTGATTTCGGTTGCAGTTCGTTCACATAGAGAATTAGCTAAACGATGTACAACGGAATAGGGTTACAGACCGCAAGAGGATCAGGGACTAATGGTTACGTTCAGACGAACAAGTTCTTCGTGAGGCCTAGGAATGGTGGTAAGCCCGTTAATGGTGGAAAAGGGTTTGATGATGATCAGGGTACTGCTGGGTTATCCAAGAAACCCAACAAAGACATCCTCGAGCATGACCGTAAGCGTCAGATTCATCTTAAGCTTGTTACCCTTGAAGAAAAGCTCGCTGATCAGGGCTATTCTGATGCTGAGATTGCTCAGAAGCTTGAGGAGGCTAGGTTGAGCTTTGAAGCTGCTGCTGCTGCCTCTGAAGTGAGTGATGCGCCTGGTGCTTCGAAGATCTCTGATACACAAACCCATCAGGTTGCTGCAAGGAAAGAGAAGCAGATGGAGGCGTTTCGAGCTGCACTTGGTTTGCCTGATCAGCAGCAGGCTGAAGAGGGTATCATTGATGATGAGCCGATGCGGGAGGCTTATGAAGGTGGTAGGATGAAGGAGAGACGGGAACATTCCTTTTTGGACCGAGATAGTTGGAGGAAGGTAGATGAGGATGTGGAGGAGAAAGATGGTAAAGGTAAGGAGAGCAAGAAGCAGAAGGGTGATGGTGATGTTGATGAAGTGAAGCGTCACAAGAAGAAAGAGAGTAAGAAGAGAAGACATGATGATGATTCATCTGAGTCTGGCCGTGACCGTAGAAGGCGCTCTAAGAAGAAGGCTAAGGGGCGTAAACAAGAGAGTGATAGTGAAAGTGACTCTAGCAGCTCGGGTTCTGAGTCTGACTCTGACTCTGACTCTGACAGTGGAGAGAAGAGAAGAAGTAAGCGTACAAAGAAACGCAGTAGAAGCAAGAGAAGTGTCTCTTCTGAATCTGAAGAAGTTGACAGTGATGACAGCAAGAAACTTAGGAAGTCGCACAAAAAGAGTCGACCCTCGAACCGATCTGGTTCTAAAGAAGTGAGGGACAAGCAGGATGAACAAAGAAGAGCTGGACGAAAGAGGCATGATTCTGATGTTAGCGAGCCTGAGTCTGAGGATGACAAACAACAACCGCGCAAGAAAGAAGAAGCTTACCGTGGAGGAAGGAAGCAGAAAAGGGATGAGGATGAGTCTAATCTTGTGAAGGAGAGGTATAGAGGTGACTCTGGTGGCAAGAAAGCTGCAAGAGACTCTGATGACAGTGAGTCTGACTATGGGAACAAGAAACAATTGCGCAGTAAAGTAGAAGGTTACAGTGGAGGAACGAAGCAGAAAGGTGATGAGGAAGAGGATTTGACCAAGCATGGCTATGAGAGGCATAGAAGTGATTCTCGTAGCAAGAAAGTTGCAAGAGACTCTGATGACAGCGAGGGTGAGTATGAAAACACGAGGAAGCTAAAGGACGAAAGCTACCAAAGAGCAATGAAGCACATAAGAGAGGATGAGGATGAGGACAACCATGGGAGAGACAGGTATAGAAGTGATGATGCTGTTAAAGGGCAGGGAACAGTTAAGGAAGACGATAAGATGGATAGGTATAGAGGTCGAGCCAGCGAAGAAGAAAACGACAGGGATAGATACAGACAGAGACGTGAAAGGGATGATGAAGACTACAAGCGTGGCAGGGACAGAGGCGACAAGGAGGAGAGGTTTAGAGATGATGACGCTGGTGGAAGACGACGTGTGACTGGTAAGGAAGACGAAGGTGATGAAAGAGTTAGCCGCAGGGAGCGTGAGTACTCGAACAAAGGTCGAAGCCATTACGATGGCCGATCGAGCGGAAAGAGATCATCGTATGGTGATATAGATTGATGGTTGTTTCATATGTATGTGTTAAAGTTTTCTCAAAATGTTGTGTTTTTTTTTAAGGGTTTTCTTCTTCTTGCACTTTGGTGGTATCTGTTAAAACATAATCGTTTGTTTTGTTTGCAAACAGTTCTCTACCTTACGTTCATTAAAGGGTTTGTAATGTTGGTCTGAAGGTTATAAAAACACTATCAAATGATCACATTACGAGTTTATTAGGACATTTAATGCAAAGGTCTATTTTAAGCTTAAAGGGGTTTATGGTATGGAATCTCATCTATAAGCTAAAATCTAAGACGAATTGAAATAAATCTTACTTATTGGATGATTTTCGTTTTTCCTTTAGATGTTAATCTGAAATGAGAGAGCGCGGGACGAGAGAGTACAGAGGGAAAAAAAACGAAAAAAATAATTAAGAAAAAGAGAGAGAGAAAATTCGCTGCGGAGACGGGAAGACGAAGGAGTTGAGAAAGAGGGAGAAGCTGAGCTTTATGATGCTCTCTACTTGCTAAACTTTTTTTCTTTCTATCAGCTCCTTTTTGCGTAGATTCTCAGGTAATCTCTCTTTCTCTCTCTCTTCACTTTCTCCTCCCCCTTTGTTCTGATTCTTGGCCGATTTTTAGTGTTCCTTGTGCCGATCTGGGTTTCGTCTTGAATCGATGCGATTTCATCACATGGAGTTCGCATTTCGATTGTGAATTTCACAGAAACGCTGAGATTATTTCTTGTTCTTCATCAAAGTTTCGGTTTAATCGTGGATCAGATGAGGTTAACAACAAATGTGCTTGTGTCTTCGTTTTTTTTTTTTCTAGGGTTTTCGATTGCTGCTGGGTGAGTTCTCTCTGGTTCGTGACACAATGAGTAGACCTAACACCCGAAACAAAAACAAGAGAAAAAGTCCGTCAGAGGCTGTTGATTCCTCTTCTCAAATCCTCCGGTACAAAAACAAGAAACCCTACCTTCGTGAAAAGCTAGCCTTTTTTTCCTTTCAGTTCTTGCCTTTCAATCTAAAAACTTGCTTTTTTGCAGGAAAATTCACGAGGCTAATGATGTTACTGATGATGACGTTAACCAGCTTTTCATGATATGGAAGCCGGCTTGTCAAGGTTGTCGTGTTAACACCCGTGACAACCCAAACTGCTTCTGTGGGCTGGTTCCACCGGTTAACGGAAGCAGGAAGTCTGGTTTGTGGCAGAAAACGTCTGAGATCATTCAGTCTCTTGGTCCAGATCTCTCCTTGGACCGTCGTGCTTCCGACTCTACACCGGCTGGTTTGACGAATTTGGGCGCTACTTGCTATGCCAACAGTATTCTTCAGTGTCTGTACATGAACACCGCTTTCCGAGAAGGGGTTTTCTCTGTTGAGGTTGATGTCTTGAAACAGTATCCAGTCTTGCATCAGATTGCTCGGCTTTTCGCGCAGCTGCATGCTAGCAAAAGGTCTTTTGTTGATTCTGATGCGTTTGTGAAGACGCTGGAGCTGGATAATGGGGTTCAGCAGGATACACATGAGTTCTTGACACTGCTTCTGTCCTTGCTTGAGCGTTGCTTGCGCCATTCTGGAGTTTGCAAAGCCAAAACAATCGTGCAAGATCTCTTCCGTGGCAGTGTCTCGCATGTGACAACGTAAGGGTTTATCTTATTTTTCATTTGGTTTTAAGGCAAATAATATATACATCTGAGTAACTTAAGTCAAAGTTTGATGAAGAATTGAGACAATAGCTCATATCTGTCTACTTTGTTGTCTTGTAGGTGCTCAAAATGTGGGAGGGATTCCGAAGCTTCTTCAAAGGTCGAGGATTTTTATGCTCTTGAGTTGAATGTTAAGGGCCTCAAAACTTTGGATGCTAGTTTGAATGATTACCTTAGCTTGGAGCAGCTCAATGGGGATAATCAATATTTTTGTGGAAGCTGCGATGCTAGAGTAGATGCCACACGCTGCATTAAGCTGCGGACACTACCTCCTGTTATCACTTTTCAACTCAAACGATGTGTTTTCCTACCTAAGGTGATTTCCTCGATCTTAATATGCATTGGTTCATAAAATAAGTTGTGAAGAGTCATTTCTTATGATTTACAAAAAATAGTTATTCATTTTCCTGCGTAGTGTTTTTTCAACTAAAAGCACCTGAATCTCTTGTATGTCTTTCCGTGTTACAAGTGCTGAATCATCATTTCTTGTTAAAGTTGCGTAAACTTTTCCTTTTTTTTTGGGTGTATCATGTCAACAGACTACGGCGAAGAAGAAAATAACTTCCTCGTTTTCCTTTCCTCAAGTGCTAGATATGGGATCCAGACTGGCAGAGTCTTCCCAAAACGAGCTGACATACGATCTCTCTGCCGTGTTAATCCACAAAGGAAGTGCTGTGAACAGTGGACATTATGTTGCTCACATAAAAGATGAAAAGACTGGCTTGTGGTGGAAATTCGATGATGAACAAGTGACAGAACTGGGTAAACATCCATTCGATGAAGGTTCTTCTTCAACTGCACAGTCCGAGAGTAATGGTACAGCTAGTAATGGGAATACCACTGATGTCATTCAGTCAGACTCTTCAGACTGTAAGTCTGCTACTAAGTCAGAGGTTTTCTCATCCAATGATGCTTATATGCTGATGTATAGTCTTAGATGCGGTAAAAAGGAAAGTCAGGAAGGACAAAAAGAAAATCCTATTGACATAACTAAAGAAGTTGATAGTGTTCAACAGCGTGAAGGTGGTGATCTTCCGTTACATCTTTATGAATGGATCAATAACATTAATGCAGAATTCCTTGAGGTTTGCAAGCAATATGATTTAAGAAAGGAAAGAGAATTGAAAGTTTTGACTGAAAGGAGGCAAGAAGTACGGACAATACTTTCAGAAGCTGCCGTTCAGTCACTTGAAGAACAATATTATTGGATCTCCACAGATTGGCTTCGTCTATGGGCTGATACCATTTCGCCTCCGTAAGTAAATCTCGTTATACATGCATCTGTTGTTATTCTCTATATACCCGTGTCAACTGCACTGTTCTCAATATACGATGCATTTGAATCTGCAACAAAATATCACGTCTTTCCACTCACGGCTTTCAAATGCATCATATATGATTTACCAGAATATGATGGCGTTTTTTGTACCCTACACCGAAGTTTTAGATATTGTTTTCCCTTTAAAAGTGTGTATTTCATTTCATTTCATTTTTTCATTTCTAGCTGGTAGTGTTAAATACGATTTTCTATTTAGCGAATTAGGTCACACCCACGCTCTCAAGTGTTCTTGATTATACTTGTTCTTGTACGATGTAGCGCTTTGGACAACACCCCTTTACTGTGTTCCCATGGGAAAGTGCTTGCCTCAAAAGTTAACTGCATGAAGCGTATATCTGAACTTGCATGGGCCAAGTTAGAATCAAAGGTATGCAATAAATTTAATGTTGCTCATGGTTAGTGCCTTTCCTTTTTTTTTTGCACCAGCTGCCATCATTGACCATTTGTCAGACAAATTCGTACTTTCTAGATTCTTGTGAACAGACTTCTGTTCTGGTATCATGTGCTAGAATGTTTTGCTGATTTTTTCCACACTCTTATCTCAACTCTTTTCTAATGCAATCATTATCTCCTACAATTAGTTCAATGGTGGACCAAAGTTAGGGAAAGGGGACTACTGCAGGGAATGCCTTATGGATGGTGCTCGCATGGTTGTCTCTTCTGACAGCTATAGGGATCGAAGAACATTCATGAAAAGCATAGCAAGCGATGTTCTTTCGGGAAAGTGTGAGGGCGGGATGTATTACGTCTCTAAAGCATGGTATGTATTTAACTGTCATGTAACTTATAGGTTATAATACCTTTTTGCTTATCTTTGTGTGTTGACAGCTTGATGCATATGCAGATGGTGCCTTTTTTTATGGAGCTCTTAGTTACTGTTATTTTCTGGGTGTTTCTACAGTTAGCTGCTTCTATAATAGACGCCATTGGGGCTCACGCTAATCTACTACACTGAATTTAGGTCACAAAATCTAGCTCCTTCTAAAGCTTAATAGCATGTTTTCAGGTTGCAGCAATGGATAAAAAGGAAAAACCTTGATGCTCCAAGTGAAGCAGATGCGGGTCCCACAGCTGCAATTACATGCAATCACGGAGAGCTGATGCCTGAGCAAGCGCCGGGGGCCAAAAGAATTCTAGTTCCAGAGAATCTTTGGTCATTTCTTGTTGAAGATAATCTAAAAGTGGTACCAGAAGATAATTCGGGCTGTTCTTGTTTCCCTCTGGACTCCAGCCAATGTTCTCATTGCACAGAGGAACTTTCTGAGGTTGCATGCCTCGAGGATTCACTAAGGTTAACCATGATTGGTTATTATTTTTGTTGGTCGTGATACTCTTAGATATTTTCTCATGTTTTATCTGATGCAACAGAACAATAAAGGCCAAGCACCGCCAAAATCATGAGAAGTTAGCCACGGGAAAGCCTATTGCATTAACGCCACAAAGCCGATATTTCATGTTGCCTTCTCCGTGGCTAGTGCAGTGGAGAAGCTATATTAACATGACTGGGAAAAATAGTTCTTCAGCACCAGAGCCTGAACTTCTTGATGGACTCATTAGTACTCTCAAATGCAAGAAGGTAAGATCCCTTGTACTGGCAGTTGGATATTGTGGGATAAAGCTTTATATAGACAGAAGTGCTAAATACTAAATCGGCCTACCTGACTGCTTTCTCTGTTTCCTCTCATACACGTATTTGATGTGTTCGTAATCAGTCGTGAATCAGCAGGTCTTGTTTTGTCTTCCCAGGACCAGTTTTGAGTAGAAAACTAATAGTTTGTTCCTATGGTTGTTTGTTTCAGCACACAAGACTCCTTGAAAGGCTCCCTGAACTTGTGTGCAGACGTGGCTCATTTTTTCAGAAAAATCCATCTGTAAGTGCATCATATACTATCAGATAATCCTTTAACTATTTTGGAACCGCTTGAAACAATAATTCCAATATCGGTATGGGAAACTGAACACTTACCACGTGAGCATAACTAACTCGTTTCTAAGTAAGGATACTATAAATAAGAGATAAATCAAGTGTGAAGAGGTGTCTTAGTATTTTGGGACTTGTTTTAGGGTTTGGGAGGGTTTAGGGTCTCTAGTATAAACCCTAGTTACTGGTTCTGTGGTTCTGTGGTTCTGTGGTGTAATTGTCGTTTCAGTGAGGGAAATAAAGGGAATCATGTTCTGAATTTATCTAATTGGTGTTCTGATTGTCAATTCAGTTTACATCCTCTGTCGGGTTTCCTGGTTGTTTTTAGTGTCAAATACAAACATGAAATGGAATATTCTGACTTTGTTCTAAACTCTAGTTTTCTTGCTCCTTTTTCCTAGACCGACAAGCTGACAATCATCCCTGAGCTTGATTGGAAATATTTCTGTGAGGAGTGGGGAGGGATCATGGAGAATGGAGTATCTGCTCTTATCGAGGTTGGTAACACTGCAGATCGAAGTTCAACCCCAGTCGTCATTGATCTTGAGAAGGATTCTTCTCCTGATGATAATATGGACAGTGATACTCGACAGCTTATCCTCAGGACATCCCCAGAGGTATTTGCAACACATGCAGCAGCTATGTTTATTTTTGAGCCTTTTAGTTTTGTCAACATCTTGAGCTTGCGATATGATGATGACACTGAATGGCAATGTTGGCTTAGCTTTTTACATTGATCATATATGAGGTTCAGATGTGTTATGCCGTTTTTTCTTCTTAAAAGCAGATGTGATCATTTGCATTTACAGTGATTGTCGTACGACTAGCACGAATAGAGTCGCAATTAACAGGATCTTTTACTTTGGCTAGATTTGTGAGGAATGCATAGGGGAGAGAGAAAGCTGTGAGTTGATGCAAAAGCTTACTTACTCGGAGGGAGATGTATTTGTCTGTCTCGTGCGTGGAAAGGAAGCTCCAAAATCAATGTTAGAGGCATCTGATTCGAGCCTTGAGGTGGATCGGCGTACCTCAAAGAGATCTCGGAGAACAAACTATGGAAAGCTGACAAGTCTTAAAGTTTCTGCGACAACGACAGTGTATCAGTTAAAGATGATGATATGGGAATTACTTGGGGTAAGGTTCTTTTAGACACTTTGCGGTTTCTGTTTCAGTAGATTACTTGCGGATATACAGTTGACGTTTTGGGGATTTTTAATAATACTAATATTGCAGGTGATGAAAGAAAACCAGGAACTCCACAAAGGCACAAAAATGATCGATCAGGAATCTGCAACCCTCGCGGACATGAACATATTCCCTGGCGACAAGCTTTGGGTGAGAGATACGGAGATTCATGAACACCGCGATATTGCTGGTAAAAATGTTTTCCTGTGTAGCCAATTTACTCCGCTTTAAGTGAGTTTGTCCATTAATCATCCTGATGTTTTCAACAGATGAGATATGCGATAAGAAAACGGGGCCTCAAGATATTGAAGAAGGGTTTCGTGGGACGCTTTTGACTGCAGATATCTCTTCTGAAGCCTGCTAGAAAATGTATTTTGAGATCTCAGTGTAAAAACTAGAATGCCTGAGAAAAGGGGTCATCTAGAGAAGGTAAAGAAAAATCTCATAAGCTTTTACTTTCTCAAAACTATAATCTCTCCTCTGCGTCTCATGCTCTTGTGTTTCTCAGTAGCTGTGCAGGAGACGGGCGATACATTTTTGGGTCAGTTTTTGTGAAGGCAAAGCACTTTTTTTTTTGTTTTCTCAGGCTTATTGTGTGGATGGAAATTTGAAGCTACTCAGGCTTTTGTGTGTGTGTGTGTGTGTTTTGCCTTTAGGTGTACCCTTTATTTATTATGGGGCATTGCGTTTTAAACTCTGTTCTTTTCCAAAACCAATGTCTTTGAAACCGTTCGTGCTGCTCATCTTGTGACTTTATTCCCCAACCTCAATATATAATATGAATCAGCTCATGAATACGGATTGTCACTACAAAAGTAGGAACTATGTATGCAATACGCACTCGATACCTCTCTACCAATGTGGGGTCATTACTTCGTTTCACAAAAATTCAAATAAACAAGAAAAAGATGAGATTTCACATTCATAACGAAACGATAAAAGGATAAAGAACGAATGTTTACACTGGTAAGCCTCTAAAAAAAAAGATTAAAACTTTATTAGTACTTATGTGCATATTCAAAGGCAAGATATTTTACAAAAAACTTAAACGTGAGCGCACTGCTTTATACAAAAGAGTTAAAAGTATTCGTCAACAAATCCCATATTTACAAACATTCATCAGAGTAACTCATGCCTTGCTCTTGGTTGGGTTCAGTGGACACGAGTTGCTCCACCAACACTCTTGGATTTAGAGAGAAGCAAGTCTTTGAGCTGCTTGTAGTTTCTCAGCTCCTCAAGTGCATCTGATGTGCTTCGAGCCATCGAATATTCAGATTCTGTACCTGACACTGATACTGACACCGACCCTTCTCTATGAACTCCAGACGTTGACCCCATGTAAGTGCTTGAGTCTTGTCGTAATGGTGGTGCTGTCTTCAGCATGTGAACCAGAACCCCAACCGCTGCGTCCTGTGACTTTCTCCCTATAGGTAGCGACTGCGATATAGAGCTTGAAGCTTTCCTCCGATCACTTTGGCTGCACCGAATAAGTTTACAAAATCTTATGTCATTATATCACCAGGGAAATCCCAAAGAAGAAGTGAAATTGACAGCCAAAAAGGATGGACAGTAAGAGCAAGGCCAGGTTCTTAGGGTGTCAATGTCAACAATTACACAATACAGCCAAGATATCAGCTTTCTGTGTAAAGATTACAGAAAACTATTCCAATAAATGTATATCATCATTAGAATGATTAAAGTAAGATAATGGGGTAAAGCCAATTACCTGTACTGAAGTCCTGACTCGTCAACATCATCGAAATCAAAAGGGCATGAACAATCAGGGTCATCCAAGTCGTCCTGTGAAGATAATCTACTGGGGCTTCTAGAAAACCCAAATCTTGGTGAGCCACTTGAAGACAGCAGTCCAGAGAAGCGGCCAGAATCATATTTGCTGTCCTTTGTCAGCTGAAGATTTGAATCAAAGTAAAACACCATGTCAGCTGAGGCAATACAAAGTATTATGATCTCACACTTGCATTAATCAAGACACATAAAAAGTAAGAAGCATAACCTTTTGGCCAGGGTAGTGGTTCATTAAACCAGAAGGAGACTCTCCGCTTCTCGAACTCTTGTACAACGCAATCCCAGGCAAAGAGTCCTGCGATGAAGGGGAGCGTCTCGTACTTTTAGGGGAAAAAGGAGGGAGTGGATTCCTGCTTGGCTCAGAGAAGTTAGATGAAACGTATCTATTGAATGCGGCTGAAGAAGGAATGGTCACTGGAGCAGTCCCTGGCCTCACGTTAATCCGCGGGCTGCTATTCCCTGAGATGTATCTCGGAGTAGAAGGAGAACCCGATGGCGAGAAAGGAGGTGAAAGCTGGTGACTGTCACCAAAAGCATCTGTACGTGACCAGTGGAAATCGTGTAATCCCGGTGAAAACTGATGCGAATGAGCAGGCGAGAAAGACTGGTTCGGCGTAGCGTAATGACCTGGAGGCCTGTGAAAGCCGCTGGTCCAGCTATGAGGACGTTCAGCAGATGAACTAGTCAATGGAGGCCGTCCAGCTCTAACTGGGAACGATGTGCCTTCAACACTTTTCCCTGGAGAAGGGAAGAACCTCATAGGATCCGTTGCAGGACTCCCTACGTAATCGGTTATGATTCTTGGAGGCAATGTGATGTGAGCGCCGAGATTGAAATCAGATAAGTCAGAACGGTAAGTCACCGAGGCGCAAAGACGGCCAGGAGGCACTTCAACTGGAGCAAAGCGAAACTCTTTCATTGTTTCAGTCACTGGACCAGAGAATATATCGCTGAAAGACGAGACCTTGTAGATTAGGTCATAGCCAGAAGAGGCGAGAGACGAACTCAGCTGCCTAGAGACACGGTACGCAGGGAGAAGCCGCGTCTGCGCATAGAGAGAGCGCAATAGAATGATTGATTTCTTGTAAACCTTCTGGTAACGCATAGAAGAGTCAGAGTTCTGAGGAGACATGATGAGTGGGTTCTCGTACTGAACAACCCAACGCTCGATCACAGTCTCGGCTGATCTCACAGTGCCATGATGATGAACATCATCCAGATTATCGCTTGAAATCGGATGAACAAGTATGATATCAATGATCATCGAGTCCAGGATGTTCCTATGCCAAGAATGCAGCTTCTCCAACGCTGCAGGACGATCTCCCATCACGAGATTGAACCATTTATCGCTCTTTTTGACATTAGGACCCGACGAACGCTCACGAGTACGGCCACGGGATTGCAACGAAGGGATTCTAGAATCGAGGACGATGTGCAATGCCTTTGGGAAGAAGTGAGAAACGATCTGCTCCAATCTCCCAATATCCGATGGCAAATTCTCCGGAAAATCCATGTCAGAGACAAAACTCTCAAAAACCCAAATCGAACAACACGGATTTTCTAAAAATACTATAATCCCTCACTGAGATCCAAATCTACAGGTGATCGAGAAGAATGGAGATGACGAATCGTTGTTTTAGAGAATGGAAAATGACAGGATCTTATCTAGAACGGTGATTAAGATAAACAAATCTTCAGGGAAGAAAAAATTCGATGCGAATGCAGCAGCAGAAACTGAAGGTAAGAGGATCAACAGATGAAGAAGCTGAAAGCTAATTCGATTGTTAGGGTTACCGTGGGGAAATAGAAGAGAAGCTTATTGGGAGCATCTGAGACGTCAACGATAGCGTAAAGTTGTTTTTGCAGATAGACGATGATGATGATGAACATAAAGAAGAGTTTTGGAGCTTGAAGAAAACACACACGAATTTACTGAATATTAAATAATATTTACTGGTTTTCAAAGAAAGAACAATAAATTTTAAAATTAATTTCGAGTTTCGTAGAGGAGTATACCATCAGTGAACCAATAAGGTAGAGCCACGTCTTGCTTTTCTTTCGATTTTTACGGTTTTAACCTTTCTTTTCCCCATCAATTACAAGAACATATAGAAGTGCCACTGATTCGTGAACCTGAATCTCACGCGCTTTCTGGAAGAGGCGGTGAAGTCTACGCGCAGACAGTTAACGCTGACTAGCTATTGTATGGGCCTAATATTAAGACATTAGGCCCAATATATATGTACATTTCGGTGCATATTTAAGTTGATGAGCCCCATAAATATATACTATTTTTTTTAGTGAAGCTCTTTTGTCAACATGATCCATGTATACAAAATTATCACCATGTAATACTCTAGTACTATATATAACATTTATACTCAGTTATCAATACTCATACATATCGACCAGGCCAACACATTTCGACGGTACCAGATTTACAGAGAAAAGAACATTAAATTGAATTTGTGTAAACCACGGCACTACAATTCTTGATTATTATATTAACTAGACATTTACTCGTGCTACGCTGCAGAATATTTTTCTTATATATTTTTAATATAATAAAATTATTTTTATAAAATAATGAGTATTATATTTATTAATTTAAATTGTGTATTTATATGTTTTAAATCTGGATAAACATTGTATATTTTTAATTTTTTTATTTTTCAAAATTATAATTTACTATCAAATTTGTTTAGCTAACTAATTGTAAATGTATATGTAAAAATAAAATAATACATTTTTGAGTATCTTCATACTAATAGCAAATATAATTTATTTTCTCTATTAAATTGCCACTTGATCCTCTTTTGTATTTATATGAAACAAAATATCATTTTAAAATAAATTATTAATTAATATGATTATTTTAAATTATAAAATTTATTTATTTATTAAATATTTATTATAAAAATATGTTTCTAAAACTACCAAACTATAATTAATAACATTCATATCAAAACCATTGCTATTGATTTATAACTAAATAGAAAATTCTTTTTGAACTGTTGAAATATCAATTTAGTTAAAGTTAAATAATTAAATTTTGGTTACTATAAACATATTGTAACTTGAAAATTTAGCACAGAGAAATTTTATCTTCTTACAAAAACCGAGAAATCGCATTTTTTATCAAAACAAAAAAAAAATTATTTTTTCACGAAACTCAGAAATCGCCTATTCAAACCAAAAAAAAAATTATTTTCTCATCAAACCTGCAATTTCATTTTTCCACCAAAACAGAAAAATTGCATTTTCCCGCAAAAACCAAAAAATCATATTTTCCCGCAAGAACCTGTTTTTTCCCGTCAAAACCGAGAAATCAAGTTTTTTCACCAAAACCAAAAAAATTATCTTCCTGCAAAAACCAAAAAATCGTATTTTCTCGTCAAAACCGAAAAATTCATTTTTCCCGCGAAAAACAAGAAATCGTCTATTCCTGCCAAAACAAAAAAAACAATCATTTTTCCCGTCAAACCAAGAATCACGCTTTTCTATCAAAACTGACTAACAATAATTTCTCGCGAAAACCAAAAATTGCATTATCTCCCAAGAAATTGTGTTTTCCGTGAAAACTAAGAGATCACATTTTCTCGCAAAAACTAAAAAATCACATTATATGTCAAAAACTGAAATTTTACATTTCTCATCAAAACCAAAAAATTGTTTATTCCCGCCAAAACCGAGAAGTTTTATTTTCCCATCAAACTGAGAAATTGCATTTTCCGCCAAAATAGTCAAATTGCAATTTTTCGCGAAAACTAAGAAATCACATTTTCCCGTGCGCATTATTCATTAAAAGCCGAAAATTTGCATTTCCAATCAAAACCGAAATTGCATTTTCCGTAAAAATTGAAAAATTGCATTTCCCATCAAAATCGAAAATCGCATTTTCTCGTCAAAACTAAGATATTTTGTTTTCGCATCAAAATCAATTTTTTTTTTCTCACAAAAATCAAAAATTCACATTTTTCCACCAAACCCGAGTATTCGCTTTTTTCCGCGATACCTAGAAATTATGTTTTCCTACCAAAACTGAAAATCACATTTTCCAACCGAAACCAAGAAATTCCTTATTTTACCAAAACCAAGAAATTTCTTATTTCCGTCAAAGCCAAAAATATATGTTCTCGGTAACCATCAGAAATGTGAATCTCCAAGTTTGTAGTATCAGTTTTCCGTCGAAAAAATTATTGAGTTGAAATTGTGATTTAATTAAAGGAAAGAATATTGATCATTTTCAGTGAAGGAGAAAATGTTGACCCAAATACAAAAAGAGAGGAGAAAAATAAATATCTAAGAACAGATAGATACATTGAACCTGGACATAGTGAAGCTAGTAGACAAGACGCCTATTTAAAGGACATCATCAAACCCTAACACTCAACCAAAACAAAACAAAGTAAACCACAAGTTCCACAAATCAAACATATTAGACATTGCGATTGGATTATTTTAATTAATGGCGAAAGAAGGAGGTTACGTGACGGTAGCGGTAGAAGAGATGGAGGAGCTACGGAGGAGGAACAGAGAGCTCGAGAGAGAAGTGGAGGAGATGAAGACGGAGATGGTTCAGCTGTGGAGGAGGACCGTGGTGGCGGAGGAGGCGGAGGAGAGTCTCTGCTCGCAGCTGGCGGAGTTGGAGGTCGAGTCTCTAGATCAGGCGCGTGAGTATAACGATCGCGTACTCTTCCTCATGGATCAAATCTCTCGTCTCTCTTCTTCTTCCCTCGTTTCTTCCTAGTAGATTTACATGTATATATGTATGAATTGTTGTGGATCTCATGTACAGATGCGTTTGTTATTATCTACTATGTAAATAGTCATCGATGGATAAAACAAATTATGTTTTCAACATAAACGAAATGTTGAGATTCATTTCTAATGAGTGACTATTCCTGATAATTTAATTGCACGATTTTCATAAAATGGCACAACTTAACTTTCAGACCAATTAGCAAATTACCGATGGATTTATCTTGCGAACCAAAGACTCCCATTTTAGAGTGATGATCAGGTTCTGGTAGTGAAATAACAACTTACGACGTCTTGAACAACCTAAATTATAGTACTTGTTGCTTTAACCGATTAGGAGATCTTTACTGTCAAATTGTAGCCCTCCAAATGATTAGGTGGAACTATCACTTATGTTCTTATTTGGTTAGATGATGCAGCAAATTTATTTTATATTAATTAATGAATGAAGTGAGTATGTGACCAAAACAATCATGTTATAGGTACAAACGATCAGAAGATCATGAACTCAGAGATCAGTTGGAAAAGTTTATTTAATGAGATATGATTTTAATGTAGTGTAGATGAACGATGGTTCATGGATTGATATGTACATGTATAATGTACATATCTCATGGTGATGTAGTTTTTTTTTATGGTAGATGGGGTTCATGAAAGTTAATTTTCTGTTAGAATATTCATTAATTATATATGGTCAATGGAAACCGTAGACAGACTTTTATGAAACATTTTAGGAGATAAGGTTTCTAAGATTTTTTTCACGAAATCATCAAAATAGTTTTCATTGGAACGTGAAACATAGCATAGATGTTCCATTCGTTGAGGGCTGAGGGGCATTCTCTATTTTCATTAAATTATAATTTGTAGATGACTGACGATACAGCTATCCCTTATTAGGCCTTAGCGCTTTGGCATACGACCAGAAAATTCCATGCGTAGATTTTACAATTGTGAAGTCTTTCTTTTAACCGAAGTGAACCGAAAAGAATATGTGATTGGGGAAGACTAAACCGGAGAAGAGAGGAGATACATTGAACCTGGACGTAAAGGAACTCGACCAAGTTGTGTGGGTGTAATCACCCCTCATTCCGAATTTGTCTCGTGATCATTCTTGGCATTTTTTAATAATTGGGGGAAATAAACTTCCATGATTTTTTTTTTCCTCTTCTTTGGCTTTTCTTTATGTTATAGTATATCTATGATTTTGATATCTCTTACAAAGAAGAATCCGCCATTATTAGATTTACTTTGTCTTCGAATATCCACTGTCGTATTTGGCTGTTTTTCAATTTATAGTTTCCTACATTAATAACAATTTCCAGTGCCCATTTAAACAAATAATAACAAAGAAAACAGCCTTTAGTAAATACTAGTAATCACTATTTGTACCACATTTTGAGAAAAAAACTGGACTTTGACATTGATGTGTTTAAAGGAGGAATCGAGTGACTCATAGTTCAAATCGAATAATATTAATAAAACCTTGGGGTAAAGATTATAATACTATAAATGTGGCGCTGGCAAAGATATTAAAATGATTTGTTCTGGACTTTAGTCTAAATTAATGTGTTTAAACAAGGAACGTGAAATTATCGCTATGTACTACTCATTAATGTGATGGCCATTAACTTGGGAGAAGTAGAAGTGGGTCCAAAGGAGGCACGACGGAATGGAATATGACTATTACATGGACGTAATTTGTGACGTCAGCTATCGTTTTGTATACTCTAATGATAAATAATAATAGGCTGTTCGTATCATTTGAATGCGAATTAAATTCTCATATTACAAGACAAACCTGAATATTGTGACAGAAATAAATATAAATATGCAACCTATTCACGGATAATATCTGATTATGTAGCACAAATTTATCAGAAAAAATATCTAGGTTCCATCAATGATACTATATAATATCTTTGGAACGTCACAAGTCCACTCGTGAAACTTATATCACAAGTCCACTCTGTTTCAAAAAAAAAAACTTATCTAAGACTTGTATGAAATGAAATCTTATTCACAAATTTGTTTTAGAAGAGAATAGTAAATGTAATTTTGAAACAAATATCTTACTGTTACTGTAAAGAACATTATTAGTATTACTTTATTAGCCATGCATAATACACGCCACGTGTTGTTACTTTTTAAAGAAATAACCATAGAGAGTGATTTGACCCTGAAAAAAAACGAGACACGAGATACATTGAACCTGGACACTTGACGATCCCAAAGACCAACACGTAAAAGAGGCTTATTAATAGGATCGACACACAGACACAGAGGCGCATCAACACACTCCAAAATAAAATAAATAAATAAATAATTCTCTATATACAAAAATTCCACAGAGAATTTGTGGTTTGAAATTAATGGGAAAAGGAGGAGGTTACGTGACGGTGGCGGCGGAAGAGGTGGAGGAGCTACGGAGGAGGAACGGAGAATTGGAGAGAGAAATGGAGGAGATGAAGAAAGAGATGGTGCAGTTGTGGCGGCGGACGGTGGTGGCGGAAGAGGCGGAGGAGAGACTGTGCTCGCAGCTGGCGGAGCTGGAAGTCGAGTCACTAGATCAGGCGCGTGAGTACCAATCTCGTATACACTTTCTCATGGACCGAATCTCTCGTCTCTCTTCATCCTCTCTTGAAGTCATTGTTACGAATTCGTAGATAGATATAGAGATATATGTCCTGTATAAATGGCGAAGGATGATCCTAAGATCAACGCCAGTTTTTAATTTTTCGTTTATCTTGTTCGTTTAGGAGATCTAGAAACTTGTTGATTAATAGTGTTAAAAAAAAAGATCCAAAACCTCTCACGAAAAAAAAAGTAATCGTAAAAACAGAAAAATTAAAAATCATCAATTGAAATCACAAAAAAAAAAAACGAATATTTTGTAAAATCAACATGTATTTTCCATCTTTTGTCTTTTTCCATATTTTCTTGGTGAAAAGTTGAAAAGCCTTTTACTTATAAGAACTGAATTCAATCATAACTAACGGAATGTTGCATTTTTCTCTCTGTTTCGGTAACTATTTTACAGGACTTGACTACAAAGTACATGTACTTTGAGATGTTATTGTTACATTACTGCAAAATATGGCCCATTTATTTTTTGGGAAATTGAAATTACTTTTTTTTTTTAATGGGAAATTGAAATTATTCTGTAGGAAAATTGATTTTTTTTTAAAAAAAAACCGCATCAAAGCCGAAATTATTGCTTTCGTGTAACTTTAGTGATTACGACAACGAAAGAGGCGTCTTTGGTGGTTATGCTTATAAAGTTATTATTCCAGTGAAGATATTTTGATCAACAGTAAAACTAAGCGGAGACAAACAACAAGTCATAAATTAGGTAGAAAGATATATTTTTTTTTTTTTTTTTGCTAAGAGGTAGAAAGATATTCAACGTCAAAAAAACGACTACTCACAGTACTCGATTATGATAAATAGATTTCACAATGCCCTTTGTGATCGGACAAAATTGGTATGAAGAAAAAATATCTAACAAATCTCAATGTTAACTGTTAATCCCACCCACCCAACTATATATATATATATATATGATCGTCTTATTATCATACAAAGCATATCCCTTTTTTTTTTGTCAGAACTTATAATCTAATTCGCTTTGCGACGTACAATTTTCAATATTAAAGAGAATCAAACATTGCTAGTAGAAGCAGAAGAATCTAACAAAGAGTTCTTCCTAGCAACAACAGCTAAAGAAAAAAGCATTACATTTGTGTTTGAAGATAGATGATCCTTATTGTCAAAACAGATAGATTCTGAATTTCTGATGATGATTAACATATAAACAAAAAAGCTCAATTACTACTTTCCTCGTTTGCCCTTCATCTCAGGGTCCCTGTACTCAAAACCACAGAGAAGTCGATTCAATTCAGTAATTTCACAGATTCATGTCTTTCATTCAGCAGAGAAAGTTGGTTTCGAACCTCTGGATATGGTCTAGTATCAGAAGCCTTGGCCCTGGTGGGATACTCACATCTCTTAGCGCGCTGTATTCACAATTCAAATGGCGACAACAGCATTAGTCTTATTTGTTACATAAACAAAAGCTTGAAGGATATATATATATATATATATGTACCTATCAGTGAGCAATGGTAAGGTGGGATCTGTTAGAAGTCCCTTCTTGAAATTCTTCTCGTATTTCTGTAGACCTAGCTTCAATAGCATACTTCTTGATCGTGTGTAAAACGGGTCTTCAGGGCTCGGTTTAGAGAACCTTTCTCCCAACTGAGTTAAGAAATCCGAAAAAAAAGGGGTAAGAGGAGATGCTTAACCACATGATCCATAAGTAAAGAGTCCAAAAATGATTCACTCGCCTTGAAAAAGATTCCTTGGAATACAGCAAATCCAGCAGCGGTGGTGATTGCGTTCATAGGTTGTCCTTGCAAGCCTTGGCTCACCAAAGAGTACGCGAATCCAGATCCTAATGCTGCGACCACGCTGCAAAAATAAAACCATTACTCTCTAAGACTCCCATTCTCAACAGGATTCCATTTAAACAATATCACAAAGAATTGATTCAAAATATTTACTCAAGATGATAGATACAAATTGTTCATGATCATGCGAATGAAAGCTCATAAGATCAAGGGCTTAATCAAGACTCAGAGTGAAACTTATATATCAAATCTAACCAATCAGTGACCAAGTGACCAAGAGAATAACAAATAGTTCTTAACGTGTGAGTTTCTGGTGTGTGGTGCTAGCAACAGGGTTGATTTAAGTAGTAAGCCATTGCTAGAAAGCAAGAATTAGTAATTCAAACTGATACAAGCCTATAAGGATGGACCTAAGAGGAGGCAAGTTTTCAGCTAAAATGATGAACTTAAGAGGCGCAGCTACAAAAAGGCAAATTCAGCAGATAAAAAGTAAAGTTTAGAAGATTGAGACTTACGCAGACTCAAGATCCTCTTTGCCTCGAATGCGTTTCATTACGCAAGCAATTCCAGCATTAACACCAGTAATGGCAGCAAAATTCCGAGCCTGGACCCATGGTCCACCCACAAGAGCCTACACACACAAAATCAACACAAGACAAAAAGTCTTCTTCCATTAAATTACAATAGCGATGGAAATCACATGGATGGATTTACATATCAGAGAAGTTTAAGGAACCTGAGCTTGCTTCATCGAGGCCATGGCTTGGGCGTCAACGCCGGACTGAGGCATTTCAGGGGATAGTGTTCCCATTAGACCGCCGATGAAAGCTCCCTGTACACCGCTCATGGTGGAAACGACGGCGGCTTCCACCGGAAGCGACTGCTTCGACAACCACGTCTTGAAACCAACTTCCACCTCCTTGAATTTGACCTGTAACTGCTGAATTGGGTTCTGCTGATCGTTGAACAAGCTCGCCATCGCCATCATTTCGCCACCGCCTTTCCTCTGCTCTCCTCCTCCGCCGCCTATCCCCATTTTTACTTACTTTTTTCTCTTACTGACTTTTGATTTTTGTTTGTTTTTTCTTTCGGTTCTGCTTCTCGTCTTATCTCTCCCTTCTTCCTCCCGTCTCTCTCTATTGGGTACTTATTTTAAAGAGATATGTGGGTACTTATTGTAAAATGTATTGGGCCTGTAAACCCAATACATTTAAGTGCCACATTTGCATTCTTCTAGGTGAGCTTTGTTCCCTTATGCTATCTTGCTTTGGTGATTTCTAAGGTGTTTTCTTCAGTTCACAATTTGCGATAGTGTCAACGGTCTTATTTGTTATCTTAAGTTGAATGAAAGAAGAGCGGGTTACTAAAAGTAACAAATGAACTATATGTTTTTACAGACGCTCATTGAATGTGAAGGCGACTCCATAGATTGATGATATTGGTGAATCACCATAAGGATTCTGAGCCAAAAAGGTTGGATGTTGGGGAGCCACCACACCTTGCTGTTTTTGAGTATGACTATGATTCGGACTTAAGATGAATCCGTCCGAGATTTGGCTGCTCGGTTTGTTCCTGGATTTTAATACAGAAGAACAACATTTAATTGGGATGTGATAAAGAAAAGATCGAAGATCAATCAGGAAATGCACGGATTTTCCCAAAGTTGAAGAAACCAACTCAAGTTATAACAAACTGAAACTGATTATAACATTCATTATTATAATCAGTAGCTAATAGGGAGAAGTAATGTTCCTGCACTGTACCTTTATAGCTTTTTTGGGCAGAATTCTCCGAGGTCACAGGAAATCTAGCACTCACATCCACCATCACATGTATCTTCACCTTTCTGTCATGAATGATAAACACATTATAAATCTACTTTGGATTTTTCAAACCAACATACTGTAATAACATTTTCTCTTCCCCGCTATTACCATAATCATGGTGAATGCAAAAATTATCTGAAGTTCTTTTACCCCTAAGCCCTTGAGTTATTTACCATAACATGGATATATATGATGGTATCTCTTTTTGTAAGACTATCAATGAAAACTACTACTAGTTCATCTGGACCTTTTGCCTATATTATTCAACTTGAACTGCGGTAGTACTCCGACCGATTTTATAACCAAAAACTAAGGTTTTGATGACTTCACAATGATTCTACTAAGAAACTATAACCCAAAATATATAATAGGTGAAGAACCAGTAGTTGCAAGTACATGCTAATACGTACCAGGATCATCCTCAACCTCGTCCTTTGTTAAGCTTCCAACTCCTCAGACACTGGAAAAGTGAGAAACATAACAGTCAAATCCTTGTGCAGAGAGAGTAAGTAATGGCAATTCGACTCTCCTGCATGGTAACACTATGAAACCTGCACAGACAGAAAATAATTTCAGGAATTCTAGAGCTCATCGATCAAGGAAAAGAAGAAACTTGATATTGAACAAAGTATAGGTCTCAATCATGTCTCCATTGAAAGGATAAAGAAAATATTGATTCTCAATGAAGAACCTGGTCGAAACCTACGCTGCATCTGTCAGCAATGTAAAACAAAAGAAAATTCTGTCGTAATAAACTTATCAAGAATCAACAATTGTATCTTGTAATAGTCGAGGCTAACCAAAACAAGATAGACAGATAAAAACAAAGGCTGTCTCTAAAGAGAGTCCAAATACAAGGACAAAACTGCGAATATAAGAAAGCACTAGCAAAAGCTGAAACAAGCTTGTTATTCTACTTCACCTAATAATATGAAAACAAAAGAACGTCCATAACATAGCAGCAGAATCACGAAGTCTCTCCTACGTTAAATACTACTACATAGAGTTCAACAATACTAAGATAAAATGCTTCTTCAAACAGGGAGCTACACCTAGTCTCCCTGGAAGAGCACATGAATGATATCTTTTATTCCATAGTTGTCCATGAAAAAGAAAGAAAGAAAGGAAGTTATTCTAGGTGAGATATGATAAAAGCCTCTCAGAGATAGAAAGTATCTAGTTCATCTCCATTCCATCTCCAGCTTGGCTGCAGATTGGGCTCACGGCAGCGAAAGACCTCTCGAAAGGAGAAGAATGAAACTGGGCATCACGCCTGCGACGCTTCACGCGGCTCTCAGAAGGTTGACTCTCATCATCGAGCTTCCTCCGGACTCCTCTAACCGCCTGCTCCTCCGCCGACGAAAGCGGGAATATCCGGCCACTGGCTCGGCACAGAGAGCTATGGTTATCATAAAGGATCCTTTGGTTGCAGTTCTTGTCGCAGACATGATTCAGCCCGGTTAGTTTGCAACGGTACATGTTCCCACAAACGTTCTCGTTCTCGCATTTCCAGTCACATTTGTGACACGGGACGGGTCCGTCTCGACCGAGTATCGCAGACAAGTAAATAACATTGGCAGAACCAACCACTGGTGATTTTCCAAATACCTCCATTGTTTTGATTCTGTCAAGTTAATTTTCTGATTCTCTAATCTCCAAATCGTCTTCAACACTCTGCATGATCCAAACAACCCGATGAAAACGATCAATAACATCACAACGATACGCACCACCACCATGTGAAATCTCTAATTCCCCAACAATCCATTTCAAGATCAAATCAATTTCATTCCTAAATGATACTTAATGCAATCTACTTATGTTTCCAAAGAGGAAACAAAAACAAAAAATCGTACATATAAAAAGCTCCATGAAATTCCTTATCCAGAAAACGAAATCGATCCACTATGAGATCAATCAATCAGCAAGACCTAATCGCGGCAGATAAAACGCATTGTGAATAGCTACGAGATCCGACGAAAGAGTAAAGGAGAGACTCCATAATCAAATGAAAAATACGCAAAACTACAAGAGTGAGGAAGAATATGGGAGAGAGAGAGAGAGAGAGATACACACACACCTGGTGAGCAAAACAGCAAATTCGTAACCCTAAATTTGATTCGAACTGTATGATAGCTAGAGAACAAAGTGATTGAAGAAGACGATGGAGAAGTATTTATAGATCAGACTCGCACTGTCTCTTCTAACGGATTAATCTATCTCCGTTATTAAACAAACGGTTCCACTTACCAGGGCCTACCTCATCTACTTTTTCCCACTTCATTTTGATTTGCTTATTTTAAACATTTACTCCACACCAATAGCTAAATTCATTAATTTCTCTCAATTCTTTTTTAATTTTCTTTTGGCGGGGAAATAGGAAATTCACGTGCCAGTTAATTATGGGTCTAATTGGTAATAAACTAATTAAAAGTTGTAGTTTTAATTTTTGCTGTATAAATATGGCTGTAATTTTAAATTTTTGCTGTATAAATATAGCTGTAAATTTTAATTCCTTAAAACTTTGATTCTAAAATTATAAAATTTGGAAAGTATAAAATTATATGCTTTAAAAAAATGCTTTATATAGCAAAAAAATAAAAAAATAAAATATTTAACTATGAATAAATAAAGAAAATATAAAATTTATAAAATTTAATTAATAAATTTAGAGCTGTAAATATAAACATTATTATGTACAACATCTACAACAATAATCAATCAAGTCTTTAATAGGTTAGAGATCTACTCGTTTCAAATACATAATAAATATGATATTTAATTAGGCGTGGGTAGTAAACTGTATTAAAAGAAATTAACTATTTTTAATTGGATATTTATAGAGGAAGACGGCAGAAAATGGCAAAAAGCTCAGAAAAACAAACTGTAACCGTAAGAAGAACGTGACGGTGGTGACGCCGTGAAGTGACATTGTAAGAACGAGCCACAAACGGACAATGACTTTGGGCTTTTGGCCCACCTAATGTCACACGTCGTATTTCCATGCTCTTTTCACATTCTCTTTCATTTTTTATTTACTTATAATTAGGTGATCGGTCTGTACCGTATCCAGACTAAAAAATATTTTATATGTTCAATTATAATTAATATAGTATTAAAGATATTTTATTTTTATATAATTAGTTATATAATAATAATAAAATAATAAACATTTATAAATTAAATATAAAATATTATATATTTCAATAAAAATGAAAATAAAAAATATTAACTAAGATTTTAAAATATATTTTTTGTATAAAAAATGTAAATATGGCAAAAAAAAACATTAAAATATATAATAATTTATTTAATTTTTATCTTTGGTCCGCATGCATGTGCAAATATATTTTTTTATAAACATAATTAACTGTAATATTTAAGTATCGATTAATTTTCTTATACATTATGTAAATATTATGTTTGTATACATATATAATTTTAGTGTTCAACAACAATCACACAAACGTTTCATATCGTTTTGTGTGTTTGAGAATTTTTTAGTTTTCCTAGCGTTTACAGTAATATATAATAGCAAATGTAAAAGTAATATTAAATAGTAATTAAATTTTTATAATATATTTTGAATATTATCTACATAATACTTTCTTTTTCTCTTTACATAATATAATATTGCCAATATATATATTTTAAGTATATACTTTTCCTTGACTTATTGCTAATTAAACCAAAATGAATTCTACCATATTTATTTATCCTAAGAGCACGTAGAACCACCTCACCGCTCTGACGACATATAAAGATTTTTAAAAAAATATAAATGATCTAACAACTAAAATTAAAATTATAGTGTAATCGAGGTTAACAAAATGTATGCACGACAAGTTTGCATTCAAGTTTGACTTTTGATTAATTAATATTTATATCTACACGCATATTTGTAAGAAAATCGAAGTATAGCTTTTATGTGTTAAAAGAAAATAATAAAGTATATATTTTGTGATATATATTTTTATAATGTATAGTTGTTTTTTTTTAAAAAAAAATAAGTATATTTATGCATGTATGTATGAGTTATAAATAAGTGAATTATAATATTGAGGTGTTGGTAAGTTTTTTCTGGTATTTTACGCAAACGTTATGTTTTTAGACAATGTAGTTATTGGCGTTTAACAACAATCACGAACCATTTCTATCGTTTTGTATTTAACCAAAGTTTCTTATTTTTCAGCATTTGATGATATATGGTTTCTCAATAAAAATTTACTAAAAAATTATTATAAAATTTGTGAAATCATATTTTATAAAATTCTCCGATAACTCTCCGTTTATCTTTTTGTCAAATTTATTATAACCCGCAATCGCTCGCTTCCACAAACTCTCTATAACCGAATCGTTTAAACCAATATGATCTAAACTTATATGTGTATGATTTGAGATGTAAAATAATTTATTTAATATTTGATTGTTATTAAAAATTAAGGGTTGATCTGTTCCGAACTTTAATATATTTGTTAATATAAAATATAATATATCACAATATATACAAAAATTGATTCATGAAATAATGTTTTAATATGTTAGAAAAATATATGCATTAAAGAATTAATATGTGTAAGATAATATTTTGATTATTTCAAATAAAAATTTAAAATCGATCAAAATTATTCTTATTTATTTTTTTGTCTTTTTGACTCATAATTTTTTTCTTAGCATTTAATAATATATTAAACATTAAAATCATTTCTAATATATTTTTCTATTTTTTCCTTTAAAACATAAATGGAATTCTCTCCGACCTATTTCTATTTTACAGGAAAAAAAAATTGTTATTTTTCCTCTATAATTGGAGGAAAAAATAATCACTTTTTCCCTATAAATTAGAAGATTTAAAATAAATGTGGCTTTTTGTGTTAATTGATGGAAAGAATATATAAAACTATGTTAATTGACCTGGTTCAATAAAAGTACGTTAACATTTTCTATTCCCCACAAATATTTAAGTATTAAGTAATTATCTTTATGCTATAAATATAGTATAGATTTAAGATAGTAATAAGGTTCATATTTGACAGATTTTTACTTTCTACACTGAAATTAACGATTAAATATAAACAGATAATGATTTTGACAAAAAAGGACGTTCACATTTTTGGCTTCACTTAGAATTAACATAAAACATATATTAGTTTTGTCTGTTTATTTGAATAACACAAACCTATTACAAAACCATATGTTTTATAATAGAAGTTTTTTGAATTCATTTATTTAAATAATGATTACGTATTTTTTTTTTAAGTTTCTGTATTAATGCGATTGAAGAGCCAACAAAAAAGTATCTTAGCAAAATAAAATATAAATTATTTTAATAAATAATGATCGTTAAATAGAATATTTCTGGGAAAAACAAAATAAAATATAAATAAGTAAATGTTTATGTCAAAAGAAAAATAATAATTAAATGTTTTTTCGGTGATGCAACCAACGACGATCCCCTGAAAATAAAAACAGAGCAAAGTAGCGATTTTTAGTTATTGAGAAACCTTAATGGGTACACTTGAGAGAGACAATGTATTGCAAAATTTTACATTTCCGTTTGGTTGGTAACAGATCGCAGAAATGGAATCACGAACATTGGTCCAAGCAAGGACTCTCTGTTCTGATAAACCCCCGATTGGAGCTTATCTCTTCTGCTTGATTCCTCAACCATTAAACAGAACAGACGACATGTATCTCTCTCCAAACAGATTCAAACCATTTTATGAGCTTTCTGGACATTCCAATCTCTCGCTTTAAGAGATCCTATCACACTTGTGCCCTTTCCTCTTTGTCCTCATCGCTTTCCTCTCCGGATCGTAAGGCCAATCCTCTCCACAGGTCAGAACTTCTTTTCTCAGCATCGCTCTCCTGCGCGCGCTTATACCCAGAGGTTTCCAAGCTCCCATCTTCCAATAACCCCACACGCCTTTCGTCAGATCGGTTCTGTACTTATCCAGTTTCACCCTCCACGGATGTTGAAACGCCGTCGCAGTCTTTGCCAAGGCTTCTGCAGCTTTCCCCGCCATAGCTTTCTGTAGTGTTTGAGAAGATAATGAGTCACCAGAAACACAATTCTTAATAGATAATATCACAGATGCAGCAGCTCAAAACTATCCTATGAAACTTACAGAAGCAGTGGTAAATGTAAATGTAATCCAATAGCTCAATTTAGATTCTGAAACTTAGTTTAGAAACCTCAAAGCTTATACATTTCGTGTTAGCTAAAAGCAGAGGAGATCGATTTTAAAGGAAACCATAGATACAATGATGATGCATTGAAGCAAAGAACGAACTTTGAAGCCATAGAGAGATGTGTGGAATGAGGAAGAACATGACAGGGAGTGTTTCATAAACATCATTTCTTACAAGCTAAGCGCAGATTGATTGAAATGTTGTTGATAGAACAATCTCTGGAGAGTATAACCTTTGATTACTAAAGCAGAAATGCGATTCAAAATTGGATTCATCCCTAGCAGAGCCACCGAAATTAGGGATTTGATTCCGTAAACTGGGTTCCGTTACCTAAACACACTACAGTCGAATTCGATTCCCAAATCTAATGATAATAGGATAAAAAAAAGAGGGCTTTTTCTTATTTCAGTTTATAAAAAATCAATCCCCAAAATACCAAAATCCGAACTTGCAATCTTCGGATAAATAAGCAAAGAGTTGGAATTGAATGATTCTAAGCATATAAAGAAAGAAAGAGAAAGCAAAATAGTAATAACATGTTTGTACCTAAGTCACATGAAAGACATTCACATGATATCTTCAGAAACCTAAATCAAATCACATTGACATTGGGGTTTTTAGATTTAAAGTACTGGCCAATGCCAGGCACACGGTTCCACCCATTCCTTTGGCTGGATCAGTGAGGAAGATCTCATCGTTGCTCTCCTCTCTTCCTGAGTAGTTGTCTCCGCTAAGCAGCCAGGGAAGAAAATCGGTAAAGAGGTTTTCGATGGTTTTTTTCTAATTCTAAGGGATAACAATTTTCTATTTTTAGATCCAAAATGCCAAGTCACATTTCCAAGTCACTATTCCAGGTTAGTATTAAATTGTACACATCAGAAATTTTCAGTAAAGGTACTTGTCAAATAATAGTAAAGATGTGCACTCGTAGAATAAAACCACTGAGATTGAAATCTATAAATACGAGTGTACATGTACAACTACTGTAGTTGTTACTTGTTCATGGTACATAAATGAAGTTACAATACAGAAATGAGAGATGGAGTAAAATGTTTGGAAGAAAATAATTTTTATTTCTTGGGAGAATTAAGATGGACTAATTAGAATCAGTCACCCTTTTTACATCTTCTTTTCATAATGGAAAAATCGTTACAAAATCGCGTCTCTCTTTTTTGTTTTTGTTTTTGAACCCAAACACGAAAATTAACTAATACGGGTGAAGAAATGGTGATTAGCAAATTTAATGAAGCAAAACTGATTTATATTTAATTGAATCAAAGAAGAATCATTATGAGATACAAAGAACAAACAACGCCAATCAAATCAGGTAGTAGCAAATCAAATTAAGGTGCAACAACATTCAAAATATTTTCTCAGATTTAATCAATCAAACAGTGACAACAGCTTCTTTCTCTTCTTGTTTACTCTCCTCCTTTACTGGTTCAACCTCAGCCGGTTTCACCTCTTCCACCGCAACCTCAACCTTTTCTGGTGCAGCTACCGCATCAGCCGCTGCCTCAGCGTTTTCTGTTGCAGCTACTACGTTGTCCACTTTCTCAGGTGCTACTACGGCCTCAGCAGAAGAAGATGACTCTTCCACGGCTGCTACAACCTCTGGTTCAGCAGCAGGAGCTGTTTCCTTGGTCAGCTCGACCTGAGGTGCCTCCTTAGCTTCGACAGAAGTTGTTTCGGTGGTCTCAGCTTCTGGCTGGTTCTGTTTCTCACCGCTTTCTTCTGTGTTGTTCTCCTGTATTATCATAACCGGTTAAGTCCGGTTTTGTATTGATTTTTAAAACAGACAAAACATAATTAAACCTAGATTGTTATGTTGTATACCTTGGCTACTACGGTTTCAGACACAGGCTTATTAGGAATAGAGCCTTCGTCGTTGTTCATGTCTGATTCCTTGGGTCTACTCGCACAGCCACCCATTATTTATTTATTTTTTTCTTGTGATTTTGGTTGGGTTTAGGCTGTGGAGTGTGAAAAATTAACACAAGTTTTTTGTTGTCTCTGCTATTTATTATTGGCGACCCGAGGATTGAACAAATGAGGAGACCACAGTTAGGGTTATATAGATTAAGATGATTCCGATTCTTATGGAGAGCCTTTAGTCTATTCTTTACTTTTTTGTGTTGAATGTTTCAAATAGGGGATATATGGCTAAGATTAGAGTTATTTACCAAAGGTTTTTTTTTTTGAATGGTCAAAGATATTTACAGGGGAAGGTGTGGTGTTAAAAACTTATTTTAGAATTCAGCAGACTACAGAGTAAATTTAGGAGTTTCTGTAATTAAAAAGCATTATTAATATGGCCAAAGGTATGGAAGTTTTGTGGACCTCTCATCAGTCGTTTCCTATATCCAATTGATGATTGACAAAAAAAGATAGAAATCGATGGTGAAATATGTATTACAATTTTAATTCGGCTACTTTTAGTAGAATGCAAATAGAGATGAGTGTGCCGTGTATGGTACATGTCAAAATGATTTTTTTTTTGCAATTACAATTTGTATGTTGTTTTAACCAAAAACATTTTTTTTATTAGGTTGTAGTTAAGTTAAGGATAATTGGAATACCATATCCATATTGAAAAGGTACAATTGTAATATAACAAAACTCTCTAATAACTGTTTTTAAAAAAAAATCCAAAATAGACAAAACAATGTAATAAGGTTTGAACTTTTATTTGATGAATAACATTTCCAGAAACAAAAATCTGGCAGCATCTCACTCTTCCTACGTACAACATATTGACATTCAACACTCAATGGCTAATTAAAGGTGACCACATAATATTCAGCAAGTTTAAAGAATCTTTTATTTGGTGTGGCATGCAAAAACTATTTACAAGATGTAGAGGAGGAAGAGAAATCGAAGACTTCATGTCACTCTCGCTATTCCTCACTCTGTAACCAATAGATCGAAACAATGCATTTTCACTACATCGGTAAGGTTATAAAGTTCCAAATGTATCGAAGTTAAATTTGATTTTGGATTAAGCTTAATTTTGGATTTATAAAATAATTATTAATTATTAGATTAGACCTAAAATTAAGCCCAAATTCTATAATTTTTAGAAACATCACTAAAAACCATCATCTTTCTTAAGTGTTCTAAAGAATTCTATTAGTTAAATATCTAGATAATTGTATAGATAATTCTAAATGTTGTAGTTAAAAATCTAAATATTATTGTAAAAAATTCTAGAGATTAGGAGAATGTTTGTAAGATATTTTGTAATAAGTGGAGTCTATAGATATTTTGTAATCGGGTCTCTCGGGTATTACGGTCTTGGGCTAGTGCTTGACACTATTTGGTGTTTTCTTTACATAGTGCAGAGCCATTCTGTTCTGGTTCTTTTCAAGATCAGATTAATTGAGATCACGGATTCATTCTAAGTATGGAGTCAATGAGTCGCGTTGTTGGATTGGGAATGGAGATTCTAAACCAATCTAATTACCGGTTATGGAAGTCATGCATAGAGTCATACTTGGTGAGTGAGGACTTATGGGATGTCGTCGGCGGCAATAACACAAGACCACCAAGGGGAGCTGCTGCAACAACGGAAGCGACAAAGGAGTGGACAAGGAAAAATGCCAAGGCGGAGTTTGCATTGAAGAGGTCAATATCCTCGAGAGTCTTTGAGCATGTCTCAAGTTGCACATTCGCTAGTTCCATTTGGCAGGCGTTAGATCAGTTGTTCAACAAGAAGAATGAAGCTCGGCTACAACTGTTAGAGAATGAGCTGGCGAATGCAAAGCAGGGGGAGTCTTCAATCTCAGATTTTTTCATCAAGGTAAATAATCTTCGCTCTAAGATTAATACTTTAAATCCGGAGGAGTCAATTTCGGAAGCACGTTTAAAATGGTATATTATTCAAGGTCTACGTCCCGAGTATACACCGTTTGTGACTTCGGTTCAAGGATGGGCTACACAACCTTCCTTGGAGGAGTTCGAGAACCTGCTAGCTTTGCAAGAGTCATTAGCTACACAAATGGCAGGAGTCAAGATCCATGATGACTCGGGGAGTGCCTTTGTAGCTCGGAAACAACAGAACTTCAAAGCCAAATCCAAGTACGATGTTGCAAAGAACATCGATGGACCGGAATGATCTTCTACAGGAGATAATCAAAGTGCGATTAAGCTGGCCAATAATCCGGTGTTCCATGGGATGACTAAACACATTTAGTTAGAGCATCACTTCATAAGGGAGAAGGTGCTTGATGGGACAATTGAAGCTTTGGAAGTTTGAAGCGAGGATAACGTTGCAGATATCTTCACCAAGTCATTACCAAAAGGTCAGTTGGAGTTACTTCGCTCGAAGCTCGAGATGGCTGACAAAATCAAGTTTAAAGGGGAGTATTAACGGTAAACTTGATTTTCGGTTAAGCTTAATTTTAGGTTTATAAAATAATTATTAGTTATTAGATTAGACCCAAAATTAAGCTCAAGTTCTAGTATCTCTAGAAACATCACTAAAAATCATCATCTTTCTTAAGTGTTCTAGAGAATTCTATTAGTTAAATATCTAGATAATCGTATAGATAATTCTAGATGTTGTAGTTAAAAATCTAGATATCATTGTAGAGAATTCTAGAGATTAAGAGAATGTTTGTAAGATATTTTGTAATAAGTGGAGCTTATAAATAGCCTATTACTCATTTGTAAACAATGAGAAGTTGAATAAATAAAAAAAAGAGTGTTCTTCATAAGTTCTCTTATTCTTTCTAAAGTTCTTTCAAGTATTCTCTAAATATTCTTTCATCTTATTATTCATACTTAGAAGGTTTTTGTTTCTTTCGGATCTCTCGGGTATTATGATATTGGGCTAGTGCTTGACATTATTTGGTGTTTTCTTTACAAAATGTGGATCTTGAATCCTCGAAATGTTCTTCAAGCTGCATGATCCAAAGATCAAACAATCCAATGATTGCTAATGGCAAACCCCTTCCGAGTCTTGTCCCAAACAAAAAGTTCAGACCCAAATCACCAATATGTATAAAGTTTGACCGGTGGATCTGTCTAAAAACTAGTTCACGTGTCCCAAAAAAAAAGTTTGAGCGGTTGAATCCTTAGCTCAAACTACTATGTTAAAATACTATCATAGTTTTATTACTTTTTTGGAAAATTATCATAGTTTCATTGGTATGTTTTGTGAGTAACGCAATTCCACAAAACTATTACAGTTTTATTACCTTTTTGTTGGAATATTAAAATACATTTAGTTGATTTTTTACACCAAGTGCCTATATTGTATTTTGCATTTTAGTACTCTTCCATGAAAACTTAGAACTAAAAGAATTAAAATACTAAAAGAGGACAAAACGTATTCTTTAGATGCAATTTCCTATGAATATTTAGGGATATTAATTTGAACCAAAGCCCGAAGCTCATTTCAGTCTGGTCCTGAAAAATACTAGATTTGGATTTTGGTATAAAAATCCAAAAAAATCTGGTATTTTAGGCTAAATCCATTCGGGTTAAGCTTATTGGGCTTAGACCTGATCGATCTCGGACTTACCTAAAAATTCATGTACTTTATATTATAATTTTATTTTGATTTTTTTATTAATAAATTATCTTTACAATTTTAAAAAATTAAAGTTATTAATTTTTTTGTAATACTCTTTATTAATATAAAACCTTAATTTTTAGTTTAAGCCTTCATATAAATTACATCAATGCTCAAACTAAACTAGTTTCAAGAAGCACTCATACTTTCATCTTGAAGATTCTCATCTCGATTCTACCGTTTATACTATTTAGATTACTTATTTATTTAATTATATTTGATATTAGAATTTATATGAATTTATAAGTTAAAGTTGTATTTTTAGATTTGATAAACTATATTTATGATTATTTTTGAAATTTATTTTGTTTTTCTAAAAAACCCGAAAAAACCCGAAAATTATTGATAACCCTATTAATACCGGAACAAGCCGAGCTTAAATATATACAAGCTTCGGGCCGGGCCGGCCGGTCCGTTTGACATCCTTATGAATATTTGAATAAGAGGAAAGTCGGAATGTTCCGAGAATCGATTGACAATTTCCCATAGTCAAGATCAAGAAATCGGAACCATCCGAGAAACTCAACAAGTGTGATGATAATAACACCGAAACTTCCTTTCCCGCTTCCACGTGTCATTATGTCATTTGTCCTCTGACATAACACTTATCAACTAACTTTACATGTCATTCACTTCCCCTATTTACCCCTGTATTCTGCTACCCAACTTCTTATTTACCTCTTTGTAAGGGTAAAACCGTACTTCAATAGTTTCTCCAAACGCGTAACGTACTCGGTTAGGCGCGTGTATATAGAAATTGACAACCACGCGCCGATTTCACCATCTCTATAATCTTTAGACCCAAGAAAGAAAAGAAAAATCAAAAGTTCACACATCTTCTTCTTCACTTTACCAAATCGTATCCCGATCTTAGGGTTTTTCAGTATCTGAGAATTTTTATTGTTTTTCTTCTTGATACCTTCGAATCCCATCTCCGATTATATAAAAAAAAATCTGGGCTTTTCATATTCGTATCTTGGAATCTTCGATATTGGGTTCTTCTCCTCCCGATTCGTCAAAAGCTCGCATCTATGAATCAGAATATTGAAGTATTATCGCTGGATTCACTTCCAGTGGGATTAAGATTCCGTCCAACGGACGAGGAGCTAGTCCGTTTCTATCTCCGGAGGAAAATCAACGGCCACGATGACGACGTCAAAGCCATCCGAGAGATCGATATCTGCAAATGGGAACCTTGGGATTTACCTGGTACCTAACTCCTTCTTATTCTTCTTCACTTGATTCAAAATTAACAGTCTTTTTCTACAGACACTCTGTGATTTTTCCTGGCATCTATGTAGAATTGATTCAAAGCTATGATTTTCGCAGTTTTGCAGTAGATTTTGATGGGAAATCAGAAATGTTGTAACTTCACAGATCCAGTAGCATTAATTTTGGATAAATTTAGAAACTTTCTTTAGACTTTAATCTCATTTAGGAACATGTTATAGAGATTGACTCTGTAAATGTTTAGTTTTAGTGACCGAAATCTGATCAAGAGCTTGTGTTGTGTGCCCTTTGTTGTAGATTTCTCTGTGATCAAAACAAAAGACTCAGAGTGGCTCTTCTTCTGTCCGTTGGACCGGAAGTACCCGAACGGAAGTAGACAGAACCGAGCAACAATCAAAGGCTACTGGAAGGCGACAGGGAAAGACAGAAAGATAAAATCCGGCAGGAACAACATCATCGGAGTGAAGAGAACTCTGGTTTTCCACTCTGGTCGTGCTCCCAAGGGATTAAGAACCAATTGGGTTATGCACGAGTATCGAGCCACAGAGGAGGACCTGAGTGGCATCAATCCAGGCCAGGTAATATTGCAAACACGTGTAGAAGGAAACCAAATTGGCAATGTAATGTATGTTAACTTATGATGTGTGCTTGGTTTTGATAATATGCAGAGTCCGTTTGTCATATGCAAATTGTTCAAGAAGCAAGAACTGAGCTTACCGGAGGAAGATTCCAAGTTGGATGAAGCTGTTTCGTCTCCAACTGTTGGTACATCTTCAGCGGATGATACCAAGTCTGAGGTATCAATGGTCGTTAAAACAGAAGACGTGAAGCGTTATGACATTGCGGAATCTTCTCTTGTAGTCTCCGGCGAGCCTCATGGGGCTACTACGACGGCCGAGGTGAGGACACACCGCAGAGTCTTCTTGGATGACTGTCTTAGTGTCGGTTTTGCAAACTCTAACGGACTTTTGTTTTGGTATTCAGCTTGGAGATCTCGACTGGCTCTCTTTTCCGGAGCTGGAGCCTCTGGATTACAAGATTTTCTCTCCATTACACTCTCAAGTCCAATCCGAGCTCGGATGCTCTCTCAACGCGTTTCAGTCTGGTTCGAGTGACTTTTCAGGGAACTACAACAACAGCTTCTGCCAGATTCAGACTCAGTACGGTACAAATGAAGTAGATACATATATATCCGACTTTCTCGACTCGGTTCTTGATTCCACAGAGGAAGCTCCAGAGAAGCAAAATTTTGTTTTGCAATCTGGGTTCGACGGTGCAGCGCCGGATCAGGTTCGTGGATTGTTCCCTCAAAACTCGTAAACATCTTTTTGTGTAGAGTCATTAAGAAAAACAGAACCATGATTTAACTTTTATTGATACACTTTGATTGCAGATTGCGCCATCGTATCAACAGAGATCTGCAGGTGACATGAGCAATGATGTTTCAAGAACAGGTATCAAGTTACAGTCTCGGCGGGAACAACAACCCTCAGGCTATACCACTGGCTCCATTATGCATGGAGACGCCTCGAAAAGGCTGCGTCTGCAAACTATCAAGAGAGAGGTGAGATTTTCCTTGTTTCTTTTGTTCTGTGGGATTGTGCTTTTGCATTAGCGAAATTGAAATGGAACCGTGTGATTAGCATTACTTAACAAATGAATGTTACAACACAGGTTGATGATGATGATACGGTCCGAGGAACCATGAAGAAGGGAAAGCTAATGAGATCAAAGAACAAAACCGGATTCTTGTTTAGAAAGGTTATGTCCGTGAAATGCTCATACGGAGGACTTCTTAGGGCGGCCGTAGTTGCGGTCTTGTTCTTGATGTCAGTCTGCAGTCTAACCGCAGATTTCCGAGGTTCCGTTATGATCTGAAAACTGAAACCTTATTGTGTATATATAGTGACTGAACCGGGTTTTTTTTTGTTGTTGTTGGGGTGTTGGTTCGACTTTGACCGTATCCGGGGCCAGTTTATGAGGCTATCTGTGTTATATAGATGTATAACTTTTATGGCGAGAGGTGAAACTCTACTTACTTCTTTCGACTTTAGTAGGGTTGTTCTGATATGATCAAGGTTTATTGTTTTAACAAGCATTTTTCACTACGACAATGAAATAACAAAGAGAAGAACAAAAACTTGATTGATAAGAAAAAAAGAAGAAGTCACAACAGTCGATCAAGTAAAAACTTCCCTTTCCATAAACAAAGGGCCCATCTTTAAAAGCCCATTAAGAAGCGTCTGATCACACAAGTTTAGCACAACACTCTCTCTACTCAAAGGGAGAAGACGATGGTTTGATGGTTTTAAGCTATGGCGATTTCCGTGGAGTATTATACTAAACCCGTACTCGCCTTGTCTCTTTCCTTCTCCGCGTTGCTTCCATGTCGCCGTCTCTTGCGATCTCACTGCCACTTTTAGATTGAAGATCTCTCACTGTGTAAGTCTCCAGTGTCTCGTCGCAGACTTTGGTATCTCTTTTTCCCCGTTTGATTCATAATTCTATTCGGTCATTATAGGATTTTGGTTGATAACTTTAAACATTTCCAGTTAAATCATGGTATTTGTAGTTGGAACCATCAATGTTGTCGCTTGATTTGATGTTTCTTCTCTTTGAACTTATAACGGAGCAGCGAATTAGGGGTTTTCTTTAAACGCCATGATTGCGTCGCTTTTTCTCGAATATAACTTATACATTTCTGTATATAGCTATATATATGCAAAACTGAATGGTCACTGAGGGTCAACGAGATTCTTATGGAATGTTAGATTTCAGTATTTTTCCGTAATTGTATTTATGGCTTTACTTTCGGATTTTTTGTCCCCACTATAATCTAATTATATCCATTAGGAAAGATATACAAGCCGAATTACTACTTCCATTGTAGGCTGCAAATGTAGGTTCGCTTTCTTCAGTAACTCAAATGCTGTTATGTAAAGTTCTTACCTTCTCTTTCGTTTAATTTTTGTTTTTTCGTTGCTTTTACTTGTAGAAGATAACCTGACTAGTTTTCCACTCAGAACTTTTTTGTGGTCTGATTGTTGGTAGATGATGTCAACTTTACAGGTTACGTGTTTGTTCCTTCTTGTTTGGTCAGTGCCTCAGAGCATTACTTCTTCCTCATTTAGCATAATGAAGGTGCATAAGGAGTCATACTTTTGCAATTGCAAGCTCATTTAGAGGTTTTTTCGTTTATTCTTCAGTTTTCTGTGATGATCTTGCTTGTTTGGTTGTCGATGCATAGTTGCAATGTCTTTTGCATGACATCTGCTTATGTTCTGGTATTGTTTTGATGGTTTTTTTTTTTTTTTTGAATCATTTTTTCCATATATTCGTAACTTGCAGATACAGTTGTGCCTTTTGGTTGTCTGATTACTGAAACTCAAAAAGGACTTCTTAGATCTGGTTTTAGATATTGCCATTTTGGTGTGACATTACTGTTTTTTTTTGTTTTTTCAGGAGAATGGGGTCAGAGGGAAAGATGAAGAACTCGGTCGTGACACAAGTAAGCATTGGTGGATTTGGGGAGTCCACTACTGCAAAAGAACTTACAGATTACCTTGAAGATGCAGTAGGGCTCATTTGGCGATGCAGATTGAAGACTTCTTGGACTCCTCCTGGGTCTTATCCTAATTTTGAGATCGCGGACACTTCAAATATCCCCAGGTTTGATGATTACAAGAGAGTGGAGCCTCATGCCTTTGTCCATTTCGCAGTTCCTGAATCAGAAGCTCTTGCCATGGATGCTGCGGGGCAATCCAAGCTCATCCTCGATGGCCAGCCGTTAAAGGTCAGCTTGGGGCCTAAGAACCCTTATACCCTGAACCAAAGACGAAGGACGGCCACACCGTATAAGTTGAGTGGTGTTTCAGTTGAGATTGGGACCTTGGTTTCTCGGGGTGAGTTTTTTGTTTCTTGGAGAGCTGAAGGAGTCGATTTTCTCGTGGACCCTTTTGACAACACCTGCAGATTTTGCTTCACGAAGAGCACTGCCTTCTCTTTGAAGGATACGATGATGCATGCTGTGATAAACTGTGATTACAAGTTGGAGTTTTTGGTGAGAGACATACGCTCAGTCAGGCACTATAGAGCTTTGGATGGCTTTGTGCTGCTTTTGCAGCTGGCTTCGTCACCCCGAGTCTGGTACAGAACGGCGGATGACGATATATATGAAACCGTCCCTGTTGATCTCTTGGATGATGATGATCCTTGGATCCGTACTACGGATTTTACTCAAGCCGGGGCAATTGGTCGATGCCTGTCATACCGAATCCTCATATCTTCTCGGTATGAGAAGAAGTTGAAAACAGCCTTAGATTATCTAAGGACGCGGAGGGTGCAAGAGGAACGTGTGAGGTTGCCTCTCAGGATTCATGATGAGCGTTTTGGGGAGCCTGCTTCAGAGCACTTCTTCTGCATTCATCTCAAGGAAGGGATCTCCTTTGAGATCATGTTCCTCGTAAATTCGGTGCTGCACAGGGGTGTTTTCAACCAGTTTCAGTTGACCGAGCGTTTCTTTGATCTTCTCAGAAACCAACCCAAGGATGTCAATGTAGCTTCTCTCAAGCATCTCTGTACCTATAAACGACCTGTTTTTGATGCGTACAAGAGGTTGAAGCTTGTTCAAGAATGGATTCAGAGAAATCCAAAGCTTTTAGGGACTCATGAACAGTCAGAGGATATCTCTGAGATCAGAAGGCTAGTGATTACTCCAACCAGAGCTTATTGCCTTCCCCCAGAGGTTGAGCTCTCCAACAGGGTACTCAGAAGATACAGAGCCGTGTCTGAGAGGTTTCTGCGAGTAACTTTCATGGACGAAAGCATGCAGACCATGAATTCAAATGTTCTCTCTTACTTTGTTGCTCCGATTGTGAAGGATCTGACATCAAGCTCTTTCTCTCAGAAGACCCACGTTTTCAAAAGAGTAAAGACCATATTAACCGATGGGTTTAAACTATGTGGTAGAAAGTACAGTTTTCTAGCATTCTCAGCCAATCAACTGAGAGACCGCTCTGCATGGTTTTTTGCCGAAGACGGGAAAACAAGAGTGTCAGATATAAAGACATGGATGGGGAAGTTCAAAGACAAGAATGTGGCAAAATGTGCTGCTAGGATGGGCCTGTGCTTCTCCTCAACATACGCCACTGTAGATGTCATGCCTCACGAGGTTAACACCGAGCTTCCTGATATTGAGAGGAATAATTATACTTTCTCTGATGGGATTGGTACAATCACGCCTGACCTCGCTGTCGAAGTAATGGAGAAACTTAAGTTCGATGTTCACTGCACACCGTGTGCTTATCAGATCCGTTACGCAGGTTTCAAAGGAGTTGTTGCTCGTTGGCCATCAAAAGGTGATGGAATCCGGTTAGCTCTTCGAAACAGTATGCGCAAGTTCCATTCTAAGCATACCATCTTGGAGATCTGTTCCTGGACCAGGTTTCAACCTGGCTTCTTAAACCGGCAGATAATTACCCTCCTCTCTGTACTAGGCGTTCCGGATGAAATATTCTGGGTTATGCAGGAATCCATGCTCGGTAAACTGAACCGCATCCTTGATGATACGGATGTGGCTTTTGAAGTTCTCACAGCATCATGTGCCGAACAAGGAAATACTGCAGCTATCATGCTAAGTGCAGGGTTCAAACCGAAAACTGAGCCACATCTGAGAGGAATGTTGTCTTCAGTCAGAATTGCACAACTGTGGGGTCTCAGGGAAAAGTCTCGTATTTTTGTTACTTCAGGAAGGTGGCTAATGGGCTGCCTAGACGAAGCAGGGGTACTTGAGCAGGGCCAGTGCTTTATCCAAGTCTCAAAACCGTCTATAGAAAATTGTTTCTCCAAACATGGGTCTCGTTTTAGGGAGACAAAGACAGATCTGCAAGTAGTCAAAGGCTATGTAGCCATTGCTAAGAATCCTTGTCTTCACCCAGGGGATGTAAGGATTCTGGAAGCTGTTGATGTACCTGAGTTGCATCACATGTATGACTGCCTTATCTTCCCTCAGAAAGGCGATAGGCCCCATACAAACGAAGCTTCTGGCAGTGACCTTGACGGGGATCTCTACTTTGTGGCTTGGGATCAGAAACTCATCCCTCCCAGCAGAAGAAGCTGGCCTGCAATGCAGTATGATGCAGCAGAAGATAAGAATTTGAGCCGTTCCGTCAACCACCAGGTCAATATCTACTCCCCCACTATTCTTTTCGGTTAACTTAGATGCCCAGGGTTACGATAAGGTGGATAGTTTAAATCCAGTATAATTCTCTGATATTTCTGAAAGCGCAGATACTGTTTTTCGGGATGCTTGTAGTGATTATTTGTGCTTGCTTCCGAGTTGATAGATTGCATGACATAGGTTATTAGCATCATACATGTTCATCCTGCAGGAGCTAAGATAATGACAGATAAGAATATTTAGTCACATATTATTGGTTCTGATTTGACTCTTCAGCATGCCTCACTGTGACTTTTTAGTTATATTCATTTCAGTTGTGTGATAGTATCATGAAACCTAGTTATGATTTCTTTGTTTAGTCTCTTTTCAATGCGCTTTGCAAAACAAGTATTGGATAATTGGTTGTTTTTTTTTGTCACAGGACATAATAGAATTCTTTGTTAAAAACATGGCGAATGAGCATTTGGGTACAATCTGCAATGCACACGTTGTTCATGCTGACAGAAGTGAGTATGGAGCCATGGACGAAGAATGTTTGCTACTAGCGGAACTAGCTGCCACAGCAGTTGATTTCCCAAAGACAGGGAAAATCGTGACGATGCCCTTCCACCTGAAACCAAAACTCTACCCAGACTTCATGGGGAAAGAAGAATACCAGACTTACAAGTCGAAAAAAATCTTGGGTCGGCTTTACAGACGGGTTAAAGAAGTTTACGATGAAGATGCAGAAGCTTCCTCAGAAGAAGGCTCAAACCCAAGTGACATCCCTTATGACACTGATCTTGAGATACCAGGGTTTGCAGATTTCATCCCTGAGGCATGGGGTCACAAATGTTCTTACGACGGGCAGCTCATTGGTCTTCTCGGGCAATACAAGGTGCAGAAAGAGGAAGAGATTGTGACGGGTCACATCTGGTCCATGCCTAAGTACACTAGTAAGAAACAAGGTGAGCTGAAAGAAAGACTGAAGCATTCTTATAACTCCCTGAAGAAAGAGTTCAGAAAAGTATTCGAGTTAACAAACCCGGACCAGGAAAATCTCAACGAAGAGGAGAAGAACTTGCTGTATGAGAAGAAGGCTTCGGCTTGGTATCATGTCACTTACCATCCCAAGTGGGTGAAAGAGTCTATGGAGCTGCAAGAGCCAGATGCTGAGTCGCCTAGTCCTGCGGTGATGCTGAGCTTTGCTTGGATTGCTGCTGATTATCTTGCAAGAATCAAAGTCCGGTCAGGGGAAATGGGAAAGAGTATCGACTCGGCCAAGCCTGTTGATGCTTTGGCTAAGTATCTTTCACAACGTCTCTAAAAGGTAACGTTCGACGAAGCCGTAAGGCCACTCTGCCATGTATCTGTGGAAATTCATGGATACTTCAATGTTGTATTATGTATCTCTAGTTTGAATGTGCTTTGTGTTGTTGTTCTGAAAACTGTGTGTGATGGGGAAACAAACGGCTTGCCGTTTACGATTTGAACAACTCAACTGCTTGGCGTTGTTTGTATATTTTATTTACTACTGTTTATATGTGGGAAAACGGCTAATTCCACCATGAAGTAAGAAATTTCTGACAATCCACATATGACCTATGGAACAATGCCAAAACCTATATAAACTTTGTAAAAATTTGAATTTCCACAATAAACTATAAAATTGTGGTCGAAACAACCAATAGTGTCAACGTCGTGACTGCAATCGTTAGCTGCTGATGACTGGATACCACGTAATCTGTCAATACGACGTCGTCATAAAAACTAACTGCAACAGATCCAAAACGACGTCGTTTCTCTCTGGCTTCAATTTAAGCTTTTTCTTTTTCACGGATAAGAGAGTCGGGTTCTGGTTCACAGGAAACTAAAAAATTGTAGAATTAGAGAGTTAAGCTTATTCAAATTCGATGGACGTCTATTGATTAACAAAGGCGTTGGTTTGGGGGTTCAAGAAAAATCCAAAAGCATTGGATCCCGATATTTCTAATTATTTTCCCGTCGAGAATTCATCAATGAGGTAATTGAAGTTTGATTTTCAGAAATTCTTAGTTTTTAGTAGATTTTAGATGGCGAAGTATGTTAGTTTTGCCTAGGGATCATCAATTTAAGTTAGTGTTGGCATTTTTGTTTGATTTACATGATGAGAGAATGAGATTGAAACATGTCTACCAAGTGTTTGATTAAATGTGTCAAAGAAGTTAACTTGGTTTTATTTTAATTTCTGCAGTGATCCCCAAGTAGAGACACAGATTACTTTCGGTTGTTTCTATGGAGGCAAGTTTGATAGTGTTGATGGCCGAGAACTTTACACCGATGGTGGTTATCGGATTCTTCAAGCTCGCCCTTCTTCACTTTTTACAGAGTTAATGAATCATCTGCCAGTGAGTTTGTATGGTCAGAGAGTATGGTATAAGCTCCCTTTTGAAGAACAGGAAGACCGAAAATTATTGTGTAATGGTGATGAAAACTTTAAGAAGATGTGTGAAGCTGCAATGTGGACCAAAGCAATTGATATATTTGTCGAGCCTGATATCGAGAACGAAGAGACTGATCGTACTGAGCAATATACGCAAGTTGCAAGTGATGAGCATCAGTTTCATGAAGAAGCAAGGGTTGAAAGGAATGTAGCAGAATTTGTTGATGAAGAGATTGATGAATATCTGACACCCGTATGCTCAGATGATGAAGAAGCTGATAATGTGGCAGGGGGTTATTTCAGATATAAGAAAGGCAGTGGTGAGCTGAAATTGAGACAATCCTTTGACAGTTTAGAAGATTTTAAGCAAGCTATGGTCGATTATGTATTAAAGAAAGGATGGAATGTGAAATATGTCCGTTGGGAGAAAGACAAGTCTGAACTTAAATGTGCAAGTGAAGCTGAAGAAGGAGAAGAAAACTGTATGTGGAAGATTTACTGTTCTTATGAAGAACCATTGCAAAAATGGTTGGTTAAAGTATACAATAAGAAGCATACTTGCATGAAGACTTGGCGTTCTAAGATACTTTCTCAAGAGGTCATCGCCAAGCTGTTTGTGGATGATCTAAGAGATGATCCGACCATCATGCCAAAAGCTATTCAATATGAGATTCAGAAGCGTTGGAGTTTAATTGCAACGGTAGACCAGTGCAGAAAGGCAAAGAAAAGGGCCCTAGACATGATCCAAGAGGAAAATGACTTACAATTCTCAAGACTTAGAGACTACCGTCTAGAGCTCATAGAGTAAGTTTCTTATTTTACATGTTTCATCTTTTGGTTTTTACATGTTTTATCTTCACTTATCAAAGTTGTTTGTGTTTGTTTTTTCTAGAACAAATGAGAGATCTACTGTCGAACTTGAGACATTTCAGGGAGAGGATGGAGCAGATGTCTTTCACAGATTTTATGTATGTTTCGCTGCACTGAAACAAACATGGTCTTCTCATTGCCGACCCATCTTTGGTCTTGATGGTTGCTTCCTTAAGAGCGCAATAAAAGGGCAGTTGCTAGCAGCTGTTGGAAGAGATGCAAATAACCAAATGTTCCCTATTGCCTGGGCTGCTGTTGATGTTGAGAATGAACCTAATTGGAGATGGTTCATTGAGAAGTTGCAAACAGATTTAGATCTTAAAGATGGTGATGGCTTTACAGTTATATCAGATAGACAAAAGGTATTCATGAGTTTAGCTTACTTTATATTTCATGATTATCATAGAGTTATTGAATGTTGTCGCGGGTTTCTGAAACTTTATTTGGGAATGTTTGCAGGGATTGTTGAATGCTGTCGCAGATTTCTTACCGAAGGTTGAACATAGAATGTGTGCAAGACACATTTATGCAAACTTAAAGAAGAAACACCCAAACAGAGTTGACATGAAAGGGCTATTCTGGAAGGTTGCAAAGAGCTACAATGGACCACAATACAGGAAAAGGGTGGATGAAGTAAAGGCGTATGATATGAATGTCTACAATTCGATGATGGAGAAGAATCCCAAAAATTGCAGTCTTGCTTTTTTCACAGCCGCATCTTCGTGTGATGATGTAAGCAACAACATCTCTGAGTCATTTAACAGTGCCATTGACCCTGCAAGAAACATGCCTCTCGTTGAAATGTTGGAGACAATACGGAGACGAGCAATGTTGCGCATTGAAGCAAGAAGGCTTAAGGCAATGAGGCATATAGGCAAATTTAGTATAAAAGCAATAGAACGAGTCGATTTGGAGCAGAAAAAGATCCTGCACTGTAAGGTATTTCCTGCTGGTCATGAGGTTTATGAGGTTACAGAGAAAAATTCTTCATTCGAGGTCCGCATGCTTGATCGCACTTGCGACTGTCGAAGATGGGATATGTCAGGATTGCCTTGTCGTCATGCTTTGAAGGTGATTTCAGAGAAGAAGCGCAAGCAAGATGATTATATAGCTGATTGTTATTTGACTTCTAAGTGGAGAAGTCAATATAGTACAACAATTAGTGCTGTACGTGGTGTAAACTTCTGGGGAAAGACTGATGAAGTTGGGATTGTGCCACCAGTTACAGAAACAGAACCAACAAGAGGAAGAAAAAAAATTCCTAAAAGGATCAAGAGGAAGAATGAGTCTCCAAGTAAGAAGAAGGCAAAGCAGAGAGATCCGTCTCCAACAAAGATTTCAAGAGAAAAAAGAATCGTTCATTGTGGAAGATGTGGAGAAAGTGGACATAACACAAGAAGATATCAGAATGTTGTAATTGCTCTTCACCGACCACCAAAAAAGAAGAAGGTGCTTGAAGCTCAATCTGATATTGGTGAGGAATCAAGTCAGCCAATGCAAAGCCAAGTGATTGACTAATAGCAGGTTTGTGTTTCACTTTCAGGTTTTTTATTTGGTTTTGTTTCAGGTTTTGATTTGTTTCTATTTGTGGTTCATTTTTGCAGGATAATGTTTGGTCAAGAGAGGCTTTTGAGGCTTTTGATGGTTCGGTTATTTTAGTAGGCTACAATGGCGGTGTATTATGTTTTGGATTCATGTAAACACTTCTTTTTATAATCGTTTGGGTGTTCTTGAATTGTATTTTGGTATTTTGGTTGCCATTGCGGTTTACTTTGTTTTGGATTCATGGATTAATGGTTGGCGTTATGGTTTATTTTGTTTTAGATTCATGGATTAATGGTTAGCGTTAAGGTTGTTGGCGTTATGGATTCATAGATTAAAACCTGCAGTCTTTGTTATGAAAACCTGCAATTTTTAAAAACCTGCAGTTTTTAAGATTCTTATATCAACTCTTTCTTGATTGAATCAGCAAATATGAAAAAGAGATGCATTCACTATTTAAACCAATGTCACAAAGAGGGAAACATTACAAAGTACAAATATTACAAAGATGCATTTCATGATTTAAACCATTAAGACACAAGAACCATTGCATAGCTCTTGCTCAAACTTCAAACAACAAACTACAACCAACAAACTACAAAATCACCATCTTCTTCAACCTACTAGCTTCATGCATCCAACAAGGATCATACATCCAATGACCGCAAGAACCATTGTTTTTTTCATGCTACATTTCGCATCAACCAATAAATCTTCAACCCTCTCCAATATCTCATTCTCTAACTTCACTTGAATCTTCTCAAAAACCTTATTTTCAAACTCCATACGGTCTGTTGTAATCTCTTTCAACTCTTGCTCAAGTCTTGCATTTTTGAATTGCAATGTCTCAATCTCGTTTAAGAGTGCCTCATCAACCCATTTGAATATATGATTATCATTCATAAGCTGAAAATCGAAAAAAAACACATCAATAACGATCACAAGAAACGAAATCACAGCAACGAATTATAAGCAATTCATATTACCTTCTTTGATGCAGCATAACCACAACGGTAGTATCGACGGTAAGGATTTTTGTCGGATTTGGATATCAAAGCAACAATCTCCTCACCACACCAACATCTTTTGGGCACACCCACAACTCTTCCGCTTCTTGGCCGACCAGTTGATGATTCAGACGAAGCCCCTGATACATTACTCGTGGCTCCAGACATCATTCAATTATTTCTAGGGTTCTAAGATATCCGATTGCAAAAGTTTTCCCCAAACCAGAAAATCAGAAACGATGAAGACCCGATAGTTTTTTGTTAATTTCCAACAAAATAAAACGACGCCGTTTTGTGTTTATCACGTGGTGTCCAGTCATCAGCAGCTAACGGTTGAAGTCACGGCGTCAACAGTGTTGGTTGTTTCGACCACAATTTTGTAGTTTATGGTGGAAATTCAAAACTTTACAAAATTTATGTAGGTTTTCGCATTGTTTTATAGGTCATATGTGAATTGTCAGGGATTCGAGTTAACAAACCCGGACCAGGAAAATCTCAACGAAGAGGAGAAGAACTTGCTGTATGAGAAGAAGGCTTCGGCTTGGTATCATGTCACTTACCATCCCAAGTGGGTGAAAGAGTCTATGGAGCTGCAAGAGCCAGATGCTGAGTCGCCTAGTCCTGCGGTGATGCTGAGCTTTGCTTGGATTGCTGCTGATTATCTTGCAAGAATCAAAGTCCGGTCAGGGGAAATGGGAAAGAGTATCGACTCGGCCAAGCCTGTTGATGCTTTGGCTAAGTATCTTTCACAACGTCTCTAAAAGGTAACGTTCGACGAAGCCGTAAGGCCGCTCTGCCATGTATCTGTGGAAATTCACAGATATTTCAATGTTGTATTATGTATCTCTAGTTTGAATGTGCTTTGTGTTGTTGTTCTGAAAACTGTGTGTGATGGGGAAACAAACTGCTTGCCGTTTACGATTTGAACAACTCAACTGCTTGGCGTTGTTTGTAGTTACGTATATTTTATTTACTACTGTTTATATGTTGTGGAAAGAAATTGGCTTGGCGTTTTGTTTACGTGGGAGACCAAAGAAGTGAAAAGATGTAAATGCTCAAAACAAGAGAAAACATACGTTAAAAAGTTTCTCTTTTCATCTTCATGATTATTAAAGTATACACTAAAAGATGGTTTGATTAAGAACAATTATCAAATAATAATTAAAATTTATTTAAATGGTTAACTTATAGTTTCAATTAATTGTGATTATATAGTTAATGAATTTTATGATTTTTTTGTCAACTAATGAAATTTATTCTTCTCATTAAATTGTGTAGATAATTATAGAGTGGACATTATCGACAACTACAAAAAAAAAAAAAAATACTATTGTAGAGTGAATAGTGGTTTTCTCTATAAGGCCTGGATCATTGAATAGGCCCATTAGGTAGCTTGTTCCGATTAACTTCGACATTCTCAACGCTTAAGCTGCAGCAACACTCTTTTCTTCACCAGTCTCTTCCACTTTTTGGGGAGAAAAAGATGGCAGATGGATTTGGCTACGGCGGTTTCTCTGGAGTACCTTACCCGTTTTGGCTTTCCTCTCCGTCCTCGCATCCTCCAGCTACTGCGCCGCCGTTTCTGGCAAGCCATCCCGTTGAATCCTATGATCCAACCCAAAGGGGCTTTGATCCGATGACTTCTCATGGCTCTTATCACCGATCGCCGGCTGATTGGTCGAATAACCCAGCTTACGGTGATAATTCTCGCTCTCAGACGCCTTCTTCATCGTTTTACGCTGACAACAGTCGACCCGGTATGTACTTCAATCCCCCCCTCTAAAGCAAATTTGGGGTTTAACTGTTTAATGGTACTGTGATGGTTTCGAACTGTGGATTCGAGGAGATATCATAATTGTGCCTACTTTTGAAAAGTTATACTGAGTTAGATCGGCTTTAGAATTTTCATTCGTTCATGTTTAATTTTGCTTCAATACATGTTAGCTTGATATGATACTGATATTTGTATTGCTGAAAGGCGCATGAGTTTACTGTGTATTGGATCATTGTTTCTGATTTGTTTTTTTCGTGAAATATTAGCAGTATTTTTAGTTCTTTGTTCGGAGTTTTAACGCAGAGCGGATTTGTGTTTGCAGGAAATTTCGGTCCTAGGGGTGAAGATTCTTATAAAGACATGTACTCACCGAGTGGATTTTACTCAAGGGAATCATCATCTGATTTTGTGCCACTCCCCACTGAGAATTTCTCAGAGAGGCAACGCTTAAACTTGGTGCCTACCTATAACTCAGCTACCTCAGCTACAGTGTCTTCTTTAGCAGATATGCTAATCAGAAATTCTCAGGAACCATTCTATAAGCCTATCATGCCTTCTGATGTTTATGCTTCTAGCAATGCTTTTGATGAGAAACGTCCCGGACATTACCATCCTGGGTATGATAAACCTGTTAGTATGAATGCTGTCTCTGGTACTCCCGTGGAGCCTTACGTACGTGTTACAGATAGTATTCCACTTTTTCCAATGTCAAGCTTGAAAACGGAAGCTCACTTTGATGGAAGTCAGACTGGGATTCATTTAGGGGATGGGGGATCGTTCAACAGAGATGTTTATAATAACGCGCCCGATAATACTGGAGGAGTACAATCCAGCTTGCATGGTTCTTCTATCGACCCAGTTAACTTTGATGTGTTGCTTGGATATGGTGAAGCCACTGGTCATGCCAAGCCTTTGTCTGAGAATCCAGATCTTCACAATCAGATTGTTGGCTCGCCAGGTTCGAAAAGTCCCCGATCTTACAACCCGCTACGGTTTGATTTCAAGTCCCCGGGTCCACTGTTTAAGAAAAAACGAGAAGGTAGTGAATTCTCCCTTTATCAGAAGCCAAGCACTTTGGTTGCTGACAGTGAGAATGCTGATTCGGAGAGGTCCTTGAAGAACGCAATTGAAGATTTAAACTGTGATGAGCATATATCTTGGAGCCACTTCATGATGGTACCGTCTGAGGGACTTTCAGCTCCAATCATGGGAAGTGAGTCATGTGGTGAACTGAAAGCGGATAATGGAGATGCTCAATCAGCTGTCAACTATAATACCTCTTTTGAAGGTAGTGATAATCAACCTAGTGAAGATGTCCAGGCCAAGGAAAAGCCATGTAAGCTCCAGGAACAAATGTTTGAAATAATGAATAGAGAGAAGAAGACCGCGTTGTTGACAGATATGGGTCTCAAAGGGATTTGCAGATCGAATGCAGATGAGGTCTCAACTGGCCAATCACCTGAAAGGCATTTATGCGATCAAGGAGATATCACATCCCGGACTTCTTCTCCAAGAGTTTCTTCCGTGGTTAATGCCATGCATAATCTGTCAGAAGTGCTTCTTTATGAATGCTTCAGCAATGGAAGCTCGCTGAAGCTGGAAGAACGTGAGAACCTTGATAAGGTAGTAGACAATCTCACCAAGTGCTTAAAGAAACTCACCGGCAATAAGACATTAGCAGTGGATGCATCACTTCCAACTCAAGCTTTGCATGTTTCCTGTCCAAACGTGGTTGACCTTAATGAGGTATGTGATGCTACTCGACCCTGGTAGAACTTTGATTTTTTTTTTTTTTTTTTGCTTGTTCTACAATCTGATCATTTAGATTGTTCACATGAGTGTAGGCTTGATTTGTACTATGTTCCAAACCTATTTGGTTTTTGATAGAATGAAACACATTGCTTCTTCTTGTTTGCTGGTAGTTGCTTAACGGTACCCTTTTCAGGCCTCAAATGTAGTTGCTAAAGACGTTGAAGGGTTTAATGTCAAGCTACCGGACAGCTTTGGCTTTAAAGAACCGGTGGATAAGAATGAGATGACCCAGGTATTTACTTACATATTAATATATTGTTTTTGCCATGTATCTGTAGACTGAATCTTAACTTTGCAGAGTATTAAGAACATACTTGCTTCCAACTTTCCTGATGGTGAAGAAAACCACCCACAAACTCTCTTGTACAAGAATCTCTGGCTCGATACTGAAGCTGCCTTATGTTCCACATCTTGCATGGCTCGGTATCATCGTATCAAGAACGAGATTGGTAGTGTCAAATCTCAGAATATAGGTTGGTAACTTTCACACTATACGTCTCATTTGTCTAATAGTGTTAGTGACTAGAACTATATTGCAAGTGAATTTTCTCCAAAGATGCCACTGCTATGATGACTAACAACACCATCTTTGCAAATAACTTTCAAAAACATTTGTTTAACCTGTATTGTAACAGTACATCTTTTTATTTCTCTTCTCAGAGATCTCTGCAGATGCATCAATATATATGCAGGAACCGTTTCTTAACCCCGAGAAATCAGTTCCCATCATAAACAATGTAGAGCAGGAGACAGCTGAATCGCTCATCAAACATGGAAGGAATTGCGGGAACAATGTAGTAACAACGAGTCATGATGCACCCCAAAGCTCTAGATTCAACTCAGATCCCGTGGATGCAGTATTATCGCTTATGTCCAGAAGCTTCATGGGTGCTTTAGAACCAAACATTGATGGAAACTTCAAGCCTGATGCAACCTCTGGAAAGATACCGGACGCGATACAGAAGGAATCATCCACTGCATCCACCACTGAGGACAAACATAATGATGTTATCGACCGGTTTCAGATTCTGAAGCATCAGGAAACAAAGCGCAAACTCAAGTCTCAGAACTGCCCGGATACAGACATTGGTCAGTTTCAGATTCTGAAGCAGACAAAAATGGGTGTCCAGGAAGACAATCCAGAAGCTTCGAAGATGGCTAATATTGGCAAAAGCGGCCATGTGAGTGATGTTATGGATAGATTCCAGATACTGAAAAGCAGGGAAGCTGCTGAGCAAGTGTTGAAGTCTCTCAACCGCTTGGACATAGATTCAGATTCAGATGCAGACAGCGACCAGCCAAGAAGGAAAACACAAATGCGTGGTGATCTCGAGTCAGGCTGGAGGATGACAAGACTCTGCGAGTTCAGTCCTCAGATAGGGGAGACATGCGTGGATACTGAAGCTGGCAAAGGCTACGAGAGCCCGACCTCCGATTGGGAACATGTCCGCAAGGATGATTGAGTAATTGAACTTTTCCTTGGGCAAGAAGTTTCAATCCTTTTTATGTTTGCTTGTTAGTATAAATAAAAAAAAGGATTTATGGGACAACATGAACTCCGTATGAAAACGTTTGTGTATAATAAGGGATGAAAACTTGGTGGAGTGGTATTTGCTGATTTTTAAAATGGGGTGTAGTTTTTAAGTTTTAGAAATTGCTCTTTAAGAAGAAAACGCAGATATACAATATATCTTTAGACACATCCCCAAACTAAAGAGTATTGTCACGAAGAAACACATGAATACAGAGACCAGTCTTGTAAACCTACAAAAAGCATTTCCTTAAATAATATATTTTCTGATTTAACATACATTTTTATCATACATTTTTATCAGTTAACCTCTACGTCCTCTGCAAATTAATAATGTCTGGAATTATAAAATTTAATTAATTTATTATCGACAGACCTAATTCTTTAATTTAGGAAAAGTTAATAGGGCACACCTTTAATTTACGAAGGTACTTAGAAGAAAATGGAAATGTCAAATACGGGAGTATCTTGCCATATCCCAACAATATCTCGTAACTTCAATGCTGAGATCTTATCCTCAGGAAAAGATTTATAATTTCCTAATTTGACTAAAATAATGACTTGTTTTCTCATAATATAAAACCATTCGGCGAGACACAGAAGTCATTCTTACGAGTCACATCGACACGAGAAGTGGCAAAAGGTCTAGGGTTAATTTTTTTTCTCTTCTTCTAAATATGGTTGAAGCCGAACGTCCTTGGAAAATTCAAAAGAGAGCCTGTGAAGACAGAATCAGTTCGTTGCCCGACGATTTGCTCATACAGATATTATTGCGTGTTCCGACTGAAGATGCAGTGGCCACGACGTTTTTGTCAAAACGGTGGCGATATGTCTGGACGATGTTGCCTAGACTTGTCTACATAGAATCAGAGCAAAGCAAGAGCGTTTGGTGGTTACTTGACCAGTCCATACGATTTTACCAAGCGCCTATATTAGAACGTTTGTGTATTATACTCGGTCCACTATGTCCTGTTGATGTTGATGTTGTAAATTGGCTTGCAAAAGCAGTTGAGTGCTGCGTACGTAACCTAGTGTTCGCGCTCCATTGGAAAAGCGAGCCGATCAGAATGCCGAACACCCTTTACACATGCAACACGCTTGCGAGTTTGACTCTCTCCAACAAAATTCTTGTGGATGCTCCTTCTCCGGTTTCTCTCCCATCACTTACACAACTTGAGCTTAGACATGTTGCGTACAAAGACGAAGATTCTCAAGTTAGGCTTTTATCAGGTTGCCCCGTTCTCAAGCATCTTGTCGTGCTTCGACACGCTGATGGGGATGTGGATGATAATGTGAGAAAGTTTAGTGTGAAAGTGCCTTCTTTAAAGAAACTACTCTATTCGTTTATTCAACTAAACAATACTGATTACTCTTTGGTTATAGACAACCCGGCTTTAATGTACTTACACATCCGTGATAGTTCGGAAGAATCTTACTCCATATAGTATATGCCCCATCTTGTGGATGCATCCATAACTGCTACGTTTAACCAAGAGGACAATTTCCTCAGCTCTATTTCTTCGATCAAGTATCTTCAGCTATATCTGCTTGATCCTCCATGGTGGTGTAACACCGTTACCTACTCTCGACTTATCGAGTGTTGTATATCTAATTTTGACCCAGAGTGGTGCGAATCACTAGTGGTTTTTCTCTCTAATTGTCCTAAACTAAAAGTTTTTAGGGTCGACTCCATTGATCGGTCCGAGAATCATGTTCCAGTTTTATGGAACCAACCGACTTCTGTTCCCGAGTGCTTGTCGTATTGTCTCGAGTTCTTTAGATGGACAAAATATGCAGGAAGAGAAGATGAAAAACAACTCATATGGTACATTGTACAAAACTCCAAGTGCTTAAAAAGGGCAAAGATTTGGCTGAAATCAACCTGCAATCTTGAAGAGAAACGGAAGATGACTAAGGAGTTAAAATCTCTGCCTAAGGTTTTAACCAGTGCTTCGATACCCGACCCACCCGCCCGATGGAAAAATATTGTTTAGACTTTCACCTCTGCAAAAATGTTATTCAGGCTTTCATATAATGTTCAATAACTTTGTCTATTTGTCAGAATGTTTCTAATTCTAAAGTTGATAAGTTTCTCAAATTTTGTTTTTGTACTTTTCAGGCTTCACATACAGTACTTGTTCTCCACCAATAGTGTCAAGAAAAAGAAAAAACATTAGAAGACAATCGTGTAGAAGCATCAAAATAACGCCGAATGATATTAAACGGATAAGATATTAAATATCAGAAAGGACAATTAATCAAGTTTTCTGACAACTTACAAAAAATATTCGAAAACAATCTCCACGTGAAGAAAGCAAAGAGATTCATTCTCTATCTTAAGTAGTGAATGAGTTCCATTATTGCGCTTACAATATCTCCATCATGTCCCTTGAGTGCCTTAACCGCTTTGCTGCGCGCCTGAGTCATGACCAAGTCAATGTCACGAGCCTCTACACCGGTCTCATCAACTTCCTCTTCATCTTCTTCTGCTTGCGCTTCTACCGTGGCTGTTGATGCCTCTTCTCTCTGAGAAGTCTCAGGCATCCTAAACTGCTGATCTGCATGCTTGCGTTTGAAGCTTAGAGCTCAAGTTCTCAATCTTGGCCCCGAATATAACATATGTCTCTGAATGTGGGCTCTTGAAGACATTGAGTAGTGGAAATTTTCCTTGGACAAGAAGTTTCAATCTATTTATGATTGCTTGTTAGTATAAATAAATAAATAAGACCTGTGGGACAACATGAACGCCATATGAATACGTTTGTGTATGATAAGGGATATGAAATTGCGTGGAGTGGTATTGCTGATTTTCAAAATGTGGTGTAGTTTTAAGTTTTAAAAGTATAGCCACTCGCTCTTTAATGTTTCTAAAATGAAAATAAAACGCAGATTTATACAGGATATCAGCAAAACGTATTGTCACGAAGCACACAAAATTATACAGACCAGACTTTTATAATCTTCCAACAAGATACCACTGAACCTACAAAAAGCATTTCCTTAAAAATTATTTTCTGATTTTACATGATTTTGTCAACAACAGAAGACATCCAAGTTGTTACAAAAAAAAAACACAACCCAAACTTGTGCAACTTTCACATAGCCATGTAATTTTGGAATTGAAACAATAACTTTTACATATATTTTTACTACTTAATTATAACCTTTACAAATAAATAATGTTGAATTTATGAAATTTAATTAGTTTATTATCGATAGACCTAATTCTTTTAATCAAGTAAAATTTAATAGGGTACACCTTTAAATTACCTACTTACAAGAAAATGGAAAAAAATGGTGAGATCTCTCATTCTCCAATCGGGGAAAGACTAATAATTTTTTAACTTGTCCAAAATAATGTAAACCAGTGATTTCTTTTTTTTTTTGGCCAAGAGATTCTCACAAGTTACACCGACACGAGAAGTGACAAAGTTCTAGGGTTAAGTTTTTTTTTCTTCTAAGTATGGATGAAGACGAACGTCCTCGGAATATTCAAACGAGAGTTTCTAAAGACAGAATCAGTTCGTTGCCCGACGATTTGCTCATACAGATATTATCGCGTGTTCCGACCGAAGATGCAGTGGCCACGACGTTTTTGTCAAAACGGTGGCGATATGTCTGGATAATGTTGCCTAGACTTGACTACAAAGATACGGGAAAGAGAAAGAGCATCTGGTGGTTACTTGACCAGTCCATACGATTATACCAAGCGCCTAGATTAGAACGTTTGCGTATTAGACTCGGTCGACATTGCCCCGTTGATGTCGATGTTACAAACTGGGTTGCAAAAGCAATTGATTGCTGCGTACGTAACCTTTTGTTCGCGCTCCACTGGAAAACCGAGCCGATCAGAATGCCTCAAGCCCTTTACACATGCAACACGCTTGCGAGATTGGCTCTCATCTCCGCAAAAATTATTGTGGACGTTCCTTCACCGGTTTCTCTCCCATCACTCACACAGCTTGAGCTTATACGCGTTGTGTACAGAGACGAAGATTCTCATGTTAGGCTTTTATCAGGTTGCCCCGTTCTCAAGCATCTTACCGTGGTTCGATACGCTGATGTGGATGATAATGTGAGAAAGTTTAGTGTGAAAGTGCCTTCCTTACTGACTTTATGGTATGAGTTACGTCGAGTAAACGAGGATGATACTGATAGGTCTTTGGTTATAGACACCCCGGCTTTAATGCACGTAGGCATCTTTGATAGTTTTGGAGGCTCTTGCACAATAGAGTATATGCCACATATTGTGACGGCATCCATAGCTGCTACGTTTTACCCTGAGGACAATTTTCTGAGCTCTCTTTCTTCCATCAAGAATCTTGAGCTATACCCGTTTGATACAATGGTTCCATGGTGTAACGCCGTTAACTACTTTCGACTTATCGAGTGTCGTCTACGTGATTTTGACCCTGACTGGTGCGAATCACTTGTCGTTTTGCTCACTAATTGTCCTGTACTGAAAAAATTTATGGTCGACTGCAATTATGAGATTGATCGGTCTGATGATCATGTTCCAGTTTTATGGGACCAACCGAGTTCTGTTCCCAAATGCTTGTCGTCTTGTCTCGAGTTCTTTAGATACACAGGGTATGCAGGAAGAGAAGATGAAAGAGAACTCATAAGGTACATTTCACAAAACTCCAAGTGTTTGAATAGGGCGGAGATTTGCCTGAATCCAACCTGCAATCGTGAAGAGGAAGAGCAGATGGCTGAGGAGTTTACATCTATGCCTAAGGTTTTTGTTTTGAAACCCGAAACCAGTTCTGTCTAGGATCTTTGCAAATATGTTACTTAAAAAGTCTATTTGTCAGAGAATGATGTTTTTTTAATTCTAAACTTGATAAGTTTCTCAAATTTTGTTTTTCTACTTTTCAAATTCTTGTTCTCTCCGATAGAAGTCAATCATGTAGAAAGCACCAAAATAACTTCGAATTGTTGGATAAGCATTGAAGACTTGCAACCTAAGAAGCCTATAACAAGTTGGTTTAGGATAAGAGAGGTTGATATAATCTTGATAGCTTTAGAAGTCATCTATTTCTATTGAGAATATGATTAGCAGAGTTATGTTAAACCTATAAATACATCATTGTCGAGTTGTGACAAAGGTGTGAAGAACAATTACTTGTGTTTAGTTTTTGAGCTAGATTTCTAAACATAATAAAGAGAAATATTCTTTATAAACTTTGTTCTTAAGAGACTTTAATTGGTATCAGAGCTTAAGGCATCACGATCAAGAAGGAGACTTGATTATGATCACGAAAGTTCTATACACTTAGATTCACGATAAGGTGAAGCGATGGCTGAAGACAATCCTCCTCTTCCGCGACCAAGGGAAGAGAAGACGATCTCGATTCAAAGCCCTATGCTTACACCTACGAACTACACAGTATGGGCGATGCGAATGAAGGTATTGTTGCGAATTCATAAAGTCTGGGAAGCAATCGATCCCGGAACGAATGAGAACAACAAGAACGATGTTGCAGTCGCACTATTGTTTCAATCCATCCCGGAGACGCTTATTATGCAAGTTGGCGAACAAGAGTCTCCTAAAGAAATATGGAATGCTATTAAAACCCGATATCTAGGAGCTGATCGTGTAAAGGAGGCACGCCTGCAGACTCTCATGTCCGAGTTTGATCGTATGAAGATGAAGGATGACGACACAATTGATAACTTCGCTGGAAAGTTATCAGAACTATCAACAAAGGCAGCTTCTCTTGGAAAAACGATTGAGGAAGCTATAGTGGTGAAGAAGTTTCTCAACAGCCTACCGAGAAAGAAGTATATCCACATTATAGCTTCTTTCGAACAAGTTCTAGATCTGAACATAACAAGCTTTGAGGATATAATCGGAAGACTTAAAGCTTACGAGGAGAGGATTCTAGATGAAGACAACCACGGAGATTCACAAGAAAAGTTGCTTTATACAAACTCTGAAGAACGAAACACGTCTTCTTCAAGAGGGAGAGGTCGTGGCAGAGGAAACAGAGGAAGAGGAAGAGGACAAAGAAACTCACAAGATCGATCAACAAATCAATCAGATAAAACGAATGCGAAAGACAAGAAAGACAGATCAAAGTTGATTTGTTATAGCTGTGATAAATCTGGTCACTTTGCCTCTGTTTGTCCAGACAGACCACGGAAACTGCAGGAAGCGAATCAAGTAGAGATTGACGAAGCAGAAGCAGCTCTATACCTGCACGAACTCGTGTTCTTAAATGAAGAAAGAGTCATACCAAAGAATTACAGCAACGACGAAAGAGAAGATGGACTTTGGTATCTCGATAATAGAACAAGCAATCATATGACTGGCCGTAAGGAGTATTTCTCGGAACTAAACGAGAATATAAAGGGCAGAGTCAAGTTTGGTGATGGATCGTGCATTGAAATAGGAGGGAAGGGGTCAATACTATTTCAAAGCAAGACAAAAGAACAGAAACTCGTAATAGACATCTATTACATTCCGGCGCTTAAGAGCAACATCCTAAGTTTGGGACAAGCTACGGAGGTCGGATGTGATGTCAGAATGCGACAAGATTTCTTAACGGTTCATGACCCAAGAGGAAGACTTCTCGTAAGAGTCACAAGATCAGCGAACAGACTATACAAGATAAAACTCACGGTGGGTAAGCCAAGCTGTTTAAAGACAAGTATAGCCGAAGATTCTTGGAGGTGGCATGCGAGATTAGGACATATTAGTTTTAAGACTATGAAAGCTATGTCAACGTTGCAGATGGTTCATGGACTACCGGACTTCAAGGAAGAAGACAGACTGTGCGAATCTTGTTTGGTTGGTAAACAGACTCGACAATCCTTTCCAGCTGCAACAAATTATCGAGCTTCACAACCCTTAGAGCTACTACACGCGGATTTGTGCGGTCCTATCACACCACCAACAATAGCGAATAACAGATATATATTTGTTATTATAGACGATTACTCGAGATACATGTGGGCTATCTTGATTAAAGAGAAGAGTGATGCGTTTTCTAAGTTCAAGGAGTTCAAGAACTTAGTTGAAAAGGACCTCGAGAAGAAGATAGTAACTCTAAGAACGGACAGAGGAGGAGATTTTACCTCTGGAGAATTCAACGATTTCTGTAACTCAAGTGGGATTAAGAGACATCTCACAGCGCCTTACACACCCCAACAAAACGGAGTGGTGGAGAAAAAAAACCGGACTTTGTTGGAGATGACAAGAAGCACTCTCAAAGCGATGAAAGTACCAAATTACTTGTGGGGAGAAGCCGTACGTCACGCAACCCACATAATCAACAGTCCCAACACGAGCCCTCAAAAACATGACCCCATACGAATGCTTAAGGAACAAGAAACCACACCTTGAGCATCTAAGGGTATTCGGATGCTTAGCTTACGCTAAGATAGAGAATACAAACCTGAAAAAGCTCGATGACAGATCAAGACCACTAGTACACCTCAGTTTAGAACCAGGAACCAAGGCGTATAGGCTCTACAATCTGACGCAGAAGAAAATTGTAGTAAGCCGTGATGTGATCTTTGATGAGAAATCAAGCTGGAATTGGAGTGAAAATAAAGAAGGATCAAGCAGAAGTCCAGAAATGTTTCACTTAAGATGGGGAGATATCGTGGATGCAGGGGAAGGACCTACGATGGTGGGAAACGATCACCATGAAGACAATAATGGAAACCTAAGTGATCAAGAAGATGCTGAAAACGCAAACGAAGAAGAAGTTGCGGAAAATCAGCCGATACAGCAACCAATACAACAGCAGCAACCCCTAAGGAGATCAAACAGAGAAACTAACCTGCCAGGATACCTTGGAGATTACGTATGTTACCTTGGCGAGGACTATATTCTACAAGCTTCTGTGGAATGTGAGCGATTGTTGCTGTTAATAAATGACGAACCGAGCTGTTTCAAGGAAGCAGAAGGGTCGTTACAATGGAGACCAGCCTGCAAAGATGAGATAGATTCAATCAACAAAAACAGGACATGGTTTTTAGTTGAGAGAACGAGTTCTATGAAGGTGATTGGTCTCAAGTGGGTCTTTAAACTCAAGAAGAATGCGGACAACACCATCAATAAACACAAAGCGAGACTTGTAGCGAAAGGATACATACAAGAGTCCGGTGTTGATTTCGACGAAGTATTCGCACCGGTTGCACGTATTGAGACCATTCATTTATTGATAGGATTAGCAGCTTCAGAAGGATGGGAAATTCATCACCTGGATGTAAAGAGTGCATTCTTACATGGAGAGTTAAAAGAAGATGTTTATGTAGAACAACCCGAAGGCTTTGTGATAAAAGGAGCAGAACACAAAGTATACAAGCTTTTGAAAGCTCTATATGGACTAAGGCAAGCACCCTGAACATGGAATACGAAGCTAGATCAAATTCTGAAGAAGTTGGGATTTAAGAAGTGTGTAAAGGAAAGCGCAGTATATCGTAAAGAAGAAGGAGTAAATCTTCTCATTATTGCGATCTACGTTGACGACTTGTTCGTAACCGGAAACTCTCTCAAGGCGATCAATGACTTTAAAATCGGGATGTCAACGAACTTTGAGATGTCGGATCTCGGACTACTCACCTATTACCTTGGCATAGAAGTCTACCAAGGACAAGATGGAATCGAGATTAAACAAGAAGGTTATGCTCGACAGATCTTAAAAGAATCAGGCCTAGAAAACTGTAACCCGACCAAGATACCTATGGAGTTTGTATTAAAGATTTCTAAGGCACATGAAGAAGAGGAAATAGCTCCCACGAGCTATAGAAGGAACGTTGGATGTCTTCGTTACTTGCTGCACACACAACCGGACTTGGCGTTCTCGGTGGGAGTAGCAAGCCGATATATGCAATGTCCACGGAAGTCACATGGTGAAGCAATGAAACACATACTACGGTACCTTAAAGGAACGATGGGGTATGGTTTGAAATTTCAGCGTGGAGGTTCAAAGAAACTTGTTGGCTTTAGCGATAGTAGCCATAATATCGATCAAGATGACGGAAGGAGTACAACGGGCCATATTTTCTATTTTGGTTCATCACCAATCACGTGGTGTTCTCTAAAACAGGACACAGTTGCACTTTCTTCTTGTGAAGCTGAGTTCATGGCCGCGACAGAAGCAGCAAGACAAGCCATATGGCTTCAAGACCTTCTAAGCGAGATTACGGGAAAGAAGACAGAACAAGTCCTCATCAGAATTGACAACATGTCCGCAATTGCACTCACTAGAAACCCGGTGTTTCATGGCAAGAATAAGCATATTCACAAGCGCTACCATTTCATTCGAGAATGCATTGAAAGGGAGCTGGTGGATGTTGAACATGTGCCCGGAACTGAGCAGAAAGCGGACATACTAACCAAGGCATTGGCGCAGATCAAGTTTGCTGAGATGAGAAGCTTTATTGGTGTGCAAGACATATCTAAAGAGAAGTCTACAAAGCTTAAGAGGGAGAATGTTGGATAAGCATTGAAGACTTGCAACCTAAAAAGCCTATAACAAGTTGGTTTAGGATAAGAGAGATTGATATAATCTTGATAGCTTTAGGAGTCATCTATTTCTATTGAGAATAGGATTAGCAGAGTTATGTTAAACCTATAAATACATCATTGTCGAGTTGTGACAAAGGTGTGAAGAACAATTACTTGTGTTTAGTTTTTGAGCTAGATTTCTAAACATAATAAAGAGAGATATTCTTTATAAACTTTGTTCTTAAGAGACTTTACGAATGATATTAAAAGTATGAGAGATATTAAATACACGGAACGACAATAATTCAGTTTTCTGACAACTATTCGAAAAACAATCTGCAAGATCATTCTCTCTCTCTCTCTCTCTCTCTCTCTCAAGTAGTGAGTTCCATTATTGCACTTACAATATCTCCATCGTGACCCTTGAGTGCCTTAACAGCTTTGCTGCGTGTAACTCCAGCCTGAGTCATGACCAAGTCAATGTCACGAGCCTCCACACCGGTCTCATCAACTTCTTCCTCATCGTCTTCCGCTCGTGCTTCCACTGTTGCTGTTGATGCCTCTGCTCTCTGAGACGTTGCTCCAATCTCAGGCATCCTAAACTGTTGAGCAGCTTGCGTTTGAAGCTGAGAGCTCAAGTCCTCGATCTTGGCCTCACCGAATATAACATAGGTCTCTGAATGTGGGCTCTTGAAGACATCAGGCTTTGAGATGAAGAAGAGCACCTGTCAACATTAAGGATGCGCATGGTTTAGAATAAAACAAATCTTAGGTAGTGAAAAACAGAGGAAACGTTTTGGTTTTTACGTTTTTGGTTCTTTTGATGGTCACTCGGCTAACACCTGTAACTGGTTTCATACCGAGCTTCAACATTGCCTTCCTGCTCTTCTTTTCACTTCTGCTCTGCTTTGAGCTTTCACTTACACCTACGCATAAACTTCAATCCATTTCAAGAACGATTCGGAATGGGTATATAAACATATTCGAATATCTGTAATGAGTACTCATGAGTTGATTCTCTAGCTGAAAAACTGAGAAGAAGAGTCAAATTTCTCAGAACATGGTCGAATATATCAATCTATTAGAAATGTGATTCCAATGCTATAAATTTCTATATATGTAAAACAAAAAATTTCACTATCTAGATATGGATGTGAGAATCTACAAGCCCAGGATTGAAGATTCAAACACACTTCACCATTCATTAAGAAACTTAATAAGAAAGGTATTTGAAATGTGTGTTTAAGGCTCAAATTCGCGAAAAGAGGAAGAGACTACCTTGAGCGTCGTCGTCTTCCTCTTCTACGTCGCCATCATCATCTTCTTCGTCATCTATGACATCTTCTACAATTGGTTCATCAGTCTGAAAATTGCCAGATAAATAAAAACCGAAGCAAAACCATGACATAAAAATAAATACAAGATTCGTCCAAGAAAGTCTCACCTGAAGCTTCTTCTCGAGCTCTTCAGCGATGACAGTATCAGCCACCGGTTTCTCAGGTTGTCCATCGCCGGATTCAGTGACTACTGCAGGAGGAGACATGGCTTTCAAGAGAATTTTTTTTAGGATAAGAATCGGTGCGGTGAGAGTGACGACGACTCCGGAAGATCTTTTAGGCTCTGTTTTGTTTTGTTAATTCTTAATGGGCTATTTATTGGGCTTTACTCCATTTTATGTGGGCCATAAAGTTCCAGACCCATATTTTTGTGGAACGCTTCCAGTATTTTTAATAATAAAACTGAATAAAAAATAGTAAAGAATGTCTTATATTTTAGACCATTATCTAAATTAAGATATATTATCTAAATTAAGAACGTACTTATGGTAAGTTGGGAGTGTATCATGTAAAATTTCACCTTCTGAATTGCATTTATATAATTTATATGCTTTCATATATTATATTTTTGAAAATATATTATGTTTTAAAAGTTGTTAACAAAAAGTTTTACTTAAATTTATTAATATATATATATATATATATATATTTTAAGACAATATCTCCATTATATACTTTAAAAACAAAAATACTACAAAATATCTTATATACATAAAGTACATAAAATATTAATAATTAATCAATAAGACTCACACTAATGGTGTCTCTATTAAGCTTGCTCTCACGTGTCCGATAAAAAAATTATATAAATAATTTCTTTGATTTTGCATAATCTACTAATCTTAATATATATTTTGTAAAATTTATATGTACTTTTATAGAAAAACATGACATTTGAATATATATATATATATATATATATATATACTAATCTGAGGACTGAGGTTTAATCTGGAGTCAATGGCCATACCGAACCCTAAATATGGCCGTGAATTCACTGCCACCAGCACGTAGATTAATTCTCTGTTGTAATCTTGAGCGCATTTTAGTCACCAGAATGTTGTTGAGGATGCATCTTATGACATTGGTTCTTTCTTTTGACAAAGAAGAAAACGGCCAACCCGATAAGAATCGAACCAACCAGAGCTCTGATAATAGAACCCACAATTTTTCCAGCATTGTTCCGGGAAGACGAGTAAGAAACCGGTCGATCAAAATAGTCATCCCCGGTAGGAGCCCCGGTCTGGACTAGAACCTCTGGCCTAAAATCAAATGACAGACCGTACAACTAATGATTATACAAAACATCTGGAGTTGTTGAATCGGGTCGCTGTGGAAAAAGCCCGCTAAGAAATGTAAAGAGTGGAGAGATAGTGCCGTTGAGTCCCATGTAGTTACTGAACTCAATACGTATGATATTAGGTCCAGAACAAGTTATCCCTACCCACATGCTCTTACCACCACAAGGATTGTTTCCTTTCCAGCTCTGCACAAATATCAACGAGTAACCAAATGATTTAGCGATTAAAAGCATAGCGTCAACACGGGAATTGATGTGATCATGGAAGGCAACCAGGAAGAACATGTGGAAACTGAGCTTGAACCTGCGCAGATGCAATGCTTGTACCAGAAACCGGACCATTGACTCGTGCTAAAGCTAAGAGATTTATACAAGAAATTGGAGGTTTACTTAACCAAATGTTCACATCCAAAGAGAACTCGGATTGGAATGGAGAAGACTCAACTCAAGAAGTTCTTATGATGATCCAAGTCCAAAAAGAGCTCTAACGGGTTTGTGATCATTTTGCATTCTTTTTTCTTATCCTTGGTTTTGTCCCAATGGATTTTCCAAAAATGGTTTTAATGAGGCAAATAGATCACAAAGTTACTATGCCCAATCATCTATATAGTTCACCTATATAGTTTGCATATATAGCTCGTCTATATAAGCTGAATAGTCATTTAAACTTAGTTTAATTCAGTCTTTGTTTTATTTATTGCTTTGACCACTAGTTTACCTCTTGGTCTACTCATTTTCTTTCTATATAACTCATGTAATCTCATTTGAGAAACAACAACCTTTATTTTATAAAATCTTTTGAGAGTGATTCTCTTTGTTCCTTGTGAACTTTTCGATCTGTCTTGGTGTGTCATATCCAGGGGATCAACCCGGTTTATCAAGTGTTCTTCATCACACTTGTGTGGCCATTCTACCAACTAAAGTTAGTTGTTTGCGGTATAATGTAGTATCAGGTGGTGAGTTTCATATACTCACCATTGGAGCTACCTACATCACCTTTCTAAGGTTCCACCGCCTTTTCCTTTGGAGTTTCCGCTTCTATAACCAACTTTAGAGTGCCCGATCTTGGAGGTTCGCATCATCTGGTATCAGAGAACCACTCAAAAGTTTGGTATTCTATCATTCTGTTCATCTTCTCATCTTTTCATTTTTCATTTTTCATCTCTTCATCTTCTTATCTTTTCATATACTATCTTTCTCCTTCTTATCTTTCCATCTTCTATCTTTATCTTCTTTTCATCCATTTTTGTTTCTCATTTTTAATATTTATTTTCGTATCCAGTAATAAAAAATGATCTAAGAAGTTCTGGAATTTGTTTTTCGCAAAATCTAAAGTTTCTTATTCTAATTTTCTTTCAGTTAGTTCTCTTCTTTCGATTATATTTCTTTTCTTTCTATTCTATTCTATTCTATCTTTCTTTCTTTCCGTTCTATTCTATTTGAGCTTTCTAGGCTTTCTTTTCTTTCTATTATATACTTGGTTTACTGCTTGATTCCTGAGAGAAACATATTGAGTTGATTGTTAGTCCTATTGGAACTTTGAGAATTCACTGAGTGACATTTGTTTGAGTGAAACACCTTTTTTTAAAAAACACTTGAGAGAAACACTTGTGAGGACTTTCATTTCTAATTTGTTTGTTAATCTTAGCAGGAAAAATCATGTCTCAAGATGGAGAAAACCGAGGAGGAGTACCAACAATCCTTAATTCAGATGGACGCCTTGTTAGGAGAGATGCAGCGGATGCTGAGGACTGAAATCAATGGAGTCTATGAGAGACTTGAAGAAGTTAGAGTTGAAGTTAGAAAAAGGCATCCTCAAAACGTGCCTGTTCAAAGAGAAGAAGAACAAAGGACACCAGCAAGGGTTAATCTAGACGATGACTACTACAGCTGTGATGGTGATTCTTCTCAGGGGAGTAGAAGGAGACCTAGACGTGATAGAGACGGCAGAGGTCAGGCTGATAACAACTTGGGAGGTCTTAGGCTGAAAATTCCATCATTCCATGGAAAAAATGATCCAGACGCCTATTTGGAGTGTGAGAAGAAGATTGAGCTAGTTTTTGACTGCCAAAACTATTCATAATCCAAAAAGGTTAGAGTAGCAGCTACTGAGTTTTATGACTATGCTATTAACTGGTGGGATCAGTTTGTTATAAGCAGGAGACAAAATGGAGAACATTTTGTTGAGACATGGAGTGGGATGAAAGCGATAATGAGGAAACGCTTTGTTCCTAGTCACTACCACATAGAGCTACACCAAAGGCTAAGGAGACTTACACAAGGTAGCAGGAGTGTGGAGGACTACTTTCAGGAAATGGAGACTCTTATGATAAGAGCTGATATTGATGAGGATAGAGAAGCCATGATGGTAAGGTTCTTGAGTGGAATGAGCAGAGATCTTCAGGATCAGATGGAGCTACAACATTATGTAGACTTGGAGGAGATATTACACAAAGATATCTTGATGGAGCAGCAGCTCAAGAGGAGGGGTACAACTCGTCAGTCTTATGGTGCTGGAACGTCTAGTGTGAGACCTAGTTACTCTAGATAAGTGAAGACAGCCCCAAAGCCACGGTTTGATGCTAAACCAACCACTATTGGTGAAGATAACAAAGGGATATCCGAGCCTACAAGGACAATGAACCGCGATGTTCAGTGCTTCAAGTGTCATGGCAAGGGGCATTATGCCAATGAATGCTCTAACCAACGAACCATGCTACTTCTGGACAATGGAGATATTGTTACGGAAGAATAAGGAGTAGTGGTATCTGATTCGTTAGAACATGAAGAACTTCCAACAAAAGGTGATTTTCTTGTTACTAGAAGGTCGTTGAGAGTTCAAACCAAGTTGGAGGAGACTGAACAGAGAGAGAACCTGTTTCACACGAGGTGTCTTGTTCAGGAGAAGATTTGCAGCCTCATCATTGATGGAGGAAGCTGTACGAATGTTGCAAGTCAGGTTTTGGTTCATAAGTGATATCTCTTGTATTTACATCATTTAGGCTTGCATTTAGTACATGTTTTGGTTCTCTTTTGCTTGTTTTTCTTATCTTTTGTCCTATTTTCTTCTCCTTTTAGACTTAGGTTGCATTTAGGATGTAGTTTGCATTTTTCTTACATTATGGATGTTTTTAGGTACTTATGGAGCTAAAAGGAGCATAAAGGAGCTTTGGGGATGAACCAGGAAGCTAGCTGGGCTGAAAAGGAGCAAAAGGAACCAAGACAGACGATCTCTGCAGAGCCTATCGGTCTGTGCACGAGGGCTATCGGTCAAGGAGTGACCGATAGAAGACCTATCGACCAAGCCTATCGGTCAGAGAAGTGACCGATAGAAGTGCACCGTATATATTTCGGTCACCCTATCGGTCACCGTATCTCTATCGATCAAGCATATCGGTCTTATGCCCAAAAGGGGAACAAGTTCTAAATCACTCAAGGGCAGCGCACAAAGCTATGGAGGATGATTGGAACTGGGCAATTCATAGCTGGTACCATAAGGAACCAACATCTGAAGCATCTTGCAGTTAGATATGCTCACAAGGCGCTTGCAAACACATTCTTTGCAAGGAAGGAAACAACAAACCTAACTGACAAGGAGAGAGACTTCATCTACACTGGAATATATGCAAATGTGGATACCAGCGACAATGGTACACCGATAGGCCCACCAAGCAAATTCCCATGCTTTGTGAGATTGCTGATGGAGCAGCTGCTGACCTATCAGAATTGGGTTCTAAACAAGGGGAAAAGAGAGAAGAATCCACAGCTTCACATTGGAGGAATTGTCACAGTTGTTCTAATATCAGGTGGTCTGAACTTTGAGGAACATGCTGATGATGCTCTGGAACATTTATGGATAGATATGGACTATCTTAGGAGAAGCCATTACATTGAGAAGAGTATTCA